GACGTTCAGACACTGAACGATGAAGCTGCACTTGGCCTCGCTCCAGACTCTGTACGCATGAGCACGCGCTGTGATTATGAGCTCCTGTGGACAGGAATCACAGCCAAGCAACTTACAGGCGTTTGTTTAGGGGTCTGACATGCCGTGGTTTCGGTGAGTGTAAAGCAGCAAGGTACTGCTGAAGTTCTGTGCTCATGTTTATTCTCAGTGGGTTTTAGGCTAGGGATACTCCTAAGCGAACAGATGATTAACTTGAACTTTCTATTAGAATGGAGGTGTAATGCTATACTGCCTCACACACCCTGATGCTGCAATTAGGTACCAGCCCAATTTGTCATAGTTCTTGTGAGCTTTGCAACCCGTGCCTATTTAGGAATGAAGGGACTCGCAACTGATGTCATGCTACAAGGCCAAAATGTGTGTGCTTACTTGAATTGACTATTATAAATACAGTCCCTGGAAGAAAAGCCAGTGCTCATCTATTCCACGTTAGCTCCCATGGGCTAGGCTTATGGATTGCAGTGTATTTGCTCGTGGTGTGCAATGCTGACCACTGCAGCACAGCCACCCTCTGCCTGAACACACAGCATGAAGGCAGATTTGTCGGGAAGATGCCCTGGGAGAAAGGCTCGGGCTGAAACACAGCACTGATCGCAGTGGAGTCTTTCTATGCAGCAGACCAGTTGCTTCCCTCTCCTTGCAGTGGTGCAGCCAGCTTTATCCCTCACAAAGAATGAGGCTGTTGGCTTATTAGCACTGGGTCTGGGGCTCCCTACAGTGGATGACCTTGGATCAGGTGTGGAAGGACAACACTGAGGGCTGATGGGCAAGTATGTCTCCAGCCTTGGTAGCGATGGAAGCACTGTGCGTTTCAATACAGCAGTGTACCCTTTTCTAAAGAGAAAGAGAAAACAAGTATTTTTTTTCTTTTTCTTTTTTTTTTCTTTCTTCTTCCGTGGAAAGCCTTAGGCTCCTCCAGGGTATGTGTGGTGGGGGTGGAAGGAGCTGGTGGCAGCAGGGCAGCTAAGGCCAGAAGACTGTGGGGCAGGAAGGCCGCTGCCAGGAACTTTGTCAGCATGGAGAGCCCATACCTCAGCCTCCACCTTTTGAAAACTCTGCTGGAATGCATCATTTTGGAGATGTTGTTCCCCCTCACAGCTGCCCCAGGGGCCTCTGCATTCCTCTGGGAGGCCTGCCCTGCCTGCCTCCTCTTGCTTCCCTCCAAATTTAACCCCCAAGGAGCTCAGGGCAGGAAGGGCCATGCCAACCCCGGAACCCCATGGCCTGGTGCGGGGCCCTTCATGACAAGCTGCTGCTGTGGGGTGAGCAGTGCTTCTCCATAGACATAGGGCTAAACTCCAGGGCAGGTAAAATTTAGGGCTGTTGAGGTGCCCTGCCTGAGCAGCCACCCTCTGGAGGTGTGTCCTGCTGTGCCACATGTAGCCCAGCTGCTGGACGAGGAAAATGCCTGTGGCAGAAAAAGGAGAAATCACACCACAGGGACAAAGCTGTCCTCTGCCAGGCTCCTTGCCCCTGCCCCAGCCAAGCCCAAGGGGAAGATGAGGAGGCTGTGGCCCACCTGAGTGTGTGCATCCTGAGCCCAGAACAAGGGCAAGAACAGGGCCCAACTGATTTTTTGCTTCCTTCAAACAACAACAGCCTGTTTACAGGGCATGCTCTCTGCAGTAAATTACACTAAGAGCCATTTAATTAGCACTAATGGCACAGAAGAGCCAGCAGCAGCCTAGGGACAGCTTTCTGGGGCTGTAAAAATGCTTCAAGCAGCTAGAGTAGTGCTGGGAAATCACTGAGAACCCATCAGGAGCCCTGGCAGAAGCAGATAAAGCAGATACCACGAGCACAGGGTGTGCATGTCGTCTCCGTTTTCCCTCAGCCCAGCAGGCCAAAAGCTTGCTTTTGGTGGCTTCAGAGTTATACCTACATACCATAGGTGGCTTTGTTGGTTTTCTTCTTCCTTACACCTACTTAACGAACAAGAGACAATTTGTTGTTTTTTTCTGTTCTCTACTAAAAATAGCCTTCCATCGGAACAAAAACTCGTCTGGAGACGTTTCTAGCTCCATTTCCCTGCTCTTTATCAGCACACTAACACAAACAGCATGGTGACCTGCTCAACATGCATGCGTGGCCTTTAGTAATCCCAGGCTGGAGGAGCACCACACGCCGACGACATCCTGCCATTAGTCATCAGCTGAGTGTGGCTTTGCAGGGCTGAGTGGATACAGCCAGTGCATCCACCCGCTCTTCCGTGCGTGTCCTAGAAGGATCCCTCTGACTAACAGATGTTTTTGAATACTCTTTCACATGGGAAAATTGGGAAGAACATCTTTTTATTGCACCCTTGCTATTTCATCCAGCCACGTGAATCTCCAGGGATGGAGACGTACTTAAGAAAAATATTCACTTCTGAAAGCTTCTACAATTTTTTCGCAGTACTTTCTTGGCCTAGCCAGCCTAGCAATGCGTGGTTGTATTCTTATTTTGCAGCAATTAGTAAGATTTGCTAATTATTACTGCCGAGTATTTGAAAACAATCGATTTCCCTTTGTAGCAGAAAATAATTTCCTGTTACACCAGTTCTCTTAATTTTCTTCCGGAACAAAACCAGGCCAGCAGTGCCAGTGGTGTCATGCTGCTGTTACTAAATGGCTCTATTTTCTGCCTTGGTTATTTGTCCTGTGTTTATTATTCCAAAGCAGTGCGCCTTGGATCCCCTACAGCTGTTCCAACTGTATGTATTCAGCACCCTGCTGGCACCACGCTGAGTGGCTGGAGAGAAACTGCCATTGCTCAGCAGCCTGTGTTTCTTCTGGCAAAGGAAGGTGGATGTCTTGAGAGAACCTTGGACCTTTCATGCTCGCTTCTGGCACATGCAGGCAGCTGCTCACAGATAAGGAAGTTCAGAGCCCTAGGCGTGACTGTAGGCTCTTCTCTTGCGCCCAGCCCAGAGGGTGTAGCTACAGAGCCTCTGGTAAGCTTCAGCAGGACACGAGGTGTGAAGGTCCAAGTTTGCATCTGATTAGCACCACATGCATGCAAAATTAAGACTTGCACAATTCAAGGGAGCAAGCACGAAGGCATGCATTTCTGTCCATGTAACTATATAGATTCTGTTGAGAATTTCATTGAAGATGAGGTTCTTAAAAGCACTGTTACATCCCAAATGTCCCAGGCTGCATCACAAGCACAAGCATAAAGAATGTGGATATTCAATAGATTCTACTTCAGCTTTTTCTATTTATATATTCCTTTGCTGAGCGAACGATTAGATAGCCTAAAATGGAGCGCAAATTGGCATGGTGCAGGCAGATGAGCACCAAAGGAAAAGACCCCCATGTTCAATATCACAAGGTGTGAGATTCCTGTGATCAAAACCTCTCACAGGTGTGAGCAACACTCAGCTGACAACATCTACAAGAGCTGACTTGTCTGCAAGTTGAAACACTCTGACTACACAGAGAACTGGAGCTAATTTTATAAGGAAGATGGTGCTGGTGAGCAGCTCCCCAGGGCCAAAACCAGACCTGCACTTGCCCAGAACAAATTTGCCCTGCCTAGCGCTTACTTGAATGAGGAAAGGGCTGCAAGAAAATGCTTTGTGTGACTTGGGGCCTCCTGGGACAGGTGGGCTCGGTGAACTGTGAAATGCTTTATGGTACCAGTAGGTCAGTTTATTCAGGAAAAGGGAAAAAATCCCACCTTTCCTCCTCATGTCATGGATGCAGTCACCATTTGTATTCTGCTGGCGTATCTGCCTTCACATCCAGCATTTCTCTTACAGTGCAGTGCTCTGATACAAAATTAGCTCAGATCATAATAGGGAGGGGGGGACTAAAAAAAAAAGTGGAGCAGAAAAAGCATCCAGCAGAACAGTGTGTGCGCTGTTAAAATTCAGTAAATATATAGCTATTAAGCCAACACCCTTTCTATAAACTGTAAGAAGTATTGCAAAACAGAAAAAAACGCCTGTGATTTCTTTCCCCTTCCTTGCTTACAGCAAGGCTTTTAGAAAAGCCCTATAAACTGCAGATTTCCCAAGGAAAGAACAACCAGCAAAGTGCTAACATTCTTTCTAGTTCATGTCAATTGCAAAAAGCTTAGAGCAGAGGAATAATCTGTGAGGCTTCACACTAACCAAAGGCAGACAAAGAAGAGAGACTGCACGACCTACATTATCTGCAGAATTTTTGCCCCCAGAAGAAACAAATAGGCTTTACGAAGTCAGATTAGTAAAAGCTAGATGCTGGTTGTGAGGCATTACTTTAATCTGGTAAATCAGAGACAGATAATGGATTTCATTCTTTTCATCAAACCTCTGTTTTTGGACTCTGCTGATGGGCATGGAAAAAAGAAATGCTTGTTCAGCAATGCCCCTGCAGAGCCTTTTGTGTGGAGCACAGGTAGGGCACCCTGGCTAGAGTGTCTTCAGCTGCAGCACTGATCTTTAATGTGACAGAAAAAGCCCTACTACCTCATTGCAAAGCAGCACTAGCACACAAATATCATCTCAGTCACCACAGAGAGCTATGAACACTCATGCTTAAGAGCACATTTATCTGGGCTGTGATGTCATCCAATACACTGCACTGTCCTATCATGGTTTTGGGGTAGAAAGCGAGTGACACGGTGCAGAAAATACATCTTCCATGTAACGGACCTGTTCCTTGGCTTTCCTGGAGCAGTTTGTGCTGGGCCCATCCCACTGGGTTTAGCAAGTCTCTCACATCTCCTTTGGCTCATCTCTTCATGGAATAAAAACAGCACCCTATCCATTTTAATGTGTGGGATTAGCACTGTGCAATTGGACTGACTGACACCAGCACCTTCCCTTTTCGCTTCTCAAACATCCCCTCGTAGATTTAAAACTCCCATCCTGCTTGCCACAGAACTCTTCAGGTGTACCCAATCTGTGACAATGTTTTACATTGCCTTCAGCACGCAGATACATCTGTACCATAACACAAGTAACAACTGTAAAATAAATGGCAGGCATCTGTGTAAATTATTCTGAAGAGGGTTAACAATAGCCCACAGCCTGAATCAGTCCAATCTAGGCACAGAACAAACTTGTAAGTCCCAATTATCGTTAAGACAAATGGCAGTGCTTCAGATCAGGTCAACATCATGAAAAATTTCAGCAGGTGTCAGGACAACCACAAAGCTCTGCAGCTGGCACCTCTGCCATCCTTCAAACACACACTCACTGGGGGATTAGGCTCTGTCAGACTTTCCACATCATCTCTCACATTCCCTTTTTCAAAACCTTGTTGTATCCTCTGGGCCTCACTGAATTTCACCTTACTGTAAACACACTGGTGTGACTTCTGACCATACACTTCTAGTGCCAACGCTGTTTGTTACTTTTCCTTCCTTAGTGTCGAGAGTCCATTCCACATTTTTCTTTCTGCCTGGATCAAAGTGAAATCTACGATTCACTTCTTCCTCCTGCAAGAGCAAATATAACCAGTACTAACAGCAGTAAACACTGTGGTCTGCTGCTCAGCCCTGTAGTGACTGCAGCTTTTGTTTAAAGGCATCATAGGGCTGCTGGGCTTACAACATCTTTCTTCATCCTTGAAAATATTACAAGGTGGGGTTTTTCTTACACCAAACATGTCACCTTTCCCCAAAGAAAATGTGTTTGAATGGTTCCATAGGGAGCGTTAAACTTTTATATGGAAAAGGCAGGAATGTGCTTGGGCTACAAATTTTTCTTTAAAAGATCCCTTTCACAGTCTTTCAGGGACTTCTGAACAGGAGTTTTATCAATTTATAACAACATATATGTCAGGCAGACATTGGAATTCAAATTATTTTAACTCCAACTAAAGGCCTGTGTTTAAATGTCTGAATGCATTCCTTTGTGGCTAAGATTTAGGGAGTCTTAAAACTGCAAAGACTGTATCTTCATTATAAATATTCTATTTCTTAGTCATTCTTGCGTCAAAGGGCTGCTGAAGAGAAAATGTGCAGCAGTGTGGTCCAGAAGGAAGCAGAAGTCAGAAAAGTTTTGTTGCACATTTAGGAAAGTATAGCGCCTACTCTGCTCACTGAGCCTGAAATCTCCATTATGTAGCTAGATCTTTGCTACCAAAATGCACAAAACCAAATTAATTTCTGGCATTCCTTAGCGCTGACACTTCAAAGAACCTATCTTGATCTTACTTGCTCAGGATCCATTAGACTTAAATATTGTTCAGTGGGAGATCTTTGTTGGTTTTCGTTTAGTCTGACGCACGGGATGGCTGTTGGACTGGAGGGTTAACAGACCTCTCTATTTGACTAGCTCCTTGTCTTAACTGTTAGAAGGGCTCATAAAGGGCTGATCTTAATAGTTGTTAAAGAAGAGGCGTGCTCACACAGAGAACCCTGTAATGTCTCTTTTGAAAACCTTTTTCAAGCACTTGCTAAATACAGTAAGCATTTCCACATGGATGTAACAGTAATGCAGTGCGCAAATAATATGGCTGGAATGAGGCATGAAAAAAGCTTTGTGTTTTACAGACATCTGATTTTTTGAAATGTGTCTGCTAGTTCTACTTAAAGAACCCCTCAGAAATAAAGCAAATGAACAAAAAACCAAACCAACAAATGTTATTTGAAGTTTTACGATCTAGGCACTAGAAGAACTAAGGGTGGAATCCAAAAGCACAGCAGCTGCCTGTACGTAGTTGCCTTGTCCCTTTCTCAACTCCCCCCAAAGTCTCTGGGATGGCTCATGAATGGGAAGTCACTTCATTTGGTCTGTGCAGAAACAATTGTCGGCACTTTGCGAAATTTGACTCTCTCATGTTTGAACCAACAAAAATATGCCAGCAAGTAAGGAGGATCCTGGCTAAGGCAGGGCTCAGCTAAATCATCTGACTGTTTTCTTGGCTTGCCTCTGAAATGCATGTGAAATAGATCAAATCACTCCATTCTGGCTATTTATTATGAATAAAGCTGTTAGCCAGTGCTAATTTACACTAAGCTACAAGAAAATGTTGTTACGAAAAGTGCTGATTAATGGTAGGTTATCTAAATGTGAGACAGGCAGAGCAAAGATGGACTGACACCTAGCATTTGGTGTAGCACACACTCAGGGCAGCTGTTTAGTTCTGGAATCATGCCTCTGCATTTGTCCAAGCCAAATTTCAAATAGGATAGATTCCTATTTAGTTGACCTAAACCCCATGTGCTTTATAACACTTACATTCTATTACAATTACTTACTTATTATCTCCTTCTCATTCACCCAGAGAATATGGACAAACAGCACCTTACCATGACTTGATACGAAACTTTAATTCTGTACATTCCTCCTGTTGAAACGAATATTCAGCAGCAACCTAATTTTGTTAACATTTTTCCCCCACTGTTATATGAGATTTAAATAGCCATCATTGGCACTTTGAGTTGCTTTCATCCTGAAAGATTCCAGTTCTCTTTCATAGCCCAGCAAAGTCTTACTCTTGCACTAAGAAGTTGATAAGGGCAGTTCTTGGAGACAGAAAGGCCTTTTTAATGGTTCGTCCCTGGAGATGCTTGGCTCCAAGTTCACTTTGAAGAACTATCGCGTGGACTTCTTCAGCATTGCGGGCTGCTTGCTGAGGCACAAAAACTTTGCCGCAGGCTTTGTTATTGATCTGGAAAACACAAACACGAGAACAAGAAAAGACAGAAGTTGCCAGGCTGATTTATACACTTTCATCTCCTGAATGCAATCCATCTCATTATGTGTGGTGAAAAAAGTGGATCAAGCTGTCTTTTGCCTCAGTATGAAACTTTCTAAGCAGTTGATAAATTTTTTCGTACTTTCTGGCCCTCTAGAATAGCATAAGAGAATAAAAATTTGACTCAGGATACTCAAGCAAAATTTAAGAAGTAGACACAGGAAGTGTAATTTTTTGAAGATAGCAAGCATTTAGTGACTATGTAATGTGGTGATCTTTTAAGCTTGAAAACAAGATAGTAGCACAGGCTGAACAGACAGCGAACAGAACGGCTGGGATTCTCAACAGCTAAGTAATTCCTTCTATTCAAGTGCAAGATATATTAAAAATATTTGTGGCTGAAAAGATATATCCAAAGGATTCTTCATAACTCATTAAAAAGAATAAAAAAAATAATAAAAAAAAAAGGCTTTAGCTCATTGTAATACTGTATTCTTACTAAAAGCATGACTCATTAAGCCAACCCAACCACAAAGATGACAACCCTTCTTAAGGTAATGCTTTCCTGTGTCTGGCTGTTTTCAGAGCAATTCCCACACTAGCTTTGCACCAGCGAGGCAGAACCACTTAAGTACAACTAAGTAAGGCCTTCAGTAGGAATCACCTCAATGCAAAATGTGATCTCATGATTACTTTCTGTCGTCCATTCAGACCACATAATGTATGTGGTCCACTGAGTCCTACTGAGTACCTTTTCTGGAAATAACATAAAATTCACAATTAAAAAAGCTTTCAGGTGTATATGAAGTACCTTCTATGGATCAGTGTAAATAACACTAATCTTCCATTTTAGCATATTAAATAATGTGAAATTTTTAATCCAGTTCAATCAAATTACTCTCTTGCTTGAGAATCTCCTGCAGATACTGCAGATCTTTGCCAGCTGGACACCACTGTAACTATTTTTCAATCACCTGAAAGTAATATGTTTTGCTTCATACATCTTGGACATAAAAATGCACACAGCTCATTGTTTGTTTTTTTTTTTATCCAGGATTAATGGATGCAACATACCACCAATGGGAGAGACCTGCTTCAGTTACCTGATTTGTATTTTATTTAACACTAAACAATCTGTGCAGTTCTCTGAGAGAGGAAGATGAGAAAGCCTTTTAAGGAGCAAGATGAAGCCTCAAATGCAGCTGGGATGAGTCATTTCTGTGTTTTTACTAGCCTTGACATTGATTTGCAGTGATAATGTAAGTAGACCTTCTACTATTCTTTCCTGCATCCATAACTTGCTATCATAAAAGTGTGTCTGTCTGTTAAGCTTTGCCTTTGGTACCTTCTGAGAAATAAATCCTTTAAAAAACAAGACATTTCACTTTTAGAGCTACCACGACAAGAACACACAAGTAGTTCCTTTTGACTTGACGCTTCAGAGAAGAAAAATACTCCACAAGAAAAAAGAAAATGGTAAAAGTCAAACCTGGAACAGCTTCAGTGAGAAGATGAGGCAAGCCTGTGGGCTTACTGCTAGGTCACACAGCCTGTGGTTAAAAACTAAGCCTGGTCAGTTACATGTCAGTCATTTTGTCCATGATGCACACTATTATGTTCCAGTGGACAGATGCTAGCGGGGGGAAAATTGGCACAACTAGCCTAGCTGGTGTTGTTCTCAAGAGACAAGACAACTGGGTTAGGTGAACTTAGCAAATAAATGACTCCTAGCAGTTGTGTTTTCCCAGAAATGTTGAGGAGCCTGAGCAGCCTGTCTGTGTGTGCCTTCCCGCAGTATCTGCCCATACCTTCCCACACGTGGCACTGTGAATTGCATCAAACAGCAGACTGGTTCTGATTTCAGCACATATTTGCAGAATGGTTTTCATTATAATATAGCTATCGTGGTGCAGAGTCAAATATATCAACAGTGTTCCTAAAAACTTGTTTGCAGGTTTGATCACATGCTGTAACAAGCACCCTATTCTCATACTCTTTTAGTTGAGCTGTTGGATTCTCCTCAGGACAAACATCTCTGGCTCTCTGCATCTCACTAGATCAGCAGTGTATCCCTTAACTTTGGGTAAAAGTGCCTGCTCAAAAGATGAGGGTGCTAGCAGTCTTATTTCTCTGAAAAACTTTCACAGAAAAATGCAACCTCAAATGAGGCTGAGTCCTTTCTTCGGCTGAGAAAGGAAGCTGCTGATTTCCCTTCTGCTTTTTTGAGTTTTTTTAGAGCAGCCCCATTTATTCACAATCTTTGGAGAAGTAAAAAGGAAAGTATCTATACAGTTGTAGGCCTTCCTCAGTAGGAAGCAGTACAATGAGGCAAACTTAGCTTATGTTTTCAAAAAAGCAGTTCTAAGACTGCAGCTGTTAACAGTTCTGCACCACCTGCACAATGTGAGGAACGTTACAAGTGTGTTGACAAGATGAAATGCTGCAACTCCACACTTGGGTCAGATTTTTCACAGCGTTAACAATACATGTTAGGATGTAATATAAGTGCAGGCAAACGAAAATTATTCAACTTCAAGATAGTATTTAGATCAACAAGTACACATGCATCTCCATTAAGAGGAGTTTAAATGTCATTCTTGTACGCAATCTATATTGCATCAGTCAAGGGTGCAGAGAGTTGGTTCATTTTGCTGCCTTGGGTTAAATATGGAAAGACAGAACTCCGGCACAGACAGGAAATAATGAAGTATCTTGTGTCAAGAGAAATAAAACCATGTCTCAGCAGGCAAATTGCTGGCAGCCTGAGGCAGTTTGAGGTCTTGAGAAGAATAGGGTTGTGGCCCAAAGACTCAGCTTGACTGTGCAGCCTTGTGAAGAGACACTGGCTCTTTGCAACAAACCAGTTCCTCCGTACTTTGACTTTCTTGTTTTAAAGAAGGCAATTTATTTTTACAGCCATACAAAAGCCTGCAGTGGTCACATGACTGTAAAACATTCGCATTTATAATGGTTTGTCACTGCTTTTCTGCATGGCCTGTTAGCTCACTCTTAACGTAGCAAGCCAGGCGCTCCTACAGTCATTATTTTTAAGAAACATTCTCAGTCAAGAGAAACTTGTCTCTCTCCTCTTCCATTCTCTTATTTCCTCAGGCCTAAGAAAGGTGTTTACACACATCAAAATCTTCCATGAATTGAGCATACAGAAGTTGATCATTCCCTTGTTAGAGGACTTCCACACGAGGCTATAGCTTTGGCAAAGTCAATGAGGACAAGAAACAAAAGTAATTTTCACAATTATTGCTTAAAGCAAAATTTATTTTTATGTTTCTATTTTCTATTTTTGAGAAGGAAGTTTCAGTGTAAGCAGAAAAATATTAGTAATGTTGAGGCTTTCTTATGCTCAGTTGTACAGCCCTGAAAGCATTCAGGTCAGAATTTTCTTTGTGCTTTGTTGCAGTTTTTACTTCAAAAATCTATTTTAAAACATTTGCTTTAAACACAACTGCAAAGAAGTTCCTATAATTACACAATTTCTCATACATAGCTTCATCCTAAATTGAAACTGAAATTTAAGGTGTTTCCTAGCTGTACTGGAAGGCGAAGGTTTATTTTAATCTTGAGCAATGTAATTATATCTAAGTGAAGATTTGGTGGATATACGACTCTTTTACTGGTATTTGAAAACTACATACCACTTGCAAAACAAAATAAAATAAAAAGCAGAAAAATGACAATGACCATTAGCCTGAAGTCTGTTGTTAACCCAGACAGCACATGAGTCTTTGTCTTTGGTTTGGGAAAAGATGCCAACAACTGAAAATCTCCTCCAACAGACATACTCTGTGGCCACTGCAAAGGATGACATTGAACATTAGAGAAATCAGTGCTCTTAGCAGCATTTTCCATTCTGTTCAAGTGGACTGGCAAGACGTGAAGCTGTTTGCAAAGATACTTTTTATTAAGGAAACCTACAGAAACACAGTTAGATTCCCCTAAATCTAACCAACTTCTTTCCTTCTTAAAAAAGGCAAAGCAGCTAAACACAAATAACTGCACAGCCTACTTCTTTTACCCAAACGAGCCAACAGAATACAACAGTTTAAATAAAACAAATAAAATGCTTTGTTTCTGTTTCTCATACACACACATTCAGAGCACGCAGTTTTAAATGACGGAATGCCACTTCTTCTGGAGACCTCTCATTCAAAGTACAGAATCTCCAGAGACACACACACACAAACGTTTAAGTTAAAGCACTGACGCTGAGAATGTTTGCATGATATATGAAAGATTTCCCTGGTGAGCAGTGAAAAAGACAGGAGCACTGCTCGTTTGTAAGATGCTGCTACGTAGCTGCAGACTATCAATGCCTGAGCATGGAGGACCTGAATTCAAGCTGATTGAGAATCAGCTAACAGAGCAGCTGAGACACTACCCATGAATCCCACCCACCTGACTCCAAGTGCCACAGATGCTCCAAGGCCTACAGAGGCACTCGCTGCTACTGTACTCCATGTAAAAATACAGCTTTATGATGCTTGCAGGCATGCTGAGTACTGACTAGATGGAGATGCAGGGAAAAAAAGATGGTAAACCACATTGCGTGAGCATACACACATTTTGGGAAATTACAGGTTAGCTAAATGTAGTTACAGGTCAACTCTTCTACTGAACTGCCAGCTCCTTCCATAAACCTCGGAGGCTTTAGAGCTCTAGTAGGATCTGGGATGTAATTCTAATGTTAGCAAAACTACCTGTTTTTCCTAAACTTAGTTCCTGGAAATGTGCTTTGTTGATATTTGCCATAAGTTCTGTCTGAGGTAGACAGAAAACATAGTTTGGCAAAAATTGAAACAACTAAAACCAGCTTGTAATTGGTTGCATTAGGCAACCACAGCACTACAGGTAGCACAAGAAATATCACTTCATTTTACATTTTTGTACAGAATTAAGATTTCTAGATGGCCTGACATCTAGGGAACAAAATTTGGAGAAACCTGTATGTATTTGGTCATGGTTTCTGCTGTACTGGCCTTGCCCGCAGTCTGTCCAATCTCCACATACTAACATCCAGTCACTGAAAAAGATGTATATTTAGACTGTCTTCCTTCCAAACATACTATGTGCCTTTCACTTAGGAAACTGTTTTAATTACTCAGCACAACTTAATTGCAACTTCCACCCTATTTCACCTTTCACTGAGCCATATAAATATAGGGAACTGACTTCCACAAGAGCAGGGATTTTGTCACCTTCTCTGAGCTTACAATGCATTAATTGGCCCAACTGCAAATAAATGAAAAGTTCTTACCAGAACAGACATCTCCACTACATCTGGTGGTTGAAGGTATTCTGGGTCTACTTTGGGCCAGGACTGATGCAGCACATCAGCACCCCAGTTATGATGAGTACAAAGTTTATTCTCTATATGCGCCAAACCTGGAAAATGAAACACATTCAACCACATCATCAGCAGATCATTCAATTTTTAGGATTTGTTTGATAAATAAGATGAGAACAAAGTTTACTTTGAAAGCAAGTTCCTTCAGGAGGAAATAACACTGTTTAGATGAGCATACAGCACATTTTAAACAGAAAGATACACAGCTGTGAAAACATTTGCCTTACACTATGTATAGCGACTCTAACATGAACACTGGGGGTACATTTTAGATTAGAATTAGTATTTTTTAAAAGTCTACTTGAAGAATTCAACTGAAATATCAACCTAATTTAAGAAAACGAGCAGGGAAACACACAAAACCTTCCTATTGAGGAACTCAGTCAAAATAAGCCACAATTATGGCTTAATATTTTATCATCTGTCATATGCTGGGTGGTTTCCTGCAACGTGCTGGGTAGTTTCAGCTGCAAGTCAATCTACTCACAAGATGTAAATAATCTATTTGCTCACAAATTAAAGGTTTCATGTAAGTATACCTTGCACAGCTTGCTTTCTTTCTTATTTCACGTACATGCTGAAATAATTTACCCTTTGATTTTATTTAAAAATACTCTTAAAATGGCTATAAATGATCCTTTTCTATTAAACAGACTTTGCACTCCAAGACGATTCATTCCTGATTTGCAGTAGAATTAGTTGTAATTCATTCTGAAGCCACATTGTTTAACTGAATTAAAGCTTCTGAGTGGAATTTATGTTTGTCTACTCCAACTGTAGGGCAAAATAAAAAGATTTCACTGAAAATGCTGTCAAATATGCAGTACTGACTGCAAATATGCAGTACTGACAAGGATAGCTGTCGTGATTCTTTCCTACAAAGCCAGTAGATTTTTAAATTATAAACATGAGTAAGAATAAGGATTGAAGCTTTGTGTTGTTTTTCTTTTTTAGAGCATATGCTTCCTTCAGAATTGCAGAACATAACAACTCATCTGGTTTAAGGAAACTCCAGAAGATAAAGAAAACACAGCACAATAGCAGCCATTAGCAGCAGAAACATACACCATGCATAATGCACCAATTTATTTAGCTGGACTGTTTAGACTAATAGGGCGAATAACAGCAAACACAAACATAAAAAGAAGGCAACTTCCTCCGGAATGAAATCCACCAGATACTTGTCAGTGCTTTTTCAGACAAAGCGCTTCTGTAAAGAGACACAATGTTGCTGTTTTCTGAATCATTCGGAAGAGAGTGTGGTGGACTGCTGGGAGCTGTGTCTAATGGCAAGCAAGAATGACACAGAATGTGCACGTTTCCTAAGAATAACAATGAAGCCGCAATCTTTTTAGGTAAGTAACTGATTAAACTCTTCAGTGCATCTGGATTTGTGTGTTTCTTCCCTCTTGTAACAGTTGCTCAGAAACTGAAAGAGCAAAAGATAAGAAATCAAACAGAAAAAATCCACCCTTCACACTGGTGATTCATTATCACGTTGACTTTACAGATGACAGCTGCTAAATTCTTCCCCTTTTGGCTTCTGAACATACAGATGAGCTCATTTCTTTCCAACTGATCACATGCCTCGTGGCAGAAGCATGCATACTGGCCACTCCTTATTTTCCTGTTGAAGTGCATTCTTCCAGCTTTTTAAAATCCACTTTCTGATATAAGTTGAGAATCCCCATCTACATGGGCAGAAACAGGGTCATGTGGAGGAGCCTGTGGAGGCTGTCTTGTAAACTTACTAATAAAAAATAATTAACACATATTCTGAAGCAGATAAAGCACGATTAAGCACTGTGTCAATCTCTAGGTTACTTTTCTTGCTACAAAATGGGCTATGAGATCACCCGTATTAAAAAAGTGCAAAAGTCAACAGAACTAGTTTCAGAAAACAGCTTGACAGGAAACCAAAATGAAGGTTTTACTTAGGTTGCCTGTTTGGCTTCCTGCCTTAAATTCACATTTTGCAAGCTGTACGACACAGAAAATACAGTCATGATTTGTTTGGCGTTTTCAAAGTGCAACACGCAGGACCAGAAAGTTTGTTATCATAATTTAGATTTGCTGGCACTCTGAGCAGGCCCTGGACAGAATTTCCTCCTGCCCTTCCACTTGATTCTGATACATTAAACAAAAGCACCATTTGAGATCTTAAGAACTAACAATTTCACAGGCCCTTGCTGCAAAAACTTGGGATACTATCTTCTTGTACTGGAAAGCACCTACTGAAATGCACATTATGAAGCAGTGTGCATTTTGCTTCCTGTTTATTGTCTTGTTTTGATTTTTCAGCTCTATCTTCTCTTGCAAACACAGGTCAAGAAGCCAGCTGAGTGCACTTTCCACAGAGCTTACATGTACACCATTTCTGGGGACAGATCTTGTGCTCAATCCAAAGCCCTGATCCTGCAATTGGATCTGCGTCAATGGACTTTCACTAACTGGCACGCTAACACTGAACCAAGCTTTCCCCAGCCAGTAACTCACTGGACTGAAGCCTTCATTAACACTGCAGCATATTATGCTACTGTAAATGAGTGAGTTGACAGGAGGAGGAGAGAGGACAAGTCTAACAACATCTAAGCTCACGGCAACGTTTTATTAGCATGACGTGAGTCATTAATATTTCATTAAAATAATTCTTCCCCTGAGGTGCTGCTTGGGTGAAGGAGCCGACTGGCAAAATAAGGAGAGAATTAAGAAGAGCGAGGTGGAAGCAGTTGTCTATCATAAAGGCAAGGTAGGACAGTAAAGTACTTCTAGTCTTACAGGAAAAAAACATTGGCATAATGAATCTGTTAAATTCTGGAAATGGTGCAGATAGTTTGACATGAAATGATGAAGGCAAGAGAAAAAGACGTGATTATGAAACAGACTGAGGAATGGCTGGTATGGTGAGGGACAACGGCCAGCACTCAGAGCTTAACAAAGAAAAAAGGCAAGGAGGACGGAAGTCTTTATGGGAGATAAAAGGAAATTAATTAAGGCTTCTGAAACTACGCCACTATTGGAGTTTACTTTCTAACAGGGGATAGAAGACCAGAGCAACAGTAGATGATGACTATGAGGACACATTACCCAAATGCTGATAACCTTTGGATTTAGCAAAATTGAAACAGTAAGGATCTACGTTAAGTAAAAATCCACCACACTAGCAGGCAAACAGATTCAGCTTATAAGTAGCTCAGAGCAGGAATCTCTAGCAGTTGGTAGAGATATCATCTGGATTAGTGTCTTCCTGGCCTCTGCAGTCCCTTCCAAGGATTGTTAGCTTTTACTTCATTCTTCACAGGCTCTTGTGGTAGAACAACTGCAGTGGTAGTTCTAATGTTGCTACGACAATTATACCATTACAATTTCCAATATTTATGTTTCATCTCAATATATCTTAAGATGGGTTTATCATGAGTATGTGTCTTTCATGCACCGTCACTAATAAAAATTTAATAACAGACAATAAGCAGTTTCATATCCTCGTGTGGGCAGCAAAACACTGTACTACCACAAACAAACAAAAACCTGACTCAAATGGTGTCTGTATATTCCTCAGATACACGGCTTCAGGAAGGAAACAGATTTCCTCATCCTGTTACTGCTCATGAACTGCCAAGCTATCAGGCGGATGAACTCTTCCCGCACTGAGGGGCTACAGTAGCTTTTACATTAATAAGTTGTAACACAGCACACACTGTACAATTAACACCATCAGGGTGACGCCAAAATACTGACAATGTCCTCTAAGCAGCAGAAAAAACTACTTCACACACAAAATCAAAACACTCAGTTACAACTTTTTGGCTGCTAGAAGGTGAGGTACTTATGAAACCGTACCCAAGCAGCTCTTCCCTTCCCTTCAAACTAGAAATATTTGCTGCCAGTACTGAATTACAAGCTTCAAACAGCTCACAAAACGATCAAACTCTTTCTGCAACCTGATGCATGAAAACAAGGTGGTCATGTTTAAACTGAATCCCATGGGAGAATAACTCTTCAGATGCAAAAGAGGAATTGCTGTATTTTGAATCTACCTAATTCTACCTTAATTATATTTAAAACCTACACAATCTCCTTGGGATATCAAGCTGAAGTTGAGTTTGCAAGGCTCATCAACCAGCCAGTAAAGAAAACAAACTGGATCAAAATGCTAAAATTTCAAATGAACTCCGATGTAATTCTTACAAACAAGGATAATATTATTATAATCAAAACAGCGTACCTCACTGATGCCAGTTAGTCATTATTTAAAATGTCAAGCAAAGCATCTTTAATTACCACTTTAAAATTACTTTTTACATTTTCCTAATATTGTCATTGGTTGGTAATCCTTTAGATTGACTGATCTGCAGTTACATCCAACTGTATTTAGAGAAGTTTTGTGGTAACTAAGAGGATAAACTATACGTAGGTCACTCCAAAAGGAATACCTGCCATTTATTTCCAGGGAAACTACAGCAGGTACAAGCATTATTTGATTGAGCAAACTCTCAGCTACAAAACAGTATTTTTCAGCACAGTCATCACCATTAGCTATGCATCTCCACCAGCAATGAATAAGAGCCACGAAGGTGACCCACTGTTTCACAGCTGCTACGACTGCATCCCATTCTTCATCGGCCTGAACAGATGGAATTCAGAAAGTGCCAAATTCAGGCTGTACAGGGGGTGTGGTAGGACAGTGCAGCCAAGAATGGCAATGTCCTCCACAGTCTTCAAACTGGTATGGGGCCTGGTGTCATCGTGTTGCAAGAGAAAGATTGGAAGAGAAAGTTTGAGATTAGTCAGTGTTGTAATGTAGTGGTCAGAGCTGATGGTTTGTCCTGGTTCCAGGAAATCCAGGAGAATTTCCTATCCCAAAAAACAGTGCACTACCCACTGAGGGGTGCATCTTGAACTTTTTCCTTCAATGAGGAATTCACATGTCACCACTCCATGTACTGCCGTTCTGACTCTGGCTCAAAGTGGTGACACATTGGTGACAAGGTGGTGTCTCATTTCTGCTAATGATGTGATCCAGGAAACTGTCACCTTCAGCCTCATACTGGCTGCATAGGTCCTGACAAACCTGCATATGGTGTTCTTTCTGTTCCTGTGTGAGCATCTGTGGCACCCATGTGGTACAAACTTTGTGACATTCCAGTGTTGTCACCATGTTTCCAATGCATTGAAGCCAATGTTCAGCTCTGTACACAGTTCCCTGGCCGTAATCCACCAATTCACATGGATGAGCTGATTCAGACACTGTTCATTTCACAGTGTGACAGCTGTGCACGGCCATCCAGAATGCGTCTCGTCTTTCATGGCGCTGTCACACTGCTGAAATGCACCACCGACTGCCTCACTGTGCTCACATCCATGGTTTGGTCTCCATGAACGGTCAGTCAGTGTCAATGAATGTCAATGGATGCCATTTTTTCCTTGTGGAGAAATTCAAATCCACACCTTTGATTCACTTGCACTTCCATGTCAGACAGCATTCTACCACTGCCCGTCTGCTGCCATCTGTCACACAGCAACAACACGTAATGGGATATTGGTGGGAAGGTTCAGCCTCTGCTGCCGTACCACCAATATCTGCCTCCGAGGTTGTGGGCCAACACAACAAAACAGGAGGTATTACTTTGTGAAGTAGCCCTCATAGTCGGAGATTTTCCACCAGCAATCCCAGTCCCAGGACAGAAATGCTAGATGTTGGAGGTTTCTAAATAATACTGCCCTCTTACAAAGAACAGCAGTTAAATGTACATACATTCTCTTGATAAAACTGATTAATAATTTTGATGTAATGTAATGATTACACCTTGCTAAAAAAGACTGTATTTCTCATGTCCAGTCATAATATTTCTCAGGTAATACGTTGCTTTTTTTTTTTGCCAGGTGCACTGAATTATAACATGCAATATTCAGACCACATAAGTAGAATTGCATTTTTAATTGCAGACAGCAGCTGAGGACAATACAGTCCTAATTTTTATTATACATTCTTTTCATTCTTAAGTCAGAGAGCAATCCAGTAAGTGTTCAATATTCTCATTCTCCAATGATTTTAGCAAAAAAAAACAAAGAGTCCCTTCTGCTGCAGTCAAAACTATCAACAAGATTAAGCTTAACATTTAATAAATCATGCTAATTAAGATATCTGAGTGATTTACTGTCATACTGTGAAACATATTTGATCATTCAGTATCCCTAACAGGCATTTGAATTTCACAGTTCACACGGCACTGCATGTTTAGGTAATTAACCCAGATCACTTCTGACTCCATCTCAAACATTGTGGAAAACAAAATCAGAGCAATTAATTCAATTTAAATGTAATTTCAACTAGATAGTACTTTTCTGTTGAAAGAAAACATTGACTAAAAGTAGCATTTTCCAAGTGAACTGTGACTGATCCCCCTCTATTCTGAACAATCAGGCACTCTGAGCAATTAGGTTATTCTGAACATCTTAAAAATACTGGAAATGAAAACAAAATAAGAACCCCCACCCAGTAGGTCCTGTTGTTTCCAGTCTGTGCCCCTATGATACTACTATCAACAAAAGCAGCCTTTCTTTGGCATTTAATAATAGCTCACTGTCACATGCAGCTCTGCAATATAAGCCATTTAATCACTCTATTCTGTAAACACTTGAAAGCGAAGTTCTAACATGACTGTGAAAAACAAAACTGTTAAAACAGCATCTAAAAGCTAATATTAGGTCCAAACCCACATAGCAGTTTGTGGCCAGCCTTACACAGAATATATTCCTATCTTCCCACATACATCTTGGAACTTCTCCCAATAAACCTTAAAAATAACTGTTGAACTCTGGCACCTACGTCCCTTATTTCACAGGTTTTAACTATAGTAGCATTATGCAATTTAGCCCACTTGGGATTCAGACCTCAAGGCTTACAACTGTGGTGAATATAAGGAAGAAAAAAAAAAAAAGAAAAAAAAAAAAGGCTTTTTTGTCTATCATTCCCACTTCCCAGAGGAAGCTAAAATGCTATATAGTGATCATCAGTCTCTGGACAGCAATAGAAAAAGCAGTTCTATAAATACCTTTCCACATCTCCGATGCAATGTGTGGAGCCATAGGTGCAACCATAATGCAGAGCGTAGCCAAAGCATCTTCATATTCTGCACTGTGAAGAACAAGAGGCCAAGAAGCTTGCTAAGAAAAAAAAAAAAAAAGAAAATGAATCGTAAATATGAATATTTTGGGGTGGGAAGTAAAATAGGTCAATTAAGAATAACATGCAGTAACATATCATTAAAATCACTGCTGGCACAGATTGTAATGAGCGCAGCATAGCCTCTTGTTCATTGCTGGGTGAAAACAGATAGCTAATGGTGGTGAGTATCTTCAAAAACGCCATTTTGTAGCTTGCTTCTCCAAGTAGTTTTATTGTGCTCTTTGTAGTTTCCACAGAAACAAATAGGAGGTATTATTTTTAGAGCAATGTATGCATTCTATGTAACAAAACCTAAAATCAGTATCTAGGTTCAGGACAATATAATTTTACAATAAATTATGAACTTACAAGCAGTTCTAGAGACCTCTTGGTCACAGAGTGCTCTCTGACACTGTTATAGAAAAGCCAGACAAGCTGGGAAGCTAATGATTCTAATCCTGAAGGGAATAGTGCTGATAGATCCTTGGGGCTCTACTCTGGCACGGGAATCTGAACACTGACCTGTGTCGACTGATCTATGGCTGTGAGTAACATTCAGTGCAGCCACATCAACAAGTGCAATCTTGCATAAAATCCAAGCTACCTAAAGAGGTAAACTGCCTGTACAAAAAACCGAGATTGTGATGAATGCAGCATGTTTTTTTGCTGGGTTCAGTTAGCTCAGATCCTAGAGCAGTTAAAGTAAGGCTGAGCTTAGTGTCAACATGAGGAGCCCTGGGAGCAACAAGCACAACACAGCCTTCTCTGGTTTGATGTCCAGATTGCTTTTCAGCTTGTTCTAGTAAACGTAGTTTTGCATTTCTTGTAAAAGGTGCCAGGCAGGCAAAATTTGAACTTGAACTCCTCTTTCAATCCAAGTAGAAAAGAACAGCACTAAAAGCAGCTGGAAAAACTTTCTCTTTCTTTGCCTCTGTTTTGACTCTAACTGCTTCCCTTGGTGAGTTCGGATTCCACGTTTAATTTATGATTCATCACCCTAATGAAACAGCGCAGAAGAATGTCAGTACGTGTCAGCTCATGAGGATTGCTTTATGGGTGTGACGATCCCCACATCCCGCCTACTGGAAAACTGTCCAAAAGCAATGATTTTTAAACACGGACCACAGCAGAGCTGACAGATGGCGATGTCTTGTCACTGATACTCCTGAGGAAAGCACAAACTTCAACTGAACAGCTTTTAGTAACTACTACCTGTTTTTTCTATATAGAATTTTCACCCATCTCTTCACTTCCTCCTCTGAAATGGGACTGAAAGAGGAAGTGTGAGCATGCTGTAATGAAATTTGCTCTTGAAACATACAGCATTGACTTCCTTGATCATGAAATATACCAGTGTTCAAATATTTACCTGTCTGTAGGACACTGATTTTTTATTTTTTTTTAATTCCCCAATTGCTCAAAATGCCTATTAATCACTGAGCTGGAAATAGAGAACTGGGAATCACTCTCCCAGCACCTCACATGATCTCAGATTTTCATTACTTTAGTACAGCAATTGCACATGCCCTACTTAACATTTTCTTATATTCCTCAACTTTGCCAATAATTTCCTTAGAATCCATAAGATATAAAACGGTTTATCAATGAAGTAGCTAAAAAAAAAATCCAAATCTTAATTTGATTTCTTGTCTAGACTGCATTACCTTACGTGTTTGAAGAACTGCTTAAACAGATTTAAGATTAGTAGCAAAGATAAGGATATTTGATCTTTCATTATGAACCGATAAACACATCATCTAAACTAAAACAAACCAAAGAATTGTTATTTTTGTCTTCGGAAAGGGGAATTTACAAACTGTCTCACTGACAGTTCAGTGCTGAAAACCACCTCAGAGGAATACAAGATTATAGGTTATTTTCCCTGTAAAAAATAAATCTTCTTTTAAATCAGAATGTTTTTGATCATCCTATAATGCACTACTTACGTAGTTACATACACATATTGTTTAAAAACAGAACAAAACCAGAAGAAAATGTATCCTTTTGAAATTGCATGATGCAGATGTGACCATCAGAACCTACTGCCTCTAACACTTTCAAGCTCTTCCTGTAAAACACCGCATATTCAAAGGATACAGCAATATTAGAACATACCTCTTTTAATCTGAATAGTTCAATATGTGTCCATGAGGCTCTTGAGTCAGTAGCGATGGTAAGGACATTTAATGCCTTTTGGAATTCTGAACCTAGAGTTCAGGCAGCTCTTGCTTTCTAGAAAGACTTACAGGAGTAATGACTAACAGAAAAATACCTCTGTTCATATGGCATGCTTACATGGAGTACGTTAGAAAGGCTCATCAGTCGAGAAATAGCTGCATTGAACAAATGATCCTTTGTGAAGTACTCTGTTACCTTGAATTAAAAGAAAAGTTCTGTCACCAATTAATTGTAATTTTCAAAAACTGAATATTATCTTCAATATGGAAATCACTTTGGCATGCAAACAAATCATAGATGCAACCATACGTGTGTGAAGGTCCCTGGCCACAGGATTTACATCAGGCAAAGTTTAAGGAAAGTATCTGACGCTAATTTTGCAGATATTTTTATCTCCGTCTGAGTCTTGCATAACTGATTTGACACTAAAACACAGTATCAGACTTAGCACAAAAGGTGAACAATCATTTCAATAATTTTATAAGAAACACTAATCTATTTTTTCCCACAACTTTTTTTTTTCTTCTCATTTTCTATGGAACTAAAGGCATGACAACGAGGTATGAAGCCAACAGTTCAAAGCAGGTTGTTAGAGATAGTCTGCACAATTCACCTATAGCTATGCTGCTGGAAGTGTAGCTATTTCACACCCAGGCTGATAACATTTTAATGCCATAACACTTCATCCTTTAACTAAGGCATAGAGTAGATAAATTTTGCCAGTCTAAATCGCACTCTTGCAAAAGAGTTCTGTCCCATTAAATCTGTATCTTATTAAAATTACTTACATGGAGAATATTTTATTTCAGAATGATTTCATGACTTACTCATCTGTGGGAAAGCTCTTGGCCCTCTAAGCCAAGCATGGTTTTTGCACAAGCAATAAGTCATTTATTCATTTACAAACTGTTTCTTTTTACCTCAGAAATTACAAGATTCTTTTGCTCCCAGATCCTCTTGGCTTCAGCCTTCTCTTTCTTATTCAGAACCTCAGGATTTGGTATGGTTTCCGAAGTCCTTGCCTCAATAAGTTTGGTTACAAGGGTCCAGAGGCGAGTCTGCCATCTCTGAACACCTGGCATAGCATCAGCTGAGGTTAACGAAAGATGGCAGAAAAAAGCAGATATCAGTTGCAATGAAACAAGCCAAAACTTGGAAGCAAAATGAAATGTTTGCTAGAGTTTAATTTAAACAAACCAACCAACCAACCAACCTGAAAACCCTTAGATTTTACATGAGAAATGTAAATGCAGTTAAGAATGCCCTCAAAAATAATGCTGTGTTGTCTTAATGAAAAGAAACCAATAAGTAACAAAAGTGTTATCTGCAATGGCTTTAAAACATACACGTAGCAGAAATATTTGCTAAATCCATATGGTTATGTCACCACTTGAATTTTCACCTTGTGTTTTAATGACTCAAGAAAACAATTCTACAAGCTCTCATTTTTCAGACTCATGGAAGAATACAAGCATATATACATATATGCACACACTTTTTTTTGAGAGATTTCTTTTAAAATTTGAGCTTAAAAAGTACATATACTTCTGTTGCTTCAGGGACTCAACCATGCTGATGATTACTTTAATGATTCCTGGTACCAGAGCTTAACTTGGGAGGACTATAAAGCTCTTCATCCTGAGCTTGCAAGTACTGGTCCTGCTGCATGGCTCTTCAAAGAACATAACCTAGGAATTGTGGTATAGAGAAGTCCAAGCTAATGCTGCTCACAGCTAGCTGTTTGTGCTGAGTGATGCTGGGCCGCTAGGGAAGGTACAGCTTGAGCTTCAAGATGTATCAGAGTTCCACTGGACTGCACCTCACTACGTCACACCGCACAAGTGTCTAACACAGGTGGATTATCCTCCTGCACTAGGTAAAAGCTTAACTGGACAGTAAAATACAACCTGACAGATTATGCCTGTGATCCTCGGGAACTCTCTTAGGTGGGATGCAGAATACAATGCTCTCTCCAAACTTTTAATCTCCTGTTCATATTGGAATCTTGTACACCATCTAAACATTGCAGGCTTGGTATTCTCCAGGCTGCAGTTATGCTGTAATAAACTGCTTGTATGTTGTATTTTGTTGTAAAGAAATTAAGATCAAAAGCTTACTGGAAACTTAAGAAACCCTTGTCACTTTTTTTTTCTTAATTTATCTTTAGCCTGCTAAAATCTCACTGCGTTCCATGTTTTACAACACTCTTTTAAGAAGACACAAATCACTAATCTTCGTATTTCTCAGGTGGTAAACAGCTTGGTTTGAATGACTACCTGCATTTTCCTTGCACTGCATGTGCTATGCTAGGATTTCCCCACCCTTCTTCTGCCTGGAGAACCAGAGGGACACCGAGGAGACTAGAAGGGAACTATTCAGGGACCACACAGGGATAGGGAAGCAAAGTCGAGGTGAGGCATGATCCCCTTTAAACACAGTTATATTTGCTTCTGGACTCAACTTCAAACACCTGTGGCTCTGTGCAGGACCAGCAATAAGTGCTGGTCAGTGACATCGCTCTGGCTGCTCCAGCCAGCCAGGTCCTGGGCATCACACAGCAATCACACACGTGTCATCCAGTTGTTCAGCCACTGCATTATGTTTTGTCTACCTGTATGCTGGAAACTTAGTCCAGTAGGATACTGTCAGAAATAGTATCACAAGTTTTGCTGAACCCAAAAAAGATTGCATCTACTGTCTTCCTTTGGTCAAATAGATGGGTAACCTTGTCATAAAAGGAGATTCACTTGGCTAAACAAGACTTTCCCCTCATGAACCAGTGTTAGCTGTTGACCAATGTCTACATTTTCTTTCAGCTATTTTTCAGCAACTTCTAGAATAAACTTTGCTGTAATAATAGCAGGAACTAGAAATGAGACAGATAGGCCTGTAAATATTAGGATCTTCTTTTATTGCCCCTCTTGAAAACTGGGACTTTGCCAGCTTCCAGCCAACTGAGACTTCTCCAGATTCCCAAGATCCTTTGAAAATAATTGACAGAAGTCTCATCAGCTGGCTCTTTGAGTGTCCTGGGATGAATCCCACCAGACCCCATCCAGCTGCAAAAGAAAATCCTACACAATTTTGGGGTTGGCCAGGAGTTCATCTGCATACTGTTAGGGACACAGAAATTAGAGCTTTCAGAGCTTTTTTTTTTTTTTAATAGGCATTATCCTTTCACATCTTTCACATTCCCTCGATCTGTGCTGCTGTGATTAGATGGAGGCAGAAAGCCAACCAAGAAGTCATTAAGTCCACTCTGCCAGTATATGTAAATGAATGCGTATGAATATAATGGGTGACAGATATCAATTGAAATTGTGCTTAGTACAGACTGAACTAAGTAGCAAGAAGATAATGCGAGAATAAAGATATATGCATGTTTTAAATCAGGCATGGGATGTTTTACAAAAGCCTTGTGCAACAAGACAACTGCATTAAAATACATGCATCAAGTCTACATTAAAATGTATGAGCCACAGGAGAAATTAAGACTTGTCAGTATGACAAATTGCATGTTAGTGAATAAGCGTGTAAGATGATAAATCTTATCTTATTTAAGAGCTAAGCTCATAAAGGTATGTCCTGTGTACAAATATTAGTTATTAGGGACTCTGATAAATGAGATTATTTCAGGAGGTACTTTATGGTCCATCTTACGAAAGACATTGCACATGTCTAAACAAACTAAAATAATAAATAAGAAGTGCCAAGTTTAATCTGTAATCTGACACAATTCCATCAAAGGAAAGCAGCTTAGAATAAAGAAAATAATTTGCAAAGAATCATTTTCAATCAACAGTAGCTAACAAAAAAAATAAGAGAATAAGATCCAGATTTGCACTCTAGTTCAGAAGAAAACACCGTTTGAGGAATGTGTTTCATACATCTCTCTTTTTTTCACATCTTGTACTATTCCTGCAAGCCTGCTTTGCAGTGACAGTTTTGTGACTCCTCTTTTAAAAGAAAAAAAAAAACCAACCAAAATTGTTTATTATAATTTTTTGTTACTTTAACTTTTGTGTTAAGATACACTAGGAAAAAAAAACCCCACAACATAAAGTCTGACTTACTTTTAGTATCCCATAAAATATCTTGTTCTGGAGGAGCAGCAAACAGAATGTAAAGTCGTATGGTGTCGATGCCATATTCTTTCATTAATTCTTCAGGATCTATTCCATTGTGCTTAGATTTGCTCATTTTTTCCCATGTGACTTGGACTTTCTCACCAGTTTTTAAGTGAACTGGTTCAGTGCCTAGATATTATGACAAACACAAAATATTAAAATGAATTTTGCTCATTTCAAACAACAATTCAGTTTCCTAGGTCAGAAAAAACTATTTGTGGTGAGTTGGTTTGGCTTTTCGTTCTTCCAAACAGTTTAAAAAGAAAAATAATACAAAGAAGTAACAACCTTTTTCCCTGCCAAATTTTTCTCCCCTGAGATTTAAGCATTGTTATAGCCACACCATTTAAAACCTCATAGGTGGGTGTACTTATTTGGGACAGTTTTGGCCTACTGTTAGCTTAAATACACCCCGGGTTCATAACTTTAACTGCAGTAAGTTATTCTGACAATAACCTGTGTACTGTTTCATGAATTTAGGGACAAATAGGGGTATTTACACAGCATAACAAGAAAATTTTGCAAAAACACCTGCAAACTCTTCTAGAACAAAATAGGATAACAGACCACAGTACGTGTAAGAGGTTCATTGGTTGGCTGGTTGTTGATGGGGTTTTTTTTTTTTTTTGTTTTTTGTTTTTTGTTTTTTGCTATCTTATAGGATATGTATGCAGGAGAAAGCAGTGAAAAGACATGGCTGTGTGAGAGGTTCTTGAGGGAGGGCAAATACAACCAAGCCTCTCTTGTTGCTGCAGCTCTCCAGACAAGGGCTGCTGGTCCAGCTTATGCAGTGAGGGCACGGGGAAGAACTGAGAAACAGTATTTTCTCCTATTCTCATTATACATCCCATACATGTCTAATTCATCTTGAATACACTAACAACCATGTTAACTTTGCCACAGTGTTCATGTAGGTTGTCTGTCTGCTGGAACTGCTAACTTCATTCAGCAAGTTGCTGAGCACTGTTGTTATAAAACTTCGGATCCTTTGGACTACAGTAGAGCTAAAATGGTATCATAGCACTGTTGCTGTATGTGGTTGCAATTAAAAGTTGCCAGATTAGTAGGGTCTCTGCACACTCAGCAGTGGATATGAATCCCAGTCTCATGGAAGAGACTCTCTGGTTTAAATATTGCAAGGATTTATTTTTCCCCACCTAATTTTCCCAGCACTAAGATCTCTATGTCCCTTTTTAACTGAAATAGTCTCTGACTTTCTGGGCACACCTGTACTGGTTTTCTCACGCGTCCTCTTACCAGTGAGATCAACCTCCTCTCTCTTCAAATATTGGCCTGTTGTTTTTAGTCTGAACGTCTGATTCTTGATAAGACCTTGAACCAAAAGCTTATGGAAAGGCTCCCTAAGGATGGAAGGAAAAACAAACTTGTAGGTTGAAAACAGCTGTTAAAGGATACTTACGATAAGCCTCAAATGTCAGACGGTCAGGGGTAGATACTTAATGAAACAACAATTCAAGTTCATTGCATAACTGGCACCTTAGAAAAAGCACTTTCTGCATTTATTCATGGTGCCTCGCTGACAAGTGTAAATACTTATTTGTATTTTGTACACATTCTTGCATCATAATTTAGTACAGAATTATTACACTGTCACTTTTCAAATTAGCATAAAGATAATACAGAAAAGTTCCTTGCCAACTGGACAAGTTCCCTAACTCTAAAACCCCATTTGTAAAAGTGAGCAAGTATGAACTGTCACTTTTTTACAAATATTTAGTTCTAGCTTCTCTCTGAGAAATGCAGTATTGTGGAACAAACCAAATTCTTGCTGCACATTTCTTTCTATAAACTGAGAAGATAGTTTCTCCAACATAAGCATTTGCAGCAGAGACATGAAAACAATGGAGAAAATGAAGAAAAGAGCAATGCTAGAAAGTTCACCTTAGTGGATCTATTTATGGTTGATATTTATATTTACGCAAATCTTTTATTTATATTTTTATCATCTTGAATAGTAAAGCTCTACTTTTCTAATTTGCATCAGGAAAGGTAAGTTCTCATTAAATGTGTGTACCGTAGAGATAAAAAGAGCCTTAAGAGCACCAGCGCCAAAGGCAGAAGTTCACTCAGCAAGAAATAAACTCTAAGTAAACACTTTCCTAGTTGGCAGATACATTATTGCTGTCACCTTCTTTCAATGACCTTGCATTTCTAATTCACCTAGTCAGCTTTATGTCATCGTTTTCACTTAAAAAGTACAACAAAGTTAATCTCTAGAGGTTTTGATCAGGAAAGCAAAAGCAACCCCAAGATGGCTAGGAGTAGGAGTGAGACCCAGAGGGCATGGAGTCTGGGGAGTTTCCTCAAGGAATCCTCAGGTAAAAAGACACTGGTGACCATCATTTTGGAGGACATACCAGTCGGACCTGTGCTTCATAATGCTCTCATGTGCTCAACATGCAGCAGTTTGAATCACCCACAATTCCTCCTAACGAAGGCCCACATAGTTACCAAAACACTTAAGAACAAAGGATGCATCACTTGTATTTACATTTTTTCCAAAAGCTGGAATAAATTCATACATCTAAGGAAGAAACAGTAAGAATAGGCTTCCACATTTTACTTTCCGTGTACCAAAAAATCATAATACAAACACTACCAATTTGTAGAGTCACTGTTGTATTTTCACAAAATATAAAACGTATGAAAATTTATCTCGTTAAACCACAGTTATTTATTAAATATAGTATTCAACCACTAAATAAGACAACATTTACGTATGATTTTATAGTACTGAAGCAGTTGTCTTCCAAATGCTACTCCTTAAAAAGAGCAACAGTCTTCATAGTTAACATTCAACGTATTCATGTCTGAACAGGAGTTTCCTTCCTTGCATATTTTTCATACTTTCAAATATTGTCCAAGTACTGGCAAGTACTACTGGCAAGTGCATCAATCAGTCCCCAAGCAGCACTGGTCTCTACTGTGCTGCCTGGCTTTATCAGTGATTCGAATCAAGAACATTTCTGTACATATTTTTTATACTCAGGTTTAAACACAGGTTGCCTGAAAAATCGTGTTATTTGTAAAGAAGTTAAAGGATCTTCGGAAGACAAAATTTCAAGTCAAATTTAAAGAGTAGAAACAAAAATGTATTTTAAAAATAGGAAGCAGTCATCAACTCAGATCTCAAATAATTACCTAAAATTATCTAAGTCAATTAAATGATGAAAAAATCAGGAACAAAAGTCTTGCATCCTATCCGAGATTAGAGAGTATAGAAATATTTCAGGAGTGAACTATTCGGGATAGTGCTTTTTCTACAAACTAAATAAATTACACTAAGGAAAAACTAAAACATTTTTCTCCTATTACTGAATACATCAGAATGATTAATAACTCAATTTAAAATAGCTACACTTGTTACTATCTAAAGTAAAGCTAATGAGGTAGCCAGAACATCAAAGTCAGATAAGACTGTCCATTGGAAGTGATTTTTCAAGGAACACTTATTTTCAGTGACAAACTGCTAGTTCAGATCATATGCCAAGTTATTAAAGGCTGAATGGAGAAATGAGCATTTCCTATTTTTGTTTATGCTGACAGAGGCTACAAAAATGCAATACAAAATACATTACCAAGTATGGGGAGGAAAAAAAAAAACATTTGTTCCTAGTGGGAGACCACAGGAGAATACAGAAATGCCCAAAACAAGAAAACCAGAGCCTGTCTAATAAACAGAGCTCAGAAACTAAGCAGTTTTCCCTTATGTGCAGAGTGCCTTTGTCAGTGTTGTGATGGCTCCATCACACGGTCACACGCAGAGTTACACTGCCTGTAGCTCGCAGTGCTCCCCTGCGGTCAGTACAAGGTGCAGACTTGTTCAACACCTTCATCAACGCCTGGATGGAAGGACAGAATGCACCTACAGCAAGTTTGCTGAAGATAAGAAACTAGGAGGAGTGGCTGATGCACCAGAAGGCTGTGCTGCCATTCAGTGCGACCAGGACAAGCTGATCGAGTTGAGCGGAGAGGAACCTTACAGAGTTCAACAAGAGCAAGAGCACAGTCCTACACCTTTCAAGAAATAACTATATGCATCAGTACAGGTTTGAGTCTGACCTGCTGGATGATAATCTCTGTGGACAAGAACCTCGGTGTCCTGGTGGACAACAGGTTGGCCATGAGCCAACAGTGTGCACTTGTGGCCAAAAATGCCAATGATATCCTGGGATACATTAAAGAATGTGGCCAGCAGGTCAAGGGCGGTTTTCCTCCCCTTCTACTCTGCCCTAGAGGGCACATCTGAAGTACTATGTCTGGTTCTGGGCTTTTCAGTTCAAGCAAGAAAGGGAACTTCTAGAGAGAGAGCAGCGGAGGTCCACAAAGATTTTAGGGGCCTGGAGCATCCCCTTTAAGTTGAGGTACCTGCATCTTTCCAGCCCAGAGGAGAGAAGGCTGACAGGGCATCTCATCACTGTTATAAATATCTGAAGCGTAGGAGTCAAATTGATGAGGTCAGGCTGTTTTCAACAGCGTGCCCAGTAAGAGAACAACAGCAATGGGCACAAACTGGAACCTAGGACGTTCCATACAAACATGAGGAAAAAATTCTTTACTGTGAGCGCGACAGAGCACTGCAACAGGCTGTCCACAACCTCAAGACCCTCCCTAGATGCTTTCCTGTGTAAACCACTTCATGGAACCAGCTTTAGCACAGGTGTTAGACAAGATGATCTCCAAAGGTCCCCTCCAATCCCTTTAATTCTGTGAGTCCACAACAGCACTATTACTGGACTCAGAAGGATAGCCCTAGAAAAGGAGCTTACTGAATGTGTTTGCAACCCACATCTTCAGAAAGGTTGGGAAAGCCCAATACCATGTCCTAGAGCTAAGACAGGACCTTGGTCACTGGCAGCTGAGTTCAGAAGGTCAAGAAATGTGTTAGTTAGAATCATACATACTGGCAAAACTGCAGTAGGCCAGAATAGAAATGAAAGATGGTGTTGCAGGGACATTATTTCAGGCTGAAAAAAGATCAAATAATATTGGACATGTATACTTTACACAGTCAATAGTTGAGTGCTTTTACTGAAAATCAATATTTGTGATAAAGTCCCTGATGAACTTTGAAAAGGTGTGATACACTTCCTTTAGAGAATAACCTATTTCTGTCATACAGGTATCTTCTTTTATTTTATAATGCAGCTATGTAAAAATAGTGCCTTCTTATTCCACACATTTGCTCTCTATCAGAGTCAAATCCGCTGAGTTAATGGCAACAATAAACTTTTTTTATTGGTTTATAATCCTTCGGGAAGAATGTGATAGATTCCACTTGCAATTATCCATCTGACAGAACTGATTACTTAAGGGAAGAGGCAAATTCTTTGTAAATTTACTTGCAATAACATGGTTGAACAGGTGTAAGCAAGTGTGTCAACACACTCATCATGGTGGATTAAGCTGGAACAGATGAGGTAGTTGCTGGCCCCAGCTGCCTACCTGGACCCTCTCCCAGTGTTGGTTACAACAGGAAGGGCTGACTGGCTTGTGAATTCATTCCAGATCTGCTGCAGTTCACAGATAGCTAAAGCAAAATGGAATAATTTGAGCTTAATCTGTCATTTGTATCAGTACCCAGAGGGTGCTACTTATGCTGACTTCTCAGCTCCATTTCAATGAATTAAAAACATATGTAAAAGATCACGCTCCATCTCCAGGGCCTCTTTAAACTGTATTTACACCTTTACAATTATAGATGCCAAATGTTGCATTTGATATGAAAGCAACTGTGACATCTGTAAATGAATGGCATATAATATTTATACTGTAATAATGTGTATCATGCAAGGAGATGGCTTTCCAAATCTGAACTCTAAAATTTTTAACTTTTGTTTTCAATCTCAGTATTATGTTAAAGGTCCTTAGTATAGAATTAAAGACTAACAGGAAAAATGACAATAAATTTGAAAGGAGGTTAAAAGCCAAACAACGAAGATTTTAATAAGGAAAATCCATCAACATGAAAAGTATTACAGAATAATGGGGGAATCTCAAAAATTTGTTTGAATACTAGTTAACACTTTAAATGGTGACAGCTTTCATTAACTGAGATGTCACAGAATTTTACTAATTTAATCAGTGAACAGAACTGAGCAGCTAGAAAAAAGTCAAGAATGCAAAAGAGGGCAGTGTTTTTTAATGCTTTTAATATATTTTCCCTCAGAGCTGTGGGCTTCAATGCCATGACTTTAAGCTTCCTACTAGTAAGCTTGTTGTTTCTGATCATCTTTTTGGTGTCTGATACCCACCCTTGAGCTTCTGACAAAATCTAAAGCATGTTCAAAACATACTGTAGTACTGATAGAGAAGTTGGAACTTCCACATCAAAACAACTTAATTTGATTTTGTGGCTTAAAAACACCTAATGCTTTAACTTCTGCAGAGCTAAAGCAAGCAATTTTATGTATGATAAGGAATTTGTTACAGTCACCTTGCATTCTAAATACATACATAAGCAGTACAAACAACATATCCTGGGGGCAATGCTGTAACATACCTTCACACATACAAGTTCTTAAGTTTGTGTTACCTCAGTAGGATTCTCTACAGTCTTGAAAATTATTTCTACATAAAGCAGCTTTGATTTTCTCTGTTCGTCACTAAACACGATCATTGCTTTTTGTGCATTTTTTTGCATCAAAGTCAGTTTTCCCTCTGGAATTTACCATATTTAGACCAACATATTTTACAGAGTTTTGGTGCTACGGCTCTGTCACAGCATTCCAAATTTATAAATCTGTAGGTCTGCAAAGCCCTAAAATAATGCAGATTGAAAGGGACCTTTGGAGATCATTTGGTCAAATCTTCTGCTCGCAGCAGACCTAACTTCAAAGTTAAAACAGGTTGCTCTGGACCCACTGAGAAGACTTTTGAAAATATCTGATGATGGAGATCACAGAAACCCTCTAAGCAAACCGTTCCAATGTCTGACCTCCTTTACTGTCACATCTTTTCCTTCAGTGCACCTCTGGACCTTATTGTAGCCTGTGACTGTTACTCCTTATCATTTCTCTGTACATGTCTGAGAAGAATCTTGTTCCATCTTCTCTGTAATCCTCTTTTAGGAAGCAGAAAACTGCAGTTATATTCCCTCCTTAGCCTTCTATTCTCCAGAGTGAATACATCAGCTAAGCACAGAACTTGATAACAAAGACCAAGGAAATGATTGGCCTTCGTTTACTAGTTTGTTAGGCTGTTACTCTGCTCTAGCATCAGGCCAATATTTTCCTTGATATTCCCAGCAATATATCTGCAGAAATTCTTACTGCCCTCACATTCTTCACAAGTTTCAATTCTAGATAAATTTTGGCTTTTCCCAATTACCATGGGTCTACACAGTCAATGCTTTTATATTCTTCCAGGGGCAGCCAACCACAAAATCACAGAATGGCTTCGGTTGGAAGGGACCTCATCAAGTTCCTCATCAAGTTCCAACGCCCCTGCCACAGGCAGGGATGTCAACCATTATATCAAGTACTAGATTAAATTTCCTGGGGCCCCATCCGACCTGGCCTTGAACACCTCTAGGGATGGGGCATCCACAACTTCTCTAGGCAGCTGTGTCAGCATCTCACCACTCTCAGTAAAAATCTTCCCCCTGAAGTCTAATCTAAATCTCTCCTTTTTTAGTTTAAAACCATTCCCTCTTGTCCCACCACAACGCCTGCTTCTGCTCTCCATGTGCTTATTTTTAGTGCTCGAGGTCAATCAAGATGACCCTTTTCAGCCAAGCTGTGCTCTTTTCATGTGTTTTCATTTCCTTGCACATCAAATTGGAGGACTGCTTACTTTGCCAGCAAACCTCTTTTTCCTTGTGATCTCAGTTTGTAGTAACAGTACTTTAGCCACCACAGTTAAACAGGTAGAAAAATTTGACCAGCAGAAGAACTATTATATTTAGAGCTCCACTAGATGGCAGATAGACCAGTATTGTAAAGTACTTTGTAGCATTGATAAAGCTGCAATTAGCTGCAAAAAAAAAAAAAGCTCTGAAATTCTCTGCTAAAATAGTTACAGAAAGGCTCAACTTTCAGAAGCCCACTCTCAAAGAAGGAACAGCCTTCCTGCTTGCGACTATGCAAGCTGGAGACAACTGAGTGAAACATCCATACCAAAATTTCAAAGAAATGAAACAAATGAAATCAAAAGAATGAGTGATAAAAACTTGATAGTCTATTTTAATCAAATGATTATTAAATAACTCACAGAAATATTCCAGTGGCTCATTACCTATCTATTCCACCCTTTTCTGGTGCCCAGCTACTTAAATTCTAGTTTTGTAGTGAAATCACTATGTCATGTGTTTGTCATGTTCCTCTTCCACATAAAGTTTGAGCAGTGGATACTTGTAAAGAATGAAGGAGAAGGAGTTGCCAGCTCAGAAATTACCAAGCAGTGGTTCTCACGAGACCACTCATTTTGACTTAATCTATTGAAACATCTCTGCTGATGGGATAACAGGACAGAAAACACATATTTTACTGTTCCACCACTTGTACTCTCCCAGTTGAAGCTCTCCTGTGATGGCATTTTAGGGTACAAACAGGCCAGAACTTGAGTGGAAACTGGGACATTAAGTTGGGAAACAGGCAGGACAAAGCATAGAAAGATCAAATGACTCATGTTCCTGTCTCAAACTTTACCCCTAACCAAAACAAAGAGTAACGAACAGTACAATGGCACACTACAACAATACAATAGTAACAAGAGTTGTTAAAAGTAATTAAGTAAAGTAACTGAATAAAGATTAATTGACAGCAGGAAAAATATACTTATTTTGCTATTATGAACTATTTTGCACTGTTCAGCCCCAAAACTGCAGTGAATTACAAGAGTATGTATACATGGTTACACTGAAATTAATGATATTAACGTGCAGAAAGTTACCTAATTTTTTAATAAGAGTACTACTCAGAATGCCTGAAGTTTCTGGCTTATGTAAACCTCTGCAGGCTGAAAATCTACAGTAACATTTTATCACTTGCTCTAAGCCAGTTAATATCCATGTAGCAAAAAAAAAAAAAAAAAAGCAAAGCTGTGTATGCATGCCTGCAGAAAATGCAACAAACTGTAAGAAAAAAAGTAGTTAGCCTAGTGGTTAAGGCTGACAAGCACAAAAATACAGGTTTATTCAAGGTGATCACAACAGTGTCCAGTAACACTTCTGCAAAGTATATGAGAACTGAAAAAATTTTATAGAAATATATAAGGCTTACTTGTGTTTAGTCATCTTTAGATCATGGCAAAAATGGCTGAAAAACCTAGCATAGAATAAGTGCATAACTGCGTGCTCCTTGCCTCCAATGTACAAATCCACAGGCATCCAGTAGTCAGCCAAGTCACGATTAAAGGGCCTGAAAAAAAAATGCAGAATAATTGGAAAAATACAGCAGGAAAGAGAAAGATCAGCTCTGCTAATGTAGCTCGTCATATCTGACTGGACACCACTACTTACTGAGATCTACACGTGTATAATAAAACTTCTTTTGCGATCCTTTTAATCTTATGAGAAATGACATGCTTGTTAAATGGAAAAAAATAATTTCAACTGAGAAAAAGGTCCACAGAAGTATTGTTTTCATGTAGTTTGAGTGTTAACTAAGATTTCACCTATGTCACCTCAGAACGTGATGAAAATATCTTCTTGTTCTTTATACACTTTATTTCATCAACATCCTGTGGCTAGCATTTATACTGTTCATTATTTACCAACATCAAGTTTTACATAAAAATATATTGCTATGAAAGACAAAAGACATGCCTGATTAAAAAAAATGAACTTTTTTAGTAGAGTTCTGCATTGTTGCCGTTAGAGGGCAATGTAGCAGCTTAATACAACACCGCTCAACACTCAGATGGGTCGTCGTCCTCAAACCTAAGGATGCTCTGTGAATTTACAGGAAATGCTGGTGGTTATTTGAATTATCTGAGGCCACCTGCATGGCATCCTAGCATTACCTTATACTTTATTAGATGTTCCTATACAGACTATTTATACATTCTTTAAGCTATGTTTCATGGCTGCATTCTAACAAATTTACTCAACCCGTCTTCTTGTTCAATTATTCCAACTGTAATTCTTGTGACAGCAATACTGTATTCCTCACAGATGAGCCCAGACACAAACCACAGATATGAAATTCACACCTTTAGTGCAGCAAGTCTATATTTAACGTTCACGTGGCTCCGAAATCAACAAAATAATTCTCCCAAATTCTAGGTTTATGAAATGACTTGTAGAAATACAGGTTTAAGGATACGTAGCTTAACTGACAAAAACAAAAACAAACAAAACCCCCAACAAATAAATTAAGTGGAGGTAGAAACCTAGTACAGAAATCTGCACAAATGCTTTTATTTCAATGTAAAACAGATTTGGCTACACTAAGCTGTCACTCTGACAGCTGGATGTTGCATATGCCCGTTTCATCGTCAACTGCTGGAAAGTTTTCTCCTGTTCATGCACAACAGCATATTTTAAACTGTCACTGGAGAGAAAGCAGTCTCTGTAATTTAAATGATATTATTAACAATAAATTCACACTGTCACTAGAAGATGATCAGTGTGAAGCAGAAGTGTTCACAGAACACTTTTCTTTAGGTTAACTGAATGAGTGCTGCCAATACAAAAAAATAACTGTCCAAATCACTTGGTACATAGTATGTATCCAGGCACTGCTCTGGGCAATAAATAAATAGTCAATTCCCTAAGAGCCTTATATTTGGTAACAATATCTAAGAAATGCAACTCTTTCTGTCATCATTACAATGCAGTACTGTTTCACTAATTCCTCTCTGAAAAAACAAACAAACAACAACAACCAAAAAAAACCCAACTTGCATATTTCACTCTTATTTCACACAAAATCAGACAGACAAATATGACACTCTTGACGTGACCTTCTCAAAGCATGCAAGCTTCATGTACACAGTTTACATGGACATCAGGAATACTAAAATGGAAACGTCAACAACAAAAGCAAAATATACCTTATTAGACTCCTTCACCAACATGAAGCTTGTTATCTCCCACAATTTGTCAGGAAGACTGACATCATCTAGCTGATGCTTTCCATTTATCTGTGCAATAACTGAACAACGTATGAAAAGTACACAAGATTTGCTACCATCAGACTGCCCTACAGAATGGCTCTCAAAATACTCAAGAAACAGTAATGGCCATCCATTCTGCCATGGTAGGTGGCAAACTAATTTGACAGGTGTGTGTAAAATGCTTTTGGACAGCTTAGTCAGCCTCTGTGCATGCTGCTTTAATGCTGGTGAGACAACACAAGGCAGTATCAGTCATACTAAGACAGACTGTATGAAGCAGATAAATGACTAAATAACTACATCTATCTTCCCACAGTGTCCACTCTGCATTCTCTTATACACAGAACATGAAAAATTTCTTTTTATTAATTATGCATTTAGTCAAAGTAACACACAACAGAAGCTTCCTCTTATACCACCTCACTCTGGCTGTATGCATGACAAAGCAGCAAGACTTACTGGAGCTCTAAAAGAAAGGAATTAAGGTGACCATTAAGGTGTCATTCTTGGCAGCTGGAAGTTATACCATACTATCCGTCCTCCTCTCAGTGGAAAAGAACTACCTGTCTACACACCAGAATACTACTGTGTACTACTGTAGAGGACAGGCTCAAAGCAACTTACCACAGTCTCAGAGTTGTGGTAGGCTGTCACTCTTGATAGCATCCTCCTCTGACAACCATCTTTAGCTCCTTAGCTGAACACTTCCACTATACCCTGGCTCAAAAAGCCCTTTCATCCTGCACTTACACAAGCCATGTCTACACATACTGCTTTTGTAGAACTCCTGGCATAGGAACAACCAAATACCAGAGTTTTGAAGCAATCCCTACTCAACCCTTTGTTTTCCTCAGGCCATAGAGCAAACAAAAAATCAGCTTACTCAGGTTACTGCACAGGTTTAAACTGATTTCTGCAATGGCAGTTAAGATAGAAGCGTCAGTGGATATGGCCTATTTCTGCTCTTCTATTCAGTAAGTCAGGCTTGCCCACCAGGCAGCTCTGTATCTGGACCCCTTACCTGTCAGTGTTGTGAGGATCTGTGTATCTCAGGTAATACCAAGCAGAATCCACAAATGTATCCATGGTATCAGTTTCTCTCCTAGCTTCTGCCTTACATCTGAGCAGGAAAGAAAGACAGCAGCAATTGTTAAAAAAGCGTCAACCTTGTCACCAGAATAAACACATATGGGATGGTCATGGAGAAATTCATTTTTAAAACTGGAAGAGTCTGAACAGCTTGAAGAGTGATATGTTCAGAAAAACTTCAATGTAAGGAAGAGGTGCACACTCTCCTTCCCCTTCCCTCCCAGACAAAACAAAATGCAAAACAAAAGCCTGAGCAGCTGTAAGATGAAGCAATAGCAGACTGTACAGCACATGAATGTCTCCTCAATCACATATTCCTGTAATTTTTTTAAGAAAAGTTATTAAAAAAAAGCAAGTCTTACAGCAAAGACAAGAATGTTTTGCCATAGGGTTAATGTGTAATTGAATATACGTCTCACGAGTTAGGCACCAGCAGACAAACCATGTGAAAAGCAATCAGCAGAAGGAGCGGGTGATTGTTTTTACAAAAGGTTTTTTTCAGATTCCATTCGTAATCTCCAGGAAAAAATAAAATAACTTAATTCAATTTCAACTTTCACTGAGATGCACCAAATCTGTTCTAGAACGTGTAGCACATTTAAATTCATAATAATCATATTTTTTTTTAAATTATTTTGCAAGAAGTTATACTGACAGCAGTGAGAAATAGTTCTAAAAGATATTCTAGAAGCTCAGGTAATTTTCCTATAATTTCTCCCAAACAAATAATTTGTTTGTAGGAGTCGATAATCATCAATCATCACATTCAATTTTCATTTGTTGCAAATGATCTCTCTTCACAGCTTGTAATGCTAAAAGAATGAGATCCCTCTAAAACAAAATTTTGCAGCCCATGGCAAACTTGTATGCAATGTGCATAATAAATACCTACGTGGCTATATGTAACAAACGTATACAATTTATAAATGCATGCAAATTTAACAGAATAGATATGCATAATAAATGAGCTGTTTCTATTTAATTTTTCCAGCTGCATCTTTAGTCAAAATCATCAAGCTTTATGTTTTTGCAGCAACTTGTATCTCCCTTTCTGCTTGATACTTAGCTTTGCTTGTTGGGGCAAGTTGATGAGACTATCATCCTTCAGTATTTTCCTCCCCTTTCTCTGCCTCACATCCATCTCTATCAGCAAGATTTTCTTTAAACAGGAACAATGCAGCAAAATAATTTTACTTTTTAATATAGAATAGCCCTTTTATTAAATTGTACATATGAGCAGGGACTTCTCCAACATTAAATAAGACTGGAAGCAGCCGGGCTTGTCAGTCAAAATCAAGAATACTTTATAGTAATTGAATCACAACTGTATCTGTCTCATGCCTCTGCTGTCTCTGCTGTTGCTCGTACTCTAAATGGACATGGCTCGTCAACACAGAAGCAGCATGGGCATCTTTCAGAATTCAAACAACAGGCACAGCAGTGTAATCAGATTAGGTGATCTTCAGACAACTAACACAATTACCTGAACTTGTGTAACAATGAATAACTTAGACATTTCTTTCCATTTGTAATTGCTTACATTATTGTAACTTAGATGTGACTACTTGCAGACTCCTATTTTTCCATCTTGCTTTCCGTATTAATTTGAGGTATTAAATGCAATTAATGACAAAAGATCTTATTAGTGGAGAGAAGGACTAAAGGAAGGGATGACATAACATCTCAGAGCAAGGGAAAACAGGAGGTACGGAAAACTGTGCACACAAAGGCAACAGATCAAAGGATCTGAAACTGCAGCAGACACAAATGGATGATCGATACTGAAGACAGCTGTCAGTTATGTAAAAATACAAAGCTAAACAAAAGTCAGAACTTAATTTCAGTAAATCACCACATTCTAAGCTGAGAAACTGATCCTCTACATCATGATTTCCAACTAAACAAAAGCCCTTGATTATCTGCCTGAAGGTAGGGTGGCCACAATAACTATACAGAAGCAGTAAAGATCTGCTATGCATCAAACTGACATTGTTGCAAAGTCAGCAATAAAATAATACCTGAATTGAGCACAGAAAGAAGCCAGGAGCGTAGACAATAACTTTCAATTAGATCAAGAAAAAAATTTAGATAAAGTTGGGGATTTTAGACCTGTGCATTCCTGGGGACTTGACTAAAACTGAGGATCTTGTTTAGTAAGGCTTTCCTGCAAGAGTCACACTTAAAAATAGATTACTATATGAAATTTTATTAAAGAGGCGTATCTGAGAAGAAATGCTCTGTGCAGAAACATGAAAATAAACACGTTTGACTTAAAACACTTGTTAACAGCAAAGGTCAAAATACACACTTCCAGAGACCCACAGAGCTGCTTTGCCTAAGCTACCTAGTTAGTAATGAAAACCATATCAACATTCTACCCTGCAAGTGTTGAAGTGAGATGTTGTGAAACTGCTGCATTATCAATGAGAGCCCTACGGCCATTTATGTCTGGTCCTCTTGCCTGGCAGACTGACAAGGTACTTTCCATTTGGTCAGTCTGTGAGCAGTAATACTGCATTACACTGCTGATGAAAAAATTCCCTGGAGTAACGCATATTGTAGAAGTTCCTCCAGCAGAACATATAGACTCATCTCAAAGGACACAGCATTTACATAGGTCTCAAGATCAGTCATCTGATTTTCACGACATATTTCTTGCTACTTAATTTGATCTGTTTCATTTCCTTTACAGTTGTGCTATTACAAATAAATATTACAACACAGACAAGATGCACATAATATCTCCTTCGATGTCAATTACATGCTGTCATCTGTAACATACAGTGAATACGATCCTCTGTGGTAAAGAATTATATAGCTGATAAGGTATTCATTTTCTTAGTAATAATATATGATGTTAGTTCCCTTACCAAAAGGAAACAATTAAATAAACACCACAAGCAGTATATGAGCTCTGCTGGTGAAAGATAATGGAAATTCTTGCACTAAATGAAGTGAGAGATACTGTCAAGAAATTGAGGGCATGGACAAAATAATTGTTTTCCCTGTTTCCTTTCTTCCAAATAAGAAGAGTGAGGTTTGTTTCACCTTGCTTATAAAGAAGTACCAGTGGTGTCTGTTGCAAATACAGAGTTTTACAGAGTATGAAAGATGAAAAACAACAACACTGGGTCAGATAAACTGTACTTCTGGAACAGTATTCTGTGTGAGTGCTAAGTTGTGAACACACACAGAAAGAGCACGTGAAACATACAAGTATAAAGTGATCTCTCCCAGCCTGCAGTACATGCAGCATTCTCTCACCTTGGACAAGCACAGTTCACCCATTCTGGAACAGTTTCTAAAGGTGACGCTCCCTTCCCTGTAAAAGTGGTTACATTGGGCAGCACCACAGGTAAGTCTTCATAAGGCACTGGAACAGTGCCACATTTTTGGCAGTGGATGACAGGAATAGGTGTTCCCCAGTACCGCTGTCGAGATATTAACCAGTCCCTTAATTTGTCACTCATTAGGTCTCCACCTATTCCTTTATTTTTGGCCTGCTGGGTAAGAGCTTTTAAAGCATCTTCTCGAGTCATGCCTGTGAACTGATGAGAAAAAGGAAAAACAGAAGAACATGGAAAAAATCATACATTTTATCAGTGAAAATGCAGGAATAGACAAAATTTCACAAAAGTAATTTCAGAAAAATAAATGTTTACGAACCTCACATGGAAGTCCCTCTTCTAATTTCTTAATAACCTCCTATCCGAGAGACTATTCACATACCAGCTACTTAACTTAAAGTCTCTTGCTCTAATGATAATCTTGACAGTCTGAGTAGAACAGTGCTTAGAAAGACCTCTTCAGCCTTTACAGATAAAATACATTTATATGTTATACACATAACTACATTTACTGCTGATATTTTAATCAACTGCTTTATGTTGAAACTTCCAGAGGTTCACCAACACAAGGCGTAGTTTGAGGAAATGTGAACAGTAAACCACTTTTCTGTGCTCATTTTGGATTATTGTATTTATTACTTGCAAACACATCCTAAACATTTAGACCCTACCTTTTATCAAACAATAGATACAAAGTTCATATTCTACCAAATGCATCTTTCCAACTTGGTCTACTCTATGGCATAGCTGCCCATGGCAGGAGGATTGGAACTGGATGGTCCCTTCAAATTCAAACTATTCTGTGATTGTATGACTAAATTCTTCTTAGAAATCTGATAGCATACATCTTCCTTGAGCCTTAAAAAGTAGAAACCTCTTTAATCGTGCAGTATTTGGCACATTTAAGAAAACAGTTTACACTGATAATATAAGTTGGCAAGAATTTCAAACTTGTATACTCACCTGCCCAGAATTAATGACTTTCTCCAAACCATTTGGCAGTTTTTCAATGACCTCAGTGAAAGAAATGCTCAGATTCTTTGCTACTGCAGCATCTTCTGCACTAGTACTAGGAATCCCTAGGGAAAAAAATACCTGGAATTGACTAACAGGGATATCAATCATCAGTTTGATGATAAAACATTTTATCTCTATGAAACTCTCCTTACAATGATTTATGTTTGCTCAAGAGTTTGAAAATGTAAGAACAGTAAAAATGTTTTAAGCAGTAAAGTTCAAGCAGCAATCATTATAGACACATTTTCTCAGTATTTCAAATGTTAATCAATGTCCTATCTCCGAGCAGGCTGAAAATTATATAGTTCAGAAAGAGGCTAAAAATAAAGCAATACAATTTAGACAAATAATACATTTTAAACAGTTATATTTGCTAGATACAACAAAAATGTATTTCAATAATATAAATTTGAATTCAATTTGCTAACATGACAGACACTAAACAAACAGGTTAAACATTCCCCTTCTTTTAATAGTAAATGTCATCTCTTTCTTCTGCAGTATGGTATTAAAATTTACCAGAAATCAATTGTCTCTAACATTATTATCTTTGAACCCACTAAGAAACCACATGATTTGTCGATACTCTCAATAAAACAACCTGAATAACACCAAATTTCTATTGAGAACGTAGCTCATGAGAGCACTTCCTGTCATCAAATGAAGTCTCAGCAGTCACTGTATTTAAAGCACCTGATGTTTAATTTCTTTTCACATCTCATTATTCAGGTTGGCCACACATCTTGAATACACGTTCCCCTAACTCACTTCTTTTTATTATAGTAATTCACCAGCATCACAAAATGACATATTATCTTTAAATATTTCTCACTCATATTGATTGATGAGGACATCTTTCCTCTGATTTTGCTGCAGGTATTTTAAAATATATATTTTTTTTCTACTTTGGAGGACTGTCTTTCAGAGTGAGTTAAGAAACGTCTTAACTTCATTATTTCAGTATTATTTCAGAATAGATGTGTTAGTGTCGGATGTATTATTTCCAAATTGAGATATAATATTCTGAATATCTTTTCCCTTTGAATTTGGTGATAATTCACTTAATATTTTCAAGAATCTTGCACAATTATTGTCATCTTTAAAAGACAAAGAAGCTTATTCTAACAATCCAGTGCAAAAATCAGGTTGGTGAAAACTGTAATAACTCTCAAGATACTGCTAAACACATTAGAATTATTAACATACAAGCTAGTTGATTGAAAACCAGTTTATCAAGCATCTTTCTTTAGGCAGTGAAATGTTTGCTATGGTAAATTTCCAAATACATAAACTCTGTTAATACACAGAAATTTGGAAGCAGAAAACTCAAGAAAACCAAACAAAGCTCCCCTATGGCATGTAACTCCCTAACTAACAAAAGACAAAAATCACTACTTAATCTTTTGCACAGAAATAAGCTCCAGCAATTTAAAGGCTCTGATACAGCACAATTTGTGTATCCTAATCTGACAAAGAGCCCTGCAGCCTGCAACAGCTGGCGTCACAATATGCTCTACAAATGGAAATAAGGATATCCCACTTTTTGGTGTTCTTTCTGCTGAAATGATGATGCATTAATGTACTTTCACAAAGCTCAATAGCTGGCATCCAGAACTTCCTGCAAAGATCTGGTCTGTTTCCAACAGACATAAGGCCAGAGTACATGCCTGTGAACAAGCTGGAAGCCTTTACAGAAAAATAAGATTAGGTACCTCAACTGTTTTGCTTCTCATACGCAAGGGAAGGTTCTAGTTTTCAAAAACAGATTAACTCCTAAAGTGAAAGATGTGGACATATTACAAGGAAGGTATACAGCCCAAGTGGATGGATTTCCATCAGCCTTGTGAGAGTCATCCAAGACACTTTTGCACAACGTTCCCAGTAAAAAACACTCAGTGGCATGGCATAGACACCTAAGTGGTTCTCCACAGTCAACTGGTTCCGCTGATGTGCCACAAAAGCCAACACTGGCAGTAGTGTAAAGGAAATAAGAGTAGTAGAACCAGGGCAGAAGTAACAACCACAGGGAGGCAACAAAGGAGAGTTCAGGAATTAGGAAGGTAGTGTAATGAGGGGGAGCAAAAACCCAACAGTCAGAGCAAAGCTTGGTGTCTACTGTTGTTCAAGATAAACCTTGCAGATTAAAACGGACATAAGTAAAACTTAGTGCAATCTCAATTTATTTTTTTTACTTAGAACTGATGTCATCTAATCACATGTACTTACTTGTCTAGATTGAAATACTAGGCTTCCTGTGCAGGAAAGGAGTAAAAGTAGCTGCTTCATAGGGCAACTCTGAGAAGACCATTTCAGTAAATTCAGATTATCCTCTACCAATGCCCTTCTTTCTCTGTCTACAGAAGGAATCCCAGTCTTAAATAAGGGTCTAAAGTTATGGGAATAGCTCCTTTAGAGAAAGGGCCTAAGGACTCAGGACTACCTGAACGGAATTCTAACCTATTCTGAACTCTTCTTCTGATCTCAACACAAATATTGTCAGATACAGCTCAAACTTGGAACTTTTGTATGTTTATTGGGCAAAATCTCTTTGAAACATTCCTCTTTAAATGTTCATGTAATTTACATAAATACATGACAATTTTTTTATTTTTCTTTTTAAAGGAAATAACCTGGGTTGCTTGGACAATATTTATGTCAAACAATGGTACAGTTATGTTTTGATTAAGAATGGTGAGAATCAAATACATGTGTCCTATAAGTAATCAGCCCTCCGACAATATACAGATCCTTAAATTTAGTTTGTTAAATGAACTAATTTTATGATATTTCCATTAAAATATATCATCTTGCATATCACTCTCCCAGACAGATTCTACATAGCTACTTTACCCATCCTTCTTCATTACTGAAGAACAGAGTTCCAAAGTCCATAAGAGAATCACCGTGTCCAAAGATTTATCACAGAAGCATTTGGTGCTCCAACACAGAAAGTTGAAAGCTGTTGTATTCCAGTCACACAGTAATTGTTGCATACCTATTTTAGTATCAAGATAATTCTCAAAACTTGTTTTTGCTGAGATTACTACAGGAATTTCTTGATTGGTAAGCAAGTTCACAGCTGTCACAGAAGTGAGTGAGTCTGAAAACAAATGATCGTGGTAAGTAACATATGGAAGTAGGTACGCTAAGAACACTACTTACTATTAAAACTCAGCTTATTTTATACAAAAAAAAAATCTATATTATTAATTTTTAAAAGAAGAAAATAAAAAACCTCATCATTTCTAAAAAGATAACAAAATCTTCACTAATTGATACATTTTCATGACTAGAAAACATACCAAACATCTGAATCTGAATAAAAAGCTAACTGAGATTTAGGCTGAAATTAAAAAAACAAAAAAAAAAAACAAAACACCCAAGTCCTTGACCGAAATGCAGGTTTGCTTCAAAGTTGTAAGAATTTACCAGTTGTGAATTGCAGAGTCATGAGTATCATTTCAAAATTCAGCAAAACTATTCACTTATTCAGCTGATACAGATGGGGAGCACAGATATGCTTATGACTTGCTCTTCTACACAGCAGTGACCAATGTAAGATGAAAACCTAAATAACTCACTGATTTCAAAACAGAATATTCACACCGATATTAGAGAGAGGCTTATATCAACATCTTGGAATCAAACGTTTACAGGGAAGGAGAGGACAGAAGGAGAATGAAAGGTGAGAACAGTGATAAGCTAAACTGACATTGTGTTTCTTTGCTGGCCTTAAGAATAAAATCTAATCTGAATAGTCTAAAGTGGGGGGACTCAAAACAGAGATCTCAATTTGGACACAAATTGTAGTGCCTCCACAGCTTAAAGCAGATCCCAAACTAATATGTAAAGAGCCAATGCTTTTTAAACTCAGTCGTGTGTTAACAATTGCACATCATGATATGCAACTGCAAAGAAAACCAGAGGCTCTGTGTCACAAAACGCCTGCTCCTGGTAAACAGGGTCTCAGGACTTTTAGTGGTCAGTGAAAGTATAGAAGGCCTCACTTCTAAGATCTAATTTCAGAGATTTGCATACAATAGATGAAATTAATTCTTATTTTGCAGGAATGAGGTACAAAATTGCTGCTTCAGGGATCTGACTCAACGTGATAACAAAAATACAGACCATTATAGAGTTTTCGTTCACCTATCTTTGTGGAAAACCAAAGAAAGTCCGAGGCTTGTACTGCTACGTACAAAGTCTGTTTGAAATAAAATAACAGTACTTCACAGAATAGGCTTACTATATCTCAACTGTCTTTTTAACACAAACAAAATAGTTACTTTGACTACTGGTTTTTAATTTTTCACGTCTCTAGGATATTCATATTCTAGACAAAATTTCTTATGTTCAAATCATTGCACTTAGCTTTCCTGCTTTGCTTAAAAAAAAAAATGTACAGAAGTACTTTCTCTTTTTAAAAACAAAAAGCATCACGAACAGGAAGCAGAGTGGGTAGGGCAGTCTGCTTTTAAAAATAACTTCTCTCTCCCACACAGCAATAATTCTGATTTTATGCTGGAACCCAAAATAATGATTCTCCAGTTTACAAAGATGTTCTTTCTTCTACTCACCTGCTCTCATCTTTAGTACTATAGCAGTAAAGGAATGAAACTAGTTACAAATGTAAAAGAATGTATGTTTGGTATTATAACGAGCTAATGAAAAATATAAGGGTCATGTCTTTATTTCAGACACCTCACACTGGTAAAACTAGGAGACTTACCACATTCTAAGGTTAAAGTATATTTTTCTTGGCTAAAAAATGAATTTCTGAAAACTGGTTGCTCACTTCTATTTAAATGATAATTGTCTTCATGTAATAGAGAAGGATAGCTCTAATAAAATACAAAGCTATATTCCAAGAGCACAACTATAAGAACCTTAAGTAAGTTTGGCATATTACATCCTTTTTTTCTCACCTAGAAAACATAAAAACATATCATTCTAATTGATTAAATGAGAACGTACAGTCAAGAAATAAAGGGCAAGATAGCAACAAAAGGGAAAGAAAGCAAGATTACCTCAGCTGAGGTAACTCTTATAAATTTCAGGTTTTTCAAATAATAAAGCATAGCAGGCCAAGGATGCTGAGTACAGAGTATAAGGTAGGAACATACAGGAAACCAATTAACACTGATTAATGAAAAGAATTACCACATTCAGGAGACCAATTAATACTAATTAGTGAAAAGAATTACCACTTTATTGTATTTGTATGCCAGGACCTACTATGGGGCTGCTCTGAATTTACTGAATTGGAATCTTGTATTAAATGTGGATCTCTAGAGCACAGTATTACTTTGCTATATATTAGTGATCCACTTTGCTACACACTAACCATCTGAAGTCCTCTATATATTCTCTATGCAGGGAAGAGATCATTGCTTGTGCAAGAGCTGGTTCCAGTCTGTGCTAATGACAAATTACCGTATAGCAGTGAGATTTGCAATGTGCTCACATGGTCAGATTCTGACTATTCACTTCCCTTATGTGAAGAAACAAGAATCTCTTCTGTTACTTTTATACTGTGAAGTTTTACAGACATTATAAAGAGTAAGAATTCAAGCATAGCTACTGTTACCATATCTGAAGTCAAGAGAGGCTTTTGATACTATCTGACATGTACAAAAGATCAAAAGGAAATGTTCCCTCTCAACAGGAACAGTTTATACCCAGCTGGACTCACATTTTCTGAAGATCATTCTCTAAGACTGATACTCTTTTGTAACAAGGTGCAGAATGAGAAAAATATCACCTTTCCCTGGGATGAACTCCCTCTGAAAGACTTCCTTCAGACTGCTGTTTCCATGCAGCAGTCTATGACTTGGTAAGATATATAAATGGGAAGCTCCATAAATGGCTTCAGGAGTGTAGGTGTAAGCAGCCAGCTTCTCTCCTGATACTTCACCATTAACCTGAAAAAGAACCAAAAATGTCCCGGATGTTTTCTTCTCCATTAGAAGTACAGTGGTTTTAAATTTCCCTTCCTACTTCTGCGATTAACTAATTTACAACACCCTACAGAAAGAAATATGCAATTCTAAATAACAAAGCCAGACACATTCCTACTACATGGTGTTTCCAGGATTAAATTCTGACAAAATTCACTTCTAAGAATGAGAATGTTGTTTCTAATTTATTTAAATATAAGTAAAATAAATATTGTAAAATCGTGTGTAATATTTCATTGTACTATTGAGCCAGATTCAACCCCTGGTTAAGTGTTTCTATCCACTTTTAATGTACAGCCCCTGTTTCTGACAAATGGCAATAGCCAAGCTCACCTAAATGAGATGCTGCTTCCGAAACTTAAAGAGAATTTTAGACTTTCTCAGCTTCTATGCTTTCTACCACACTTCTTTGATGAAGTCCATGTTGCAACTTGTACAGGAAAAGATTTATAAAAGCTGGAAAAGGTGGCACTGCATTAAAGCAACTGGACATAGAATGTGAGCAATAAACCCTGAGGGCTGCTTAAAAGTCACTACACTGATATGTTCCATGTGAATTAACTGTGGAGCGTATGGCGGCCTCAGAAGGAGATTCTTCTACAGCAGGTATTGATACATATTTTCAGAAATAATAAAAATATAACTTAGTAGCTGGCATGTAATTCTGTACTAATACAGACAATTTTCAACCAATTTTTCAGCTGAATACACAAATGCTTTCCTAAGCAGGACAACAAGAAATATCACTTCAACAATGTTCTTCAAGAATCAGTGCAGGTCTGGGCATGAACATATAATATTATCCTTTTGTAGGTTTCAAGGTTTTTATATCTGAAAATCCATCCCATTGTGCATTTCTGGGGTTGCATTCAATATAGCCAAGCTTGCAGTATTGAAATTTCTGACTCACCTTCAGCAAGAAGTCAATAGAGCATCCAACACAGTCACCTATCCAATTTGCTTGCATTTCTTTTATACCATACCACTCAGGGAGGTCAGACAAAGCATCAAACATAGCCTGATGCAATAAAAGAAAAAAATACAATGTTCAGCTCTTACAAGCATGCAAATTAAGACTACGGGTTTAACTATAACTAACAGAAAAACAATACAGTGATGGTAAAAGACGGGAGAAGATATTTTTGTACTGACTCAAATTAATCTCTCTCAGAGAAAAATTAACAGAGCACACATCAGAGGTACAACGCGTCCAACAGATATCCTATTGCTACTGAAAGAACACATAATTTTGAACAGACTGAATCTCAAACACAGAACCCCTGAGTGAAAATAGACACAGAAAATATTCCTAATGGGTGTAAATTGTAAAAGCTGTGAGCAACCTAACTAGCTCAACACAACTACAGATAAATAAGATATGTGCTTGCAGGTATAATGGCTACAAATGGATTAGTCGTTCAAGACAACAGTTTGGAGATGGCAATCAGAAAAAAGACTTTTATACGTCCTAACATTTTAAGTCAGAGCTTGAAAATGGCAAGACATTTTCCAGCTGCCTATCCACTTTCAAACATTTTTACTCATCTTTCCTTGAGCACAATAGGCTCTAAAACTGAGGAGGATCTTCAGGATGATGTGATGTTGGTACAGAGAAGAAATCAAACCATAATAATAAGGATTTACATCACGTTCAAAATATGACTACATTAGAACAGCTTTGAAATAAAAAGCAGGAAAAAAAAGTTGGCTCCTTTGTTAGCTAGAATGTCCCACAGCCAGACCTGTAAAGTCTGTGACCATCTGCACTCAGCAAGAGACAGATCCATACATTCATGAGCTTTCTAATATATGGTATGGAAGCGTAATGAACTACTCTAACTAGGACTTGCCTAAAGAATTTGAGCCAATATGTTTTTAGGAAAAGAAGTCTACAGAAAATTAAAGAAGAAGTACAAAGGGTTGGATAACTTAAAGTTCATCTTAATTTTCACTTCAAAGCACTTGAAATTTTTGTTATGAATACTCCATAAATGTCCCAAATCTTTCCTTTGGCAGAAGTACAGACAGAGGCATGAGTCACTAGGACAGATGGTAGATATGTTGAACAATTATAGTTAAAATCTCAGAATAAGGCAATATGTTGAGGAATTTTTTCATTAGCTGTGGCTCCAACATCTAACACACATGCTCTTTGTTATCTCATTAACTGCTAGCAAACCACAAAGGTGCACGCTACGTACAACATGCTGCTCAAATTAAATTGTTGGAAGGAGGATAATTAGAGAATATATCCGTATTAGTAAAATGAGATGCATAAAAGATGTTAAAAGGATTGCATTCTTGTTAATACTCTGTTGTATACCCATCGCTCAAAGTAAAATAAAGGACATATGCTTCATAAAACATACTATTACATCATTCGGGATTAATAGCTTTCTACATCCTTAAGAGTCAAATTCCTTCTCTGATGGTTTATAAATAAAAGTACAGTAAAGTTTTGGAAGGTTTTTAATCATACTGTAACCTTAATGAGCTTTAGTTCACAATTGCAAGTGTACTGAATCACAGAGATTGCCCAAATCTCCTTATTCTCATTAATTTCAAGGTTCCAGAGACAACTGAGATGTATTTGCTGTGAATAATCCATGTATAAATATATCTACCAAACAATAAGAAATATCTGGTTATACATAGTATACTTGGAGACATTCTTCGGAAGAACTTTATGCAATTTAGAAAGTATGAAATTGGGCCAATACACAGAACTGGTTGGACACACTAAGCAGATTTTTACAAAATCTCTACTTGGATATCCTTCCTAATCTACATTTCATTTTTGCTGGCAGATATGCTGAAGTGTGCATGTGCTCTACTGAAGCTGTATGGCTTATAATTATTTGCCAGAAAAATCGCCTGGATTTTTCACTGTAGGATTATTACATCAAGATCCTTAATACCACTGTGTTAACCATTTTAACTCCCTTTTAGCAGGCTTGATTAGAAGCTATAGGCTATAGTTTGCCTGAGCCCAATTGTTCTCTTCATAATGCATTTCTGTTCTTCAAGGTTCCTACATCTTCAAGAAAGACTGACTTAGGTACTGAAGAAGCTGAAGACAAACTAATGCTCCACAGGACTGTTTTACTCTTTCTAAGCAACTAGAAAATTGTGGTGTAGCTATAAGACGAAAGTCAACCAGTACAGATGATCACAGAGTCATAAAATCAAGAGAAGCTCACTGTGAATTCATCATGGATAATGGTGGCCAAGTCTAAAACTAGAAATATCTGAATGCAGATAACCTATTTCACACACCCCACTGGATGGTCAATTGAAGATACACTGAGAAACAACTTCTAGTTGTTTAGCAATCTTCAGACAAAAGAGAAAACATTAAACCAAACAATAGAAATCACACAGAATCACACAGAATTGTAGGGGTTGGAAGGGACCTCCAGAGATCATCGAGTCCAACCCCCTGCCAAAGCAGGTTCCCTACAGCAGGTCGCACAGGTCGGCATCCAGGCAGGTCTTGAACATCTCCAGAGAAGGAGACTCCACCACCTCCCTGGGCAGCCTGTTCCAGTGCTCCGTCACCCTCACAAATGTTTTACAATTTCCCAAGAGAAACTCATTTCCTAAAAGTTCCCCTGCTTGTAGTTCAAAACGGGTGAATTCTGATCAGCACCTAAAAAATTCACTTTCTAACCCTGGGAAATGCCTTCCATTCATTTCATACTGAGTAACAGTATTCCAGCTTCTCTGTGATAATAAATGCAATAAAATGAAACATTAGATATAAAGTTTAAAGCTAAAAATTTACTATGCTTTCAGTGAATTCATTCTAATGAAGTTTCACAAATTTGCTTCTTAACTGAAGCTTCTTAAATGATGACTAAAAAATGTCATAAAAAGCTTAATTTCAAAGGCATTTAATTAAATAGCAAAACAAAACTGTATTTACCAAACAAAATTAAAATTAAAAGCAGAAGCATTTTTCTAAGGAAAAGTTAAAAACAAAAAAAAAAAAATTAAAGATGTCTGGATTAAAACAAAATTATTCACTTCATTTGACCAAGTTCCCAAAAGAATATCCAAATATAAACTAAAGATCACACAGAATCATTTAATAAAATGCTACATACTAACTAAAGTACAGGAAATTAAATTTAAGATGCCCACTACTTTATTTTGCATTCTATTGCAAGGTTCCAGTTAGGATTATGTGGTACAGCTTCTGTTGGTACTTTTAAATCTTCTTGCTCTGCTTTTTTTTGGTTGGTGGTGGTGGTGGGTTTTTTTAGGTGGTTGTTTTCTTTCTACCTTCAGCCGTTACTCTCTGCAATGTCACAGGTCACTCTCAACTCTTACTTCCAAGTGTGTGAAAACATATATAAAGGAGTAATAACACAGAAACTATGTGTGATTCCAGTCCTTCCTCCTGCACGCCTGAACTGTCAGCAGTTTTTCTCTTATATAATTCACGGTCAACAAACATCTCTGGTTTGACTACACATAGCTGAGGCAAATAACTGACATCCCAAATGCCAAAAATAAAGCCAGTATTCTCTTCTACAGTTCTTCTCAGTCTCACTGTAGCAATGCCTAAGTGAAAACATTCTCATTCTAGCACAACAAGGTGTATCTTTGGAGGAAAAAAAAGAGAACTGATTCTGTAAATATAAAAGCTCTTTAAAAGAATTGCTATCATTCTTAGTAGTACTTAGCTCTTACTGTTTGCATTAATCTCACACCAAAAGGAAATTAAACTCGTATTACTGCAGCGCTGCGTGATATGCTGCATTTGTACTAGAGTGAAAACACAGCCTGGCCCAGAAATCCACAGAACACTTTCCTGTCTTGCCAAGCAAACAAAATAGGTGTCATTTCTTTATTAACAAAGCTCTAAGAGATGGAGCTCTTGGTCCCTGGCCAGGAGAGCTCTCAGTATGACTAAAGGGGAAGAGTTTCAAAGCAAGTTTTATCAAGCCCATTCTGTTGGAAGTAGAAAACTATGAGCTAGACTTCAAGTACAGGAAGTGAAAAATCACACATCCAGCATGTAGAACTAAGGAGCCAGCATTTCTGTTCTCCTCATCACGATGAGGCATTACCTCTCACTGTGAAATGCAAAGTACTGTCAATATTCTTAACATTCTAAAATGCAGTACTTCAGTTTCATTACAGGGTAAAAAAGTAACCATTTTAATAACACAGGAAAAAAAAAAAAAACCAAGAAAATCAAGTAAAAGACTATTATGTAAAAATTCAGATTATATTCAGACCAAAGAGGCTGTCAGATGAAGTGGTAACAAAAAAAAAAAAGCTGGAAAAGAACTAATAGATCTTCCGGTGTTTTACGCTTACAGAAAGTGAGAAGGATTTGTCTCTACAGGCCTGCACAAATTGAATAATGAAGAAAAGACTGCTGTATGGCAACTGTAAAAATTTAGACAGAAATTTGTAGGCCTTGTCTATTTCCCCAGTATTTAAACTATCTTCATGCGGTGCAAAATGGGAGAAGATTGAAGGCAAAACACGAAGTTTCAAAGTTTCTCCTACTTTATTTATTTTTAGTATTCTCTAGTTATTTGAATCATTCAATTCTTTCAGTCGCTTTTGAAAAATCCAGAAATTTCAGTAAAATACAAAAACATGCATTGTATGCAATTAATTTTGGAAGAACAGGTGCAATGCAAACACTGCCCTTACAAGCTCTGATTTGTGGACTAGGCTGCCTGTGCTTTAAAGAAATCGCCATCACACCAATAACAATTTACAAATAACACAGGGAACACGCTAACATTTCCAGATCGATTTTTCCAATGAATCTGCCTACAGATTCAGCTGGTAACCATAGCAACTAAATGTTTTAGCTTAAAACATCTTAAATGCACAGACAACAATTTGAATAATAATGTCATCACAGTTAAGGCATTGTGATTTTATCAAAGAAGTCTGTCAAAAGAAAAATGACAATTAAAAGGTCCTTTGAATATCCATCCGAGCTGCTAGACCTTTTCAGGTCTATTCTAAAAAATGGGTCACAATTACTTTGTAACTTCAGGTAACCAAAATACTTCCTGCCGACTGTTTAAAGAATGGTCAGTTCTTTTGCCCTTTAAAAAAAACAAAAACACACTGCCAATGGTACCTTATGTGACTAAACACTGCTTTGTCTGTTTGCATTTTTTTGTTTCAAAGAAGGACTAGGAACAGGTGCAGAAAAAATAAAGAATTCAAAGCAAATCCACAGAAGATGGTTCCTTGGACGCAACAGGAATCTAAGATACTGTGTGCATATAAATTAAACACAGACTACTGCAAGCACAGAAAATGATTTCACCACCCATCACTGATCAAGTAGTGCCTTGTTGCTACCTGAGTAGTAAATAAAGCATGCAGATGAAGACTAATGTTCACAGAATTTATTTTTGTTAGTTGGGAGACAGAGAAAAAAAAAAAAACCAGAAAGACAAATGGGTGAAAGAGAAACACAGATGACTAGAAAGACCATCAATATGCAATATAAATAGGTTGTATAGTTACATCAAGATAATTTGTGGATGCTCCAAATAGAAAATAAATTGTAGGCATCCATATCATTCAGTTATTATTGCTAGCTGGTAATTTGCATGAAGAACTAAAGAATAACAGACTCATTAAATATATTTTAAATGGATCCCTGTCTACAAAAAATGGTTGCAGTATAAAGACTTGTATTTTCCTCTAATCCATATGGTAAGGTGCCACAGCAGAAATAAAGCATTTTTCAGTGTGCTGTCTCACTGTGTTAAGTTAAAGAAAACCCAGGGATAACTTCTGGAACAAACAAGTGATTTGCAGAGAGCCTTGCTGCAAGAAAAGGTCAAGGAAGGTGGAGCTTTCTGGCATTTGGTCCTAAATTTCTGTAAGCTTTTCTAAAGGAATAGTAGTCACCACTGAAGGAAGCTAAAGGTGAGCAGAGTACCAAAACCAGATTAAGCATCACTGGAGAAAGAGGAAGGGGAAAGCAGTGCACACTAAAAAATTACTAACCGTCCAAATCCAAAAGTAACTAACGTAGAGAAGAAATACAAATCTTCCCCCAAAGGTGCAAGGATTAAATTGCTATCTGCTAATCTCTCTGTATCTCCCATTTTAAAGTTTCAGAATAAAAAGTAGTGAAACTTCTGTGGATACAACTCACTGATCCACTTAGCCCCACATTACTAGCTTTACACAGAGATAGCAAGAACATCTTACACAACAAATCTTCGCTGTGCCAATGAATTTGTTCAAGCTGCGAGATATAGGAAATACAGGGGCAGGTGAGTACTGATAGGAATTCTGGCAGCATGGCTCAAAGATCTAGAGGCTAGTCTGCTGACAGAAATTGTAGGTCTTTAGATCAGAATGATTTGGACATCATCAATCTGGAACCACTTTGCTTTAGCCTTCTGGTCACTCTGAAAAGAAGCAGAAATGCACAGAAGTATACCAAACAATTGGAAAAGAAATGAGAAATGAAGATCTCAAGTCCAGACAAGGTCTGGAAAACTGAATTTCAATTTCTGTGTTGGCTTTTGTTTTTTGTTCTTTGAGACAAAAAGATTAACCACAGAAAATGACTAATTCCATTAAAGATAATCTTTATAATGTCCTCTCAGATTTCCCTCTTACAGCAGCATAGCATATTAAGTACAACAAGTAATCATCATAATCTCAGGCCAGCTTGTATAAAAACACCTTCTGCTATTGCAGTATGCTGGAGTATGAAGGCTCACTTCAGGTTCCTGAAAATAACTGCAGGAAAGTTACTATATACATATTAATTGTGAGCTCCAAACAACTGAAGAAATAAAAAGGGAAGTGATATCTATAAAGAACCTGCTATTTTTCTGAAGAGGTATATTCATTGATAAACTCTCAGGTAAAGATCAAAAACTATTTGTTGTACTCATTTATGATTAGAGGCCACGTACCCAGAGTTTCTGAACATTAAAGAAAAGGAAGTTGTTCTGGTAGTAGTTCTCATCCATGATGTAAGCCAGGTAAATACTTTACGCAGATGAGTGCTTTCAGGAACAAGAGACAACAAATACTGCCCCCCTCAGAAGTGAAGGTATTCTCATCACTAATGTTATCATCCTAAAATCGTTTAGGTGTTAAAAATGTTTAGCTTCTTAGAGTCAAAGAGGTATCTTTGATTCATAAAAGGACTAGTCACATAAAAGTGCCTTAAAAAGTACTTGGAGTGACTACTGCAAGGAATAAGTGTGTGGAAAGTTGAGTTCTGGGGAAAATTAGTCAATATATTCAGATAGAGGAGTCAAAGTTGTAGCATATAAAATCTGTGATATGGCATTCTCTCTTGAGATGCTACTGTGAAGCTTCCTGGTTATTTCAGTGTGGACACACTGTCTCCAGGAGACAGAAGTATCTTGACAGTGATAGCTCAGAGACCGTCTTCCTCACATGGGCAATCTCCAGTTTGCAGTTCACAGGCCATTCAGAAGGTAAGACACAATGTACCATATCAGCTAGTCATTTGCAACTTGAAAGAAAAAAATAAGTAATAAAAAATGAAATTTCTTTATCTTAATCTTCTGAGCTGTGAAACCCATCTAATGTCAGTTATTGGATAAAAAAAAATTCCCCTGAACAACCAAATGTACAAAACCCTTGCCAAAAGAAACAGAGTGAGACTGTTTAAAGTTTGCCAGGACCACAGCAAAAAAAATGGAAAAGTGAGTGAAGAGGAAAATCCAAACCACCTGCTAGTAACTGGCAGCATCTGTCATTGCACTGAGAAGCAGGAGCACACGAAGGCAATGCTTGCCAAAGCACTTGAGCTGGGAGCAGTATGGCATAATTCATCGACTTATTTGTATCAACTACAGAATATTAATCAAGCACAGCACAAACTTCTGGGAAGCTTTATAGAGATCTGTAGAATATTCACTGTCCTCTGTATTAATGATTAAAGGTTTGGTGGAGGTTGACCCAAACATTTATCCCTAAATAAGAAATAGAAACAGCTCTCACTCATGATCAGATGTTAAGGAGCATTTCCTGCACCCTAACCCTCCTCCTTCTTTTGTAGGTAGGGCATACAGCAGTCTCTCAAGATGAGATCTTTTGCAGGGAGGTAAATGGTTGTGGATGTAAAAGGTCCTCAGCTTTCAGTAGAGCTTACTTACTGGATAATGAAATTTGGGAGACCTGATCATTTACCAAGCTTATGTCTTACCCATAATTGTATTTCTTAACTTAGAGACTAAAGCAAAAAGGTAGATCCTCCTCCCTAGAGAAAGGTGGATGAGCAAAAGGTAATAATCCTGTAAACCAAAGGTGTTTTAAGGTTACTGAAAGGTTTCCACTTCAAGGTTGGGTTCTCTTTAGTAGAAATTTAAGGCTGATTCACCTTTCTCAGTGGGAAATAAAAGTCTGGTAATTTGGTCAAGCAGGGATACAACCCAGAAATATCAGTCATTACTTCCTATAACCTCTATAAAGAAATAGACAAAAATGTATTTGTTAGAATAGAAACTCTGAAGAATTTCCAACCTCAAACTGAGGCAAAAAGTTGGGGCAGACCCTGAAACGTGACAGTGATCATGAAATCTGACAACAACAGCACTGATAAAGAGCTCAGAACCTTGTGATCATTTTGTGATTGTGCAGACGTGTTCAATTTTTCCTTCAAATACAGCAAATGTTCCCTCCTTACTGCCAGAACAATCAGAAAAAGTACATCTCAAACTATCCTCGTTGCACATGGAGAATCAAAGGATCTATGGTTTTCTCTTGATTATGAATGGACCTGACATGCATACTCCCTAAAAGATGGTAGAAATTAGGTCTCTCGAATATGAGCTTTATTAAAGACTAATTTTTAATATTTTATTGGACATAATTTTCTCAATCTATACTTGAGGTCCCAATACACAGAGCACTTGAATGGCATAAAGATTTCATCCAGATAAAAGAGGAAGGTGACGCTTTCTTTTTAAGAACTCACAGATGTGGAAGATATGCTGTACGCTGCAGTCCAGATTTCAGCTCACAGCAAAAAACACACACGAATCACATATATTAGTATATAGTTACATATTATGCAAACATGTAGACATAAAAGACCCCATTCAGCTTAATAAATATTTCTGGGAAAAGAGTCATCTCCTTAAATGCTACCACAAATTCCGAAATCAGTATCCTCATACCTTTGCATACGCAGTAGTTTTAATGAACCATTGTTTGAGGTACTTCTGTTCCACTTTTGCTCCCGAGCGCCACGAACAGCCATTGTCATCCACCTGTTCGTTAGCTAGAACGGTTTGATCTACTGGATCCCAATTCACCAAGGCCTGAAATCATTTCAGGAAAAAATATTTTAAGCCGCTATTTCAAAAACAGAATCTTACTTTTTAGATAACAGAAAGATTATCCTGAAACATTTTTTGGGTTCCTATTTTCTACACTTTTATAACATCCATTTGCATCTGCAATGCAGACTCAAGCGACAGTATTTTGAATGTTTAAAAGAAAAAAGCGGTTTGCAGGATTTGCCTGGTTTGATGGCTAAGTATTCCAATTTCCAATACTGCAAATTGAAGTTTGATGCTTAAAAGTTGTCCACCACTAATCCAAAGGTGTTGAGAGTGAGACTGAAGGGGATAGATGACTGAAGATATACAACATGAGAGGAGATTGTCACACAGAACTATTACATTGAAGTGAAAGACCTGTTATTTTCCACACGTTTCTTGTCAGTTGTGTGAATTACTTTTGCAATCATCTTTCTTACCAGTTACCAATGCAAATGTATTAAAGAAAATTTAAAGTGAAATAAATAGTAGTGTTGTATTCAGACATGGTGGGGAGGGAGTAAAAGCAAAACCTTCCCCTAGCAATACTGAACAAATTAGATGATCGTTTATGATAAAGGGTGTAAAATCACACTCAAAAACCCTCAGAGCACTGACAGTCATTCCAGACGTAGCATCAATGACAGACACTAACTAGAAAAAATGAACAGATAGAAGTGATGGTCTATTAAATTGAGTTTTACCTACTATTTGAACAAAATCAAAGTTAAATCAGCTTAAATAAAAAACATTAGCACCAGCTCCAGAGCACTGAAATACATTACACGTTATTTAAAATGTTTACATTCTTTGGGTACTGGGAGAACTTACTATCTCAACCTATGCACATTCTCTGCTTTGGTATTATTCACGTTTCATCCATTACTGACGACCTTCTGAAACGTCAGTTTCCAAACTGACAATGCTTAATTGCAGTTCTGCTGGGCATTCTTAGAAAAAGTAAATACAACAATCATTTCACAAACATTTTGGTGAGGACAGAAGAAAAACAGATATACAAACCCTATCTTTCTGACGAACGTTGTTGCTATTTTTGTTATCAGTATAGCTTACACTCATTTACACAAAATTCATGATGAAAGAATGAATTAAAGTCTTTTTTTTTTTTTTAATAAAAATGAACTCATTTTCAAATCAAGCTTGAATGAATTCAACATATCACCGGAATTTGAATTTGCCTACCTTCCACTAATTTCCTGTCAATAACATTATACAGTTTTTACAACAGCCTTCAAAAAGTTTATTGGGAAATCATAAGTGATCAATACATTCTGCTATTGTAGACCTATTTTCTAACTTTCAGAACACAAGCTTTTTTTCAGTAATGATGCAACACATTATGAAGTTGGCTTTAAAGTTAGGATCCTATCATTTATAAAGATCTAAAAAATGTCATGCTATGTTAAAATAACATCAGGAAGTAATAAAATGTCAGCTGCATGAGGTAATATCAGCATTTGCTTGTGTTAAGTTGGTTATGACTAGAAGTTGAAAAAAAATACTGCTTTTGTTTTGATACTAGGTAAGCTTGTGAAAACTCTGGAAATTAACCAAACTGATTTATGCAAGTATAATTATTTAGCATGACATATTCTCATGATTCATAATAGCAAAATTTACCTAGAGAGATAATCCAAAGCATAAAGCAAATACATATGTAAGAAATGCACAGCTGAATGGCCTTACCATGAACTTTTAGGCTTGCATTTTGGTCCTCCCATCTCTCAGAGCCTTCTGACTAATATTCAAAACCTGGATATTAAATTAAATCCTTAGATCTTACTTGTACTTCACAGAGGCAACCTTGTGAAAACAAAAGCCTCAAACAGTAGCTCCAGGAAGTAACTACATTTCACCAATACAACGAGAGCACAGTGTGAGAGTGCACATCTCACACAGCTTATTTAGATCTGCTCTCTACATCAGGTCACAAGCTTTTAAGATAGGATTCATCTCATCTAACCTCAAATGTCAGAACCCCAGACAGCATAAGTATCATCTCCAGGTTTGGTGACCATGGTACTAGACTGCAGGTACCTAATCAAAATAATCAATACAGTCTAGACAGCAATTCATCTCAAATGAAATGAGACACACTTGGCGAAGTCAATACTCTCCACAGTACATTGATCAGATCTGTACCTTAGGAGGGAGAGTATTTTGCTGTGGTGAATTAAGACACACTGTCTCCAGAAGCTGCAGCATCCAGACAGGCACTGTTAGCTCTCACTAAGTCCAGCTCCCAGACACGCAAAACCTGTTTCCCAACCAGAAAATTTTTTTGCCAGGCATGCATACTCCTGGAGTGCTCACCACACTAATACTTGACACGTATCATTCTTATCTCTACAGTAAGGCTATCAATTATCTCCTCACACCTAAAAGAAATTGTAAAACAGGAGACTTCAAGCTGTGCAAAAGTACTGCTTAACGTATATTGCAGGTATGCTAAAGACACACGATAGATGTATGCTTCAAGGATACGTGACAGCTTGAAGAGACCAAGGGTTATGGGCTTTACCTCTGCCATCTGTTTTCTGCCAAAAAGCAACCGGTTTCTATTCAGAGATTACATTTCCTACAGGTTGACAGATGCTGATTTAAGTCCTCAAAGCACATGCAATCAATGGTACTCAAAATCCCTCAACAGCGGGAGCCTGCACAAAAAACTGCTTTTGTGTATCTTCTAAAGAAGCTGCAAGCCCTGAGCTTTTCAGATTCACCTCAAAAAATATATATCTATAGATAAAAAAATATAAATCCTAGCTTTTTGATAACAAACTTTTTTTATTACAAAAAAAAAGTAAAGGAAAATACAGAACAAAAACAAACAAACAAAAAAAACACAAAAAGAACCAAAACAACCAAAGTCTGCATGCTAGGACACACCAAACATTCAATCTTCTTACTAGCTGTCATTTAGTATCTCTGAATATATCCTGTTGACATAAATAGGAAAAATGGATCAGGAATACCTCATCTTTCCAACATTTCATCATCAACCTCCATCTCTGGGTTCGCAGCATAACTAGATTATATCCTCTATTATATCCTGTAGGATCTTCTGGTTCCCATACAATACAGTGGAACCTTTAAAGCTAATTTATTAGTTTCCGCTTTAGGTTAGGAACATTCACTAAATTGTAGCTTTGTTTAGATGCAGCTCAGTAGTTCAGATTCAGGTATTCTGGAACTGAGTTTCTTTGGCTAGATAATTCTTCAGGATCTAATTTAGCACCTTTGTTTCACCTCCTGCTTAAAGGTTAACTGAATTATTCTCTTTGGAGATAATCTCATGTCATTCATAAAAATAATATAAAGTCCAGAATTTATTAATGCACTTCCAGCTGAAAAGCAGCTGTGCTATTCTTACAGCATCTAGTATTTCTGTAATATGTTACAGGTCACAAACAGGGCTCAGGAATTAGATGGTTAGACACAATGTGCTATTCTCCTATCCAATTCTACCAGTTCTGAGACACAGTACTATAATGCAATCAATCTCAGTACTGAAGAGACTCTTCACGATCCTGTTATCTTTTACATCTTCAGGAGAGGGAAGTTAAGACCTAGAAAATTCCGTACTGAAGCCAGAAAATCAACTAATGGTAGTTAGGTTCTGATCCTGCATTTCAGTGTAAACACTTCTGGCTTGACATGCTGTAATACCCACTCATGTTCATGACGCAAAAAATTCATTATATTCTGCAGTGATTTATAACCAAACAGAGCACCATAAATATCTAATCACTTAATGAATGCAAATGGATGATCCAGAAATGCATTCAGAAGTACTGATCTAATAAGTGACTAGAGCTAGTGCAGTACAAATATCACAGGCCAAAGTTTGTACCTACCTCTTTTTGATACACTATCCCAGATTCAAAAAGCTTAAGAAAGAGGTATTGTGTCCATTTGTAGTATTCTGGTAAACAAGTGGTTACTTCCTGTAGAAATGAAATAAGAATAGCTGAAGCTACTCAGTATCCTCTTGGAGCATTTCAATTTAAGCAATTAACTCAGCAATGTATATTAAATGCCAAACAGAAAACAAAATGCATTTTTGGATAATGTTTATTATGAGTGATACTCACCTGTACACAAAACCAGAGTGCATGGGCCTTGGGCAGGTTTGACATTGCACAGCAAGGTTTACTTGTTGACATAAAACAAGGAATAAAACAACACTGTAATATCAATGCTGATAGATAGGAGAGCACTAGAATGGAACTGACCACAGCTGACTGAAGAGGGAAACAGCCAAATTAGGAAGAAAAAAAAAAGCAGAGCTATTCAAGAAGTCATCTCAGGCATGGTGGCTTTTTCTCTGTTAAGTACTGAAAAGCAGAAAGAGCTGTTGGCTGTTCAGAGACAGCTCAGATCTGGCTATGGAGAGAGCAGAGCAGTCTGCAGCTGAACCAGTGCCTGTAGAGGACAGAACAGCACTGAGGAAGTGAGGTGCTGACAGAAGATAATGCTGGGCTGGCAGGCAGGGAGCAGGGGGTAAGACTCCAAACTTCAAGATGGAAGAGTTGTGAAGGGTATCTCACAAGAAGTCACAAGTGTAAGAGAGAAATAAAGACGGATAAAAATAAATGACAGCATAAAAAAAGAGGAGTGGGTGTTGAGGAAACAGCATGTAAAAATGTCAGATAGTACTTTTTTTTTTTTTAACTTGCCAACATTTCTGAAGTTCGTCATAAATATTAACAACTAAAACAATCTACCTACCAACACTTACAAAGCAACAAAATGCATTTCAAATAAGCACAAGTACACAAAGCTCACTAAAGCACGATGTGATCACTGACTCAATGCTGTGTACACTAACGCAGTGCTTTACAGGTGCAATGGACACGCATACGCTTTCACCCATGTGTTTTAAAGTTTGGTCAAAGTGAAAACAACCACGTAATTCAGCACTGAAGTCCTAATTGCCTCCTAAATATGCAGCAATAAGCAAAACACATTTTTCCTGTCAACATCTTTTCCGATTAATTTGTGCTTTTGTAAAGAAGAAATATTTCGACAAATTTTGACTCATTGGCACTTACTGAAGTTGAAGATAACACCTGTACTGAAGCTCAAAGCAACAAGAATATACCTTGATGTCAGGCTTACAGGGTTTTCAGTATGCCAGCTAACTAAGTGCAAACTGAATACGTTTATCAACAAATTTATCAACAAATGGTACTACAGCATCTTTTACCTAGGCTTTCCCATCATCTACGCATCCCACCACTGCGACAGATGAATCAGCAATAGCCTCTGCAGCTCAAATGACATCTGAGACACCCTAGTATAAAAATTTCACCACGTCTACAACTTTATATTCTGAAAAACTGCTGAAACACTGCTTTGAACAATTACTATGGCCTTTGAGTAGATACGCCCCAAAAGTGAGTTGAAGAGGTTTTCCAGACCAGAGAGAGACATTTAATGGCAAGTTCTCAGCACAGCATGTGAAGGCTTAGCCATAAAAAGCAGCTGCTTGATTAAACCCTGCTCTCTGCACTTAAAAAAAAATAAAAGAAATCTAGCTTATTCCTTTTCAACTACGCATTATCCATTTGATCATATGTACATGTACACACACACACGAATGTTATGCACACATTTTGCCTGCGCAAAGTTAGTTCTGTCAGTGTGATGCTGCTCAGGCAAGGGAGTTTCATCTCTTAATACCAGAAATCCAAAAGAACAGAGACCATTCCTTGCAGTACAACATAAGGTTATGTGAGCAACAGGTAAACAGAGAAGACAGCCAAAGTGAGTTGTTACATAAAGATGAACTGAGCTTTGTCCTTCTGGTCCTGGCTGGTAGATGTGTGTAAGAGAGGGCATTTCTCAGGCTGAGGTACACAGAATCACAAGTCCATGCTCTCTCAAAAGATGTAAACTGACCCACGTTTTAGAAAGGAATGCAGCAGAAATTTATCACTGAAGTTAATTTGCAGTCCGGTCGCTGCAAAATATCCAAAGGTCCAAGCAGATCACTCAAGCTCATCATTTATTTAAACCTATAGCTATGAAGACTCAAAGCAACAGATGTTGACTCAGAAAGAGAAATGACGACACTGCCAAGCAATATGAGCAAGCATTTATGTGACTGTTGCTGTTAACAAGTCAGCAACCTCCTTACAACCTAGGAATGTCTTTTTTTTTTTTTTTTCTCCTACAATTTATCACATCAAGATGTACAGTGAAAAATAATTTTTCCATGTATTCTGGATTTTGATTAAAGAGATAATGTCTGGTAAAAAGCTTCCAGTTGGCTGCCATCATCTTAAGTTCAAGTGACTGGTAAAGTTTCCATTTAAGCTTCATAGGCATGACAAACATTTGCAATGCATTAACAGAATTGACCCAACTGAGAAATGCAGAGAAGGGTTTGTGTAAGGGCTTTACAAAACAGCATGATGGGATTCATCCAGCCTTTTAAGATGTCTGTGTGCTGAGCACTAGCAAAACAACAAACATTTATAGTCCTGTATCATAAAGCAGATCAGTGAATATATATAAAAAGGATATTAGCTCATTTATTCCAAAGATTAAATACACACTAAAACCCAGAACCCTTCTTACAAATATGAAATTTATTGCTCTGCTGTCAATTGCATGTGCTCTTCAGAGATCTGTGTCAGATTGAGTGGCAACCCATCACCACAGCACCTGAGAAGGTACCACAAAACCACAAAGAGGAGTGATGGCATCTACCCCCTCCTTCCCACCCATTTTCTCTTTTCCTCCTGTCAGGTTGCTAGCTAAAATATGTATCTGCTGCTGTCACCAAAGCTGATCTTTTAAGCTGACCACTGCTTATTGTTACTTCTCCTTCACCCAACATGAATGACACAATTAAAACAAATCACCTTTACAAGTGGCCTGCGTCCAAGATCAGCAGATATTGCCAAGGTACGCTGAGAAAGAACCTTTATCCCCACACCAACAACTACCTTGCTTAATCCTGTTCTGTCGGCACAGCCATCTGTCCCAGACAGCGTGAAGAAGGGGTCAGTGGTACAAGCTGGTATCAACATGCAGATACAAAGGTATATTTCTTTCTGCAAATACATTCTCAGCTACAGATTAACAGGCATTTTTACTGCGACAGCAGTGAAACTCCATAAGCACCTGGTTCACTTTGAAGTGAAAGAATCAATCACCAGGAAGAGCTGATACAAAACTGCAGCTGTCAAACAATGGTAAAGACAGCAGGACAGAATTTTCAATAAAGAAAATCAAGTTCTGCATGGCAAATTTTTGTCATTAATAAAATTGTTCAAATGCCCTGTCTTAAAATTCATCATTTATTCTAAATCTGCCACATTCTTACAACTGCCTATTTTGTAGCTAAAGAAAAAGGTTATTATACCTTCAAGCAACTTCCACAGCTATTCTTTTTTTTAATATAAGTAATATTTACAGACTACATAGAAATGTTTATTTGCCATAAGATCCACCTGTTCAGTGACACTAAAAACAAAGACAATTTCCTCATTTATTACTAATCACTTTGTTTCTTAGCACTTACACTACGCTGAAGACAGCCATGTTACACTTGACTAAAAAGACAAGAGGGAGAAAAACTGAAATGGATTTTTTCAAGATCTGAGAAGATTAAATATCTTTAATCTCCCATTTTTCTGATTTGGTATTAAATATGGCATATATCACCTAACTGCAAGTATAATTATTGAATTTTTGAACGTTTAGAGTTCAACTGACATTTCTAAATTCATTTGAATATTTGTATTTCAAAGGCCCACAGTTTCATGCATTATTAGCCACAAACATCATGCAGTTCTTACATTTTAGAGCACAAATATCTATCCTGCAAAAAAAAAAAAAAAAAAAAGTAGCCTTATATCAATGGCACCTTTTTCTATTCAATTACAAGTAGGGTGACTGATTATCGGTGAGGGGTGGATAAGAGGAAAATCTAACGGTTAAATCCCTGCCTGCCGTTACATTTCTGTGTGTGCTCGGGCAGAATGATAACTTCAAACCAAAACAATGAGAATTTACCAAAGGTTTCTCCTTTTAAAATGCACAGTGCAGAAGGGCAGTGTTGATCATAGTGAAAAATGCTGGCAGTACAGGCCACCTTTTAGAAGAAAGTTACATAAAAGGCTGGTAAAGTGATGAATGAGCAGTAACGTGCATTCAGCCTGATGGCACCGCTGGGCAAAAGAAAGGGAAAGTCGTACACTGCCTGCCCTTGGTGCGGATGATACAAATCTTCAACAACCGCACGTAAAAATTCTTCTGAAAATAATCTTCAGAAGAAGTGAGAGGCAGTTTGCAGCGCTGTCTGGGGTGGTATTCTGGGGAAATCTGATCAGCAGCAAAGACAAAATTGTTGTTGACTTAAAAACAAAACGTTTTTTATTTTCCAAGTGCTTTAATGTCTCAAAGACATTTTTTCCATCCTTAAACTGCATCTTTTTAACCCTGGATCTGCAGGCTCACAATAGAAATGTTCCCTCTCTTATTTAGCTTTTTATTACTTTAAATCTTTCTCCACAATAACACTGTTTTTCAAAAAATTACTATTTGACACACTTAAAATATCTACATTTCAGGGAAATAATGTCAGAGCAATATCAGTATTCAAGCCTTCTCTAAAGCAAAGTACTTACAGAGCTTTCTTAATGCATTTAATTACATTATAGCTTGCTTACGTTTTCTATTTAGCAGAAAAATTTTCAAGTGCCTTTGTAACCTGGCTTTCTGAAACAATCTCACAATCTCACAAGTTTTTATGCTGTCTTTGTGGAGCTTTGCTGGTTAAGTAATTTCACTGACTGCAACGGCACACAAATCAAAATGAGAAAGCATTTTTAAAGAGAGAACAATGAGAACAAACAGACGGATAACAAGAAACTTCTATTATCCAGGAGAGCTGGGATTTGCTCACAGTAATTTTACCAAGCAAAAAAAAACAAACAAACTAGGCTTCATACTCCTAGACCAAACTTTCTTGAACATCAGACATGACTTTGTAAACAGTCAGCTTCCTCAGCACAGCTCCATGCACTGAATATTCCAAATGCACTTTTTATTCCTTTCTCATCTTTTTTTCCCCCCAACATTTGTAAAACGTACTTAAGTTTTGCCCACATTATCTCAGCTGGCCCTACAGGATTCTTTGGCAGCTATTACAAAATTTCCATGCTTTACAAAGACAATTCACCCCACACTTAAATAGGGGCTGCGTTTCCCCTAGCAGGTACTTGCTAGGTGCTGCACTTCAACAAAATGAAGGAGCATGCTGGAAAAAGACCAATGGAATTTGATTAAAAACCAACTCCTGTTTTGCACAACAGTCTCAGTTAATTAGACTAACTCATATCAAAGATGTTTTTCTCTCATTTTTCATAGGCGTCACTAACACTGTTGGGTTTGTTTGCAGTGTCACAGTATTTTGCAAGCCACTGATTTACTGCTAGACAAATATAGAATAACAATAAGAAAATATTCCTTACCTCAAGGAGCTCACTTTTAAGGTAAGTACCTGCACAGCACGGTGCACTGCTGTGCAAAGATGCTCGAGTTAGCCCAGCAGCAGTACAGTTGAGACAGTAAGATGCTCTGCTCAGTTTAATTAGCCTTGCAGAGAAGCAGGCTTTAGCAGCCTGGACTATACACTGCTGTAACTTAAGCCATTGCTTTCCAAAGACATTCTTTGACCTAGCTTAAACATCTGTGCATTTAATTTAACAGTATACTGTAATACAAGGTACAATAGGTATGTTTCAGGCATCGTACATTTTTTGCCTTGATTAAAAATCTCTGTTTCTAATGGTTACCATCTAGGTCACTCTCACTGCAGTTAATAAGGCAAGCTCTCTAGGTAAAATAAAACTCAAGCAATAAAAATGCAGGCATTTCACTGTGTTTCAAAGTACACAGGTCAGTTGTTTTAAAAACTCATCTTTCAAAAACACAGACTACGTGCCTCTGAAGCATTCTGAATTGTTTTAATTATACAACTGTTAAAAATGAGCTTAGTTGTACAGTATTAATGCCCATTCCAAATATATTCAGAGGCTTCTGAAAGCTCATTAACTATAACATGGTTTGCTAGGAAAGTGGAGATAGGTCTCAAAGAACAGGCACAGGGATGACAAATGAGCTTTCCTTGTACACCTATACTTCCTGACATGGTTTTCATTACTATCAGTTCTCCACCTCTTCTTCAGAACCTAAGGGTCACACAAGGGTCTGTATACACCAGTGAACTTCCCAATTTTCTTCAAAGGCACTCTAGGACATCCAGCTCCTGTGTGTTCCATATGCACATACTGATACGCACACATGATTTCACCATTTCATGCTATTGCTGTATTACACATAGAGAAAACCTCTGAGAAAACAACACTTAAAACTTAAGAAAATAATTGCCAAGAATGTGTGAAGTGAACCTTCAAAGAAGATTTCTTTTCAGAGCAACTTTTGTTACCAAGAAAACTAGAATTTTTATGAAAATGCTCTTACTGAACATCTTGCCATATATAAGATATGACAAAGTACTATTTCATTTTAATGTAGAAACACACAGAAGAAAAAACAACTTCACCTTCTCAATTAACTACAACAGATGATAGGTTTCATACTGCCAGAAAATTAATCCTTCTCCTTTACAGAGCTACAAAACCGTAATAAAAAAATCAAGATTAGCATCTCCATCAGGCTATTCAGAATCATATTAAGGTGATAAGTAACGATTATTGCTAAGAATATAAAGTTAGTGACTGCGGCTGATTCACCAGTTAATGCAATAACCCTACTATGATTGCTTCAAAAATTAATTTCTTTCATTTTTATCTTGAAAGTGAGATTAGCTGTGTCTGGTTGCAGTAGTAAGGTTTTTAAGGTGAACGTCTGACCCTCAAGCATTAGTGTTTTAAATAGAATTTCTAGTTTCCAAAGCAGCCATGATATGGACAACAGTGATAAGGCAGGATTGTCCTTCACGTTTAAAAGAACATAACCAAACTCACATTTTAAGGCACTAGCTTTAAACCATTGACTACATTACAAAACACGCACTGAAAGGAGCACTCCTCCAAAAAAATACATATACGCCTTAACAGAAGTATTCTGCTTCATAAACATCTGTTTAGACTATTACTTAAACTCCTAACAAAGAACATTGCTACTGTGAAAGCAGCAAAAAAGTGGAGAAATATCCAAGTGTAAACACAAAGTAAACATGAAATCACTTTCAGAAGAAAGATTCTCCTACAGTTCCACATAATCAGATTATGCCAATATAATAAAGGTGACAAGTTTGATAAGAAGTATCATAGAAGGTCTATTTACCACTTAAGCCAAATGCAATTTTACAGCTTACAGCAACAACCTAACCTGCTCACTTTCAAGGCTTCTATGTTGTCATGTTCAAAATCTTAAAGTTCCAGATTTTGCAGTATTTCACCACAAAAAAAATAAAACAGCATATTCTAGAAAAGAAAATCTTACCCTTTCCCAAGTGAAAGACAGACCTAGTGCATCAAACTGTTCCCTCATGTGTTGAATATTACTGCAGAAAGAAAAAAAGAGAAGTATTCATTTACAATTACTCACATCATGTGACTGCATTTAACTTCAGGTGCTTGTAAAACTCTGAGAAACCAAAAGTACCAGTTAACATCTACACACTATTATCTCTCTACCAATCATGTACAATAATCTGTCAGAATATTCATCTTAAATAATAATTTTAAAAATCACTATTCTGGTATGCATCCTGGTTCCATTTCAATGGCTGTGCATACAATTGTTCTGTACATATTTGGATGCAGGTTTCAGATATACCCAACGATTCCTTTCTGTACAACACATCTTCTGTCTGGTATTGCTAGGAGTGCAGAGCTCCACTTAAACCTGAAAAGGTTTCCCAGAAGAGTAATATCAGTACAAGCAAACAAGAAAATCTTACAGAGTCACAACTTTCAATAGGAGAAATTGTACCTTCAGTAATACTGCTCAAAGTAAATTCCCACTCAAACTACCTACTTAAAAATATCAAATTCCAAGGTATTCTCACAAAGCTTCTGCCTCTACCCTGATTTTTGCTAACAAAGGCTTCTTTATGTTTCATTTAAGCAATTCCACCTTCATCAGTTTTTTTCCCCGACTTTGAGAATGTAAGGAGTAATAATCAATTGAAGCTCATTTTTAAGTCACCTCTTTAGAACATGATGATGTGAATTTCGCTGCTCACTCCTGAATCAAGGAAGCTGAGATGTATATGTTGTTCCCCCTTTCAAAGAGGTGTCAGCCTCTATTCCATGGATGACTAAAACGTGTCCCATATTACAGCTCCACATACACCTGTCATGTCTGCTGCAAGCTTCAGAAATATTTAGGACAGGAGACAGTGGATAAGATAAATTTACTGACTAGAGTGGTCAGAATTTATCCTGCCTGTACAATGAACCAATTTCCTTCCTCTGTAAAATCACACGTGGAGAAAAAAAAAAAAAAAAAAAAAAAAAAAAAAGCTACAGAAATTATTTTCTTGCTTGGATGTTACAATCAGTCCCAATGATGATGTGCTAACTTGTCTATGAGTTAACTAGCAATATTATAACAACAACTGAGACAACTGTTCTTTCCAGTACTAAATTTTAAAGGCGAAATTTTACTTCCCCTATGAAATATCTTGCACATATAACTACTAGCCAAATTGGTTCAAACATGTGAAACAACAAGAAAAAAGACACTGCTCAAGCAGGGTCCTGCCACACGTTTCCATGTGATCCCATTGGATGAAGCAAGCTGAGCTGACAGGGCAGCCAACTATTGCCCAGCCTCTGCCCCACAGGCTCACCATTTTTCTGCTGAGCTCATTCAGCTCACTTAGCCAGCAGAACAGCTTTCTTCTGAGCAGTTTAACAAGATGTCCTGAGTACCAAAGCTAATATAATAGGTGAGGAGGGAGCACGTGGCAGTGAGGAGAAAACCCTGGCCTTTTTGTAGTCAGCAAGTACACATGTCAGCCTAGTTCTCTCTGGACTACAAACTTCAATCTTTGTGCCTCATTTGACATGTAAATACAGATCACAGTAATGCTCCTTCTGGTGAAGACTCTGACAAGATAATAGAGTTAAAAATGAGCCATTTGGATATAATAGATACATTGATTTTTACAGCTTAGCTACAGCAGGCTTGTTAAATGAAGATAGAAATCACCAGCCTACCCACCATACTCTTCAGAAAAATAATAAGCTCCTGTAACCAAAGCAGTGTATTTGTCCAAAGCGACACACAATGATAGCAGATTTTTTTGCTGAGAGTCCAGGCAATGTTTCTACATAGCCACAGGTTTCCCATTTCCTTTTTGCTAACTTCACATATGGTATAACTGATGTCTCACAACACACTGTGCACACTGGCTTTCCAGGCTTGGTCAACAAATGAAAACAATGGTTTGGTTTTCATTTTCTTTCTTTTTCTTGGTGGCAACAGATATTTTCATAGCAAGCCAACAAGAAGGAAATTTAGAAAATTGAGCATAAATGACACAGAACTTGTCTACACTGAATTACATGCATTTTCCTTAAGCTAATTCAGTTGCCACCATATTTTAGTAGGAAAAATAGCAAATGATCTTAACCAAAAATCAGAAGCATGCAAGACCTTAACAGGAACAGCATTATCTCAAGGTCTGTTCTGGGCTAGGGTAGAGTTAACTTTCTTCCTAGACGCTGGTATGGTGCTGTGTTTTGAATTTAGGATGATAATAATGTTGATAACTGACATTTTAGTCATTGCTGAGCAGCACTTGCACTAAGGCAAAGTGTTTCCAGCTTCTTGCTGCCCAGTGAGGAGCTGGGGGTGCACGAGGAGTTGAGAGAGGCACAGCTGACCCAGACAGGCCAGAGAGATGTCCCATACTCTGTGGTGTTGTGCTGAACAGTAAAACAAGGGGGACTTGGTTGGCAGGGGCTGCTGCTTGGGCTGGTAGTAAGTAACTGTATCGCATGTCATAGCTTTGTTTATTCTTTTTGTCCTCTTTCTTTCCTATCCCTCCTTACTAAATTGTTTTTATTTCAACCCACAAGTTCCTGATCCTTCCAGTTTTCACCCCAACCAGCTGGGGGGCAAAAGAAGGGGGGGATGCTGTGTGGTGCTTGGCTGTGTGCAGGGATAAGCCACGAGGTGCAAAAATATACCACAGCTTCAGGAATGCACCTAGAGCACAAGAAGCAACTCCACTTGGAAAACTAGTTTCTGAGCCTCATACAACAACAAATTCTGAGGTCTAAAGCACAAAATTTTCTCAAAATTTCTCAGCAATAATGGCTGCTAATCATTTTTAAAGACTCGGTCTCAAATGAGAAAATTAACTTCTTTCTCACAGTACTGAAAACTGCCAGTAAACCTAAACACGTAGCTCTTAACTGTGTATTCGACATTAAGATTTAACTCACTTTAGCAGAATGCTGACTTATTTCTTATTCACCACTTTAGACATTTGGGAAATGTCACTTTTCCAATACTCTAGCTGATTACAAGTAATTGAGAAGAAAGACCTGAAAATCATCTTGACACATCAAGCTTATGAAATTGAGTCACCTGCACACTTCTACAAAACAACAGCAAATTAGCCTTCTTGCTACACTGCTGTTTTTGCTCTGTTTTGTTTCTTGCTGGGCTCCACATCCAGACTTTTACACTACCAATATTCATTAAAAATCACCTTTGTGTCCAGCTTGCAGGGTGAAGACCATGCTCAATTGCTGCATTTTCTGCTGGTAAACCAAATGCGTCCCATCCCATTGGATTTAGCACCTGCCAGCAAAAAATGAAAAACACAATCTTATGCAACCTTCTGGAATGACATTAGCAACACACACAAGCCTCAAAATAACCAACCATGGTTTGCATTTTAGCATTTGCTTTATCTGAATTGAACTTCTTCAAAGCATGCCCACGAGGGCTACTTCTGTTTTAAGTGATGAATATGAAACAAACTCGCTATCAACAATTTGATGTTAGAGGGGGCTCATGGTATTACACAATAAATCCTCAAGACTATTTCAATACTGAGTTGGCAGTGACAAAAATCAAACCTTTGTAATTTGTATGGTGGTCAAAATTAGCAGCAGATGTTACAGCTAAGCAGAATCAAATATTCACCTCACAGAAGGAAAAGAAGAAAAGAAGCAAAATTATTTGAACCAAGGGTTTTATAACTATACCTGATGTGCAGACTACTAATTGTTTCTCCTTTTGCTGAAGAGAAAAAAAATACAACATGCTCTATGATAACCTTACATCTGTCAGATAAAAATGAGATGATGAGGAAAAATATTTTGGTCAAGTTTTACTTTAAAAATCTGTTGTAAATATAGACTGCAGACTGACACTATGTATTTCAGGACCTCAAATAAATGAAGGTTAAAAATGTTTAACAAATATATACAGTATAGTTTTTATTGAAATGTCTCTCTCTCCTTTAAGGTGAGAACTATTTAGAAAAACAACTTATCTAGCAAAAAAAGTATATATCCAAAAAACTCTAAGAATTAAGACAAGAATGGTCAGTGCTTGATCTACTGTCATTAGACACACTTACATGTCAGGTAAAATCCAATCCCACTTTTTATACCTACAAATGTGCAATACACTCAACCAATACAATTGTAGTTACAAAAGCTTAATGATACCCCCCAAATACATACTTACATAAAGAACTTGTTCTTCAGTAGCATGTAAGCAAAAAGCAGTAAGAAAGCAAGCCCAGCAATACTAATCTTATAAGCTAACTCCATAGAGAAAAATCGTTTATTATAGGCATGTTTATAAAGGTGCCTTTGGCATCCACTGAGCACAAAAGCAAAATAATTTAACAAATATGACTCCTAAGTATTCTAGTTTTTAATGCTGAGCTTAAACTAAACCTACAGCATATGATTATATGCAGACAGTGCAGCAATAAAACAGGTTTTAACCTGTGATCAGCCACCTCTCATGGCAGTACAATAAGTGCCTATACAAACCACATTTTTGATGTAAAAATCTAATAGAAATCAAAATGCTATAATGTCTTAGAAATGCCCCCCTTTATCAGAGAGATTACTCCTCATGTTACAATGTCAGAAAATGTCAGACTTGGATTTGAACTTCTCACTTCCTTGCATTTTAAGCATTCAGTGGAAACATCTCATTTGGAGCCTATGCCACTTGACATGCCCTGCTGATGCACACCTGCCCCCAGCCCTTTCCCCTTCCATAACCCCACCATAGATAAAGTTACTGGTATAAAAGAGGGGGAGAAAAAAAAAAAAAAAAAAAAAAAAAAAGGTAAACCTTACAGAAACTGCAAATCTCAACAGAGTTTTGTAAGGACACAGTAAAGTATTACTTTGTATAGTTCAATTTGATCGTTACTCATGCTGGCCAGCTGGCTAACAGAAATGACCACACAAGCCAGGTATTTTTTCCATGTGGTATATAGACTTCCTCTTTTTTAAGCCCCATTTCTTTAGCTGAACAAATGCATCCCCAGAAATGTTTTCTTTTACTGATATACATTAAGCGAGATTGAATAAAGAAGTTACTCCTGGCAAATGTCTGTAAAACCTGGCTTTGGAATATCTGCTGGGTACAGATGGATAGCCAAAGCCAAGGCACAACAAAGCCATTTCTCACACTCATGAGCAAAAGGATGAGGAAATGACAGCTTCACTCCTGGCTGCAGACTCCTTGACTGGGCTGACTGATGCTCAGACAGCTAGCATGCACACATTTTATCCCTGTACCATCAGCACTAGCAGGAGTTATCTGCTCACACAGATCTTCCCAATTCTATCACGTATATTAACAATATCACACAGCGTACTCACTTATCACAGTCAAATACAGTTCAATTTAACAACCAATAGCATTCCTTGAGTTGAAGGGCTGAAGAAATATACTACAAGTTTCAGGAAGAAACCTGAATTTAAAGAGATATTAAAAATATCCCCAGGTGATTCTGTGATTCTGTGATTAATCTCCAGGATAGATCTATTTATATAGTTGCTATAGAGATGAATGTAACATGCACGGTGGTTTAAAAAAATGATTTCAAGTTCATTGTCTTCTGTACCGTGAATAGATGTGAAAGGTCTGTGAAATGCAATTGCCTAAACAACAGGTCAGCTTCTGGCTGCAAAGCGTGTTACCCGCCTTCATGCAGCACCTGGCGTTATGTCTTAAATTGACTTAGCCAACACAAAACAAGGCTGAGATAAACTATATAGGTCCTACAAACACAAAAAAATCTCAAGAGACATGGAAGAGAAGAAAAAAATACGCTACTAACTACTAACCTGTCAAAAGTTGGCACGAAGAATAAAGGAACAGTTCAATTGCCCTGCTTAAAACAAAGTAAAATAGTAACAAAGCAATCTGGAAGACCAGAGGGTATTCCTTGAAGATCTCTAGGGCTTGGCCAAAGGTTCTAACTAGTAGAAAACATGGCTGCTCCCTCTAATACTACAGATGAACAGAAAGAAAAGAAAAAGAGAGTCATCAACTTTCTTAAATGCTGACAAATTGATTCTGACAGTGGCCTTTAAACTTCATGCAATCACGGGATCAATCCTGCTCACTGGAGTGACTGTTCTTCCAAGCATCACTTCTTCATACAGATGAGATCCTCTCCAGATCACTTGGAAAAAGACAATAATGAACCTATCTTGTAGGAGAGAAGCCTGCGTAATCTGAAGATGTCTGTGCCAGGTAAAAGAAAGCAGATTATAGCCTCACAGCCATTTTAAGATGGCAGAAGCCAGCGCAGTCCCCACAGTCAGCTAGCTGTGTTTCTGCAGTTGTTCCTTCTTTGCATGAATTCTCCCTTTGTGGGCACAGGCACTGGTAGGTCCTCACAGCGAAGCAATTACTTACACTCTGCCTGGTTAAAAACACCAGCTTAGTTATTCACACCAATGACATGCCATAAGATCCTCAGGAGTTTGCACAGTCAGGCAGGACTGAATATTCTCTGCCACTCAACACTCTACATTTTGCACAGGACCATGAAGTGATATATGGGCACACGGAAAACTTTTCACAAGCAGATTATTAAAAAGGAAAACAGCTGCATCTTGAAACACCTAAACCCAAAGTCTCTGAATTCATACTGGCTTGTAGCAAAGGAGTAAGGATCATTTCACAATACAGCCAGAAATCTGCCATTAATGTCTGGAGCTCTCAATGTGACTGTGGGAGTAAGCAGAAGAATTCACTCTGAGGGCTCAGCTCTTCCTCTCAGAAGATTTCCATCTGCCATGACAGTCAGCCCATCACACTGACACTAGTGGGTGAGATCAGTAAGCACGACATAACACAAAGCTGACAATGATCTTTTAACACTCAGTTCTATGCCTCCATCAGTATAACTAGGAAAAAATTATGCAGTGAATTGTTCTTAATGTTTGTAAAGAAGCAAGAACCTGACTGCTTGCCTCAAGTGCTCAGTGTGTCCGAACGCTATGACCAGAGAGCAGATGCATATTGCTTAAATCTAGATCGACGCACTCTAAACTCTAAGAAAGCAAGCACAAGTAGCATCAAAAAACGTCTGTCAATAGATATTTATCTACAAAGAGTACGTGATAAGACACTCAAAAATGAAAAGGCTGCTGACTACGTGCATCAATATAACAAAGCCTGCACATGTGTCTATAGTTACAGTGTCCTGACACAACTGATGTGAACTAATTCCAATTGCTGATTAAATAGCTGATCCACACCTACAGGTTCCATCTTCCAGAAACCACCCCTGGCTTCAGTGGCAACTTCTTGTCATTCTCCCTGCACTTGATCTCACAAGTGTGCACACAAGTGAGACAAGAAGGATGCAAGGGCAAAGGACAGCAGAGCTGATACTTCTACTGGCTGCCTAAATAAGGCTGCACTGAGCAGGCTGAAAAACCTGTAAAATCTGTAAAATCAAACCTTCACTGAATGCAGCATAGATTGACTTTTAATTGCACTAGGTAGTAAACACTGCTTACCCAGAGAGCAGTGCTCAATGGCTCAGTATTTGGATGGTGGAGATTGATTACAAGTGCTGTTCCTCAGGGGTCAGAATGACATCAACAGAGGAACTAAGAGAACCTTCAGCAAGTGTGAGCAGATGACACCAAGCTGTGGGGGGCAGTCAACACACCTGAAGAACAGGATGCCATCCAGAGGGACCAAGGCAGGCTGGGGCAGTGAGCCCAAGAGAACCTCATGAGGTTCAACACATCCAAGTGCAAGATCTTGCATCTGGGTCATAGCAACCCTCACTTTAGTACAGACTGGGGGATGTAAGGATGGAGTGCCCTGCCAACTGTATCCTGGGCTGCATCAAAACAAGCATGGCCAGCAGGGCGAGGGAGGTGATCCTGCCCCTCTGCTCTGTGCTGGTGAGGCCTCACCTGGAGTACTGCATCCAGATGTGGAATCCACAGTACAGGAGAGAGAGAGGGGAGATTTAGATTGGATATAAGGAAATATCATTTTACAATAAGGGTACTGAGGCACAGGAACATGCTGCCCAGAGAGCTGGTGGATGCCCCATATGTGGAGACACTGAAGTTCAGGCTGGACAAGCCTGCGAGCAACCTGATCTATAAAAGTCCCTTCCAATTCAGATGATTCTGATTCTTTGATGACAACAGCCAAAAACCACCACCACCACCAGGAAGAACAAAGAGATAGGGAACACCTGGAAATAGATTAAAATAATGAATCTGAGTAGCGTGCACAGTCTAGCAAGAAGTATTTCAGTGATTCTCTGCAGTCACAATGCGGCACATTTTGATAAAGCACTTTGAAATTAAAAAATAATCAACCCACGCAGATTTTAATCAAAACACAGTAAAACTCTGCTTACATAACGCTCTCATTTAGTTCTCATTCCCACAAGATACAAAATACAAAAACTTATTCCAAGTCCACACACGATCTCTAACATTTAGAACACGAAGGTGTCTCTCTCCTCCGTAATCTCTCACATTTTTGTCTAGCTTAATTGCATTTAAGCTAGCATCTCATTTTCTCCCTCCTTTCAAAACGTAATAGTGTGAGCTAATTAACACCTTTGGTATTTGTTAAGGCTCAATTCACATAGGATATCTGCTATATTTTCCACGTGATTTGTACTACAGAAAATAGTTTCACCAACTTAACACACAAAGAGAGGTATAGAATACCTGCTAATATTGACTGGAAAATGGGAATGTATTGAAATAGCACATCCTACTGATGAATTCATTATGAAGTTTTAATTAAACTTGCCTCTCCATTCACTTTTGCGATTTCAAGAGTATTAAGATTCACAGCTGGAAAGGAAAACAAGTAATGAAAATACATCCAATTTAAAAAAAGATGTTCTGGACAAAAAGAAAGTGTTCCTTAGGTCGTTTGGGGATATTGTGGAAATATTACTGAAAATATTCCAACCTCATCTATCAGGAGCAGTTTGAGTAGAAGTGACAAAATCCAATCCCAATGTACCAGAATTTCACCAGTACTGGCCAATGACCATCCTCATTTCTGTACAACTCATACGAGAGCCTCACGGTGGTATCAATTTCAATTCAAAATTTTATTAAAAAGATAGCATAGGAACTATTGAGCTGAATCACTCTGCTTACTGATTGCTAAGAGAATTATCTTCAATCCTCTGAGAGGCAAAAATTATCCACTTTGGAATTTATCAAAGACATGATAATGATAGCATGATAAAGTAATGGTAAATACTTTTTCCCTGAGCAGTGGCTGACTGGAAATATCTGCCATGGTGAAAATCACCATGACTATCTATAATTTGTACTTGGCACTCTCAACTAATGAATAGGAACTTTCTTAACTTCTTACAAAACCCTTGCATTTGACTTCACAACACACACGTATGCTCGCAGAGAAAAGAAAACCATATTTTAGCTCCATATTTGTTTACTAACAGATAAGAAATTGTAAATTAAAATTTGCAAGCTACTTATTGGGAAAAGTGTGGCTCACTGCATTTATGCTAAGAAACCTTTACTGTTTACAGCCCCTGCATGAAGTCTCCAAACTTCACCTTTAGCGATTACAATGTAAAGTCGTCATCATCTAACAGATGTACCCTACTAAGTATTTAGCCAGCATCCTAACACAAATGCACTAAGGAGTTTGCTTCCCACACACTGCCCACAGGCATTTGAGGAGCGCTGGACTAACAGACAGCACTTCATCGGTCAGATCTTCCAGTGAAACAAACAGGATTTCAGTGCCCATTAGCACAACCCAACGTGCTGACCCCGAAGGCACAGTGCTGCTGATTACCTCAGTGCTGACACAGACACCTTCCTGTAGCTCCTACAGCAAACACTGCAAAGCTCATCACTCATCAGGACATTGAAGAAGTGATTGCCTATTGTGATGCTACATTTGCATTCAATCCCCCCCCCACTTAATAAATCACTAGCATTCATGCATCACAGATAAGGCTGCTGCTCATTAGGTGATCTGTTCGATTGTCCATGTTGAGTGTTGTTTGTCACTAGTATCATCTATGGCTTTATGCTGAAGTAATGTTTATCTCAAAAGCCGAGGACGAAGTGCAAAACAAAACAAAAAAAAAAAGGTATTTTCCCACTTCCCAAGTTGTTGAAGTACAGCCAGCTTTCTGGCAGCTAGGAGCGTATCACCTCTCTATTTTTATTGAAACAAAAACAGATTCTATACTGCCAGGAAAAAGAAATACTCAAGTTCCATTTTTGAAAAAGTGAATACAGCACTAAATGATCTTCCCAGCTAAGATATCAAACTACCTCCAGTATGAAGAAATTCCACGGACACATTCCAAAGAACAGTTCCAATTTACTAAAGGAACTCTAATCCAGTTGTAAAGCCATTCGAATTTACCCTTAAGTATTATATCAAATAAGCCAATTCTTTGCCTGTTCAGATTTAATCAATATGAAAGAAACTGTTCTCTCATGAAGGCGTTCTCTAAAAAAACCCCACCTTATTCAACATACATTACTGTCTTACTCAGCCATATAAAGTAACATAGAAATAACCTTCCCTCCCTGCTATCTTCCCTTGCTGTTGCTGGACAACAAATAAGTTGCCTTAGTCTGAAGCTTTCCTTGGGCACTGTGAGTCTGAATGTTTCCACCTATGCTCTTCATAGTAACTGCTCACTCTTCACTGTATAACAAACATTTGCTATGTAAACATCAGCAGCCACTCAATTTTCAAATATGCAATACTAATGCTGAGCTTCCTGCAATAAAAAAGCAAGACAATTACTTTAAAAAATATGCATTAGTGTGTATCATCTTGAAGTTTCCTTTTTGTGTACAGAGGAATTTCAGTAATTCCCTGACCACAGGGAAAACTACTTTTATTGGGCATGTCACATTTTGTATCTAATAAGACAATTACATCACAGCCTATAACCATCACAATGGAAATCCTTAACAGATTGGATAACTGCAAAAGCATCCAGACAAAACTCCTAAAGCAAATAGATCAACAGTGTGAAGAAAATAAGTTATGAAAACTAAATCTAGCTGATGGAGAAATTAGCATGACTATTAAAAAACAAGTTTTTAGGCTAAGTAGAAGTCTGAACAAGCTAATGCACACCACTAGCACAACAGCTCTTAGTCCAACACACTCAGAAATGATCTGAGAGTCTTAAATGCTTTCTGATAGTACCTGAGGGCTGTATTGCTTATCTGCCCACCTCTAGTCACAGCCTAATCATAAACAGATGCTCCAAGTAGTTAATGCAATGGAAGATAGAACTTCTAGTAGAAATTCAGCATGTTCTACAGGCACTCTAATATGCTTAAATCATTTTCTTTGCTTTAGCTAGAACAAGAGGAAGCATGTTCTCATTTCCTGAACAGAAAATTAGCTGATATCTCTGCCATTGCTGCTGAGAAATAACCTATGTTCTGGAAGGGTATGTCCAGTGGTCTTGAACAAAGGTCTCATCAGGGTTCCAGTTGGATTTTATTTTATTTTTTTTTTTTTAAAGAGAGCTGAATTATTCATTTAGAGAAGTTGGGACAGATTATTATTAAAAGACACATTGTGGTTTTTTTCCTCTTTAAAAGTCTGTGTGATTTTCCTTTTTCTTGTAATTTTAAAAGTGTGAGAATGCATTCCTGTAAAATAAGACATATTCAGTGCATGGTAGTTCCATCATTGGCATCAAATTAGCAGTATTTGGAAAGACAACACACTGACTAATTCAGAGACAACACCTTTAGGGTCTCATGGACTGTAATAAATCCATGAACTTCTAGCAAGGAGAATGCACTTAGTACCACAACCAACACTTGTTTCATTTCACCTTCATCTGCACTCTGAGGTTTTGATTCCTGTTTTACTGATCTTCTCTCTCATACGTTCCTTTTTCAGACTCAGATTTTTGCCTAAAGTGATTTGTTCTTCCCCCCCCCACACTCCAAAATAGAATACTCCCCTTTCCATGTTCCTCTTTCCCCATTCTCAACGAATTCCCCCTACCAAATGTCTTCTCTCCCTTTAAAATGTTTGTCACTCAGGCCTCAATTCTACAATGTTACCCACCAGACTTCATGGCAGAGCACCAACCATGATCCCATCCATAGGCTGCAGGGATCAAGCTCCCAACCATACCTTCTGCTCGGTGCACAGAGAAAAGGGAGAGAGGGAGGAAGGAGGAAGGGAGCAGAGACATGGATGGTGCTGACTTCTGAAGCTTATCAGTTTTATGTTCTCAGCTACAGGATACAAACTTCTCCCTCAATTTTCTGCACAGATTTCATTCAGGCCTCCAGTCTTCTCTCATAGCAACAGTGTGGCCCACACTTCTCACTGACATTGTGCCATGCACTAACAGAAAACAGCATCAGCTACACCATTAGAGATAGTTTCTAAAGATCAGTTAGCAACAGTGAGCTCTGAAGATCACATTTTTTTAACAGTCTCAAATTTCAGTATTCAGAAGTCGAAAAGTTACTACCTAGTATTCATAGCTTATAACACAACTAAGTCTCTTCAGAAAACGGTAATTTCCTGTCCAATTACATTAACACATTCAGAAAACAAAACAGAAAACAAATAGGAAACAAAAAACCAACCCTACTGCAGATTCTGTCTTACCTGCATCCCTCTCATTTTCTGATACCGAGCAACAGTATCACTGATGGTGTAGACACGAACGTGACCCATGTGAAGCTTTCCAGAAGGATAGGGGAACATAGAAAGCACATAAAACTTTGGTCTTGATTTCTAAAAAGGAATTGTTAGAAAGTTTTAACCACAGGTTAGCATTTCCTGGAATAAATACACGTGTACATTACAAACTACAAATTACCATGAAAAGAAACAAAATCCAGATCCTCAGCAAAAATCCTGCAAACTCCAAAGTTGGGGCCTGCAGAGATGTTTTACCAGACTTCGCAGCCCTTTCATCAATTTACATTGATGGTTATATGACACTTGAAAGTCACATTTTTAATAAGCTTTTACTTAACTAAAGATAAATTGACAGCAGCTTAACAACCAGCACTCTGTACCATAGCAGCTGTATGTATGTATTACCTGCATACAGCTAATGCCTCCAATCAACTAAAGAGAACGATAGATAAACTCTGAAGTTTCAGTAAGTGTTTTACACTGTATTTACAATGAATATGGAGCTTGCACATGGCCAAGTTTGTGTAACATACTGAGAAACTACCTCACTTCTAATGGTACAAACATCCACTGAAGTGAAACTCCTCAGCTTTACTCTTACACTCAGATACAAAGTAGTCTTAAAATCCTTATCCTGAAATTTAATTTAGACAGGCTTGAGTAAACTGACAAAAGTTACAGAGGAAATCAAACACGGTATCTCCCATAACTTATTCGTAAAATGTTTTGATTGCCACTGAATTTATCTTTGATACATGCTTGATAAGCTATTACATTATTTTTCTTTTAATAACGATGCAACAACAAAAAAAGAAGATGGGGATTTATTATTCTGAACTCTGCTCTATATTCATATTTATCATATTGCCTCTTAATAAGAGATTTTCTACTTTAACAGTCAGGACAAAACAAATACGTACTTTAAAATGCCATTCATAACTTAACATATGTATTATATGTACAAACTATCTACACGTACATGTATTAGCACATAATAAAAGGAAAAAGGCTTAAGTTCGTGCCTTCCCTTCTAGACATACACATACCTGCTATTTTCATCTCAGTTTTCTTTGTCAGAAAAAGCAAGCCCCCTTCCTACCTTTGACAGTTGGATAGCATTGATTTGTTTTGCTGGAGAAAGGGCACATTTTTAGGACAGAAGAACATGCAAACAAGAGGGGGCCAAAAATAAGTTTTGATTTCTATGTGACTGAGCGTAACTGAGAAATCAAAGAGTCAAATACAGAGGCTACAGTTGTTTTCAACATCTTTCATTGCATGGGAATGTATTTTTTTCTTTAAGTTACTCATTACTTCTAACTCACTTTAAAACAAAACACATTGTTTAAAAAAAGCAACTTCCCGCAACAAAGATCACAGTGCCCAGTATAATAGCTTGTCATAAGCACACGGAACATTACTTCAAAAAGTTATGAAAGTAAAATGCTTTAATGCTTTTAATGCTTTAAATAATTTCTGAATGTAATACAAAATTGGAAGAAACAATTGAGTAAACACTGTGTACATTTACAAGCTCATACTCTGCTGAACACCATGTTCTTCCTTCCTTCTCCCACCCACTGCAGTATTTGCTTTTAATAATCTACTATTTTATAAAAATATTCCCCTCTCAACTATAATATAAACCTCATCATTGTGAGCTAATTGCTTTAAGGATTTTTAAATTAATTTTATTTTAAGGATACAAAAACATCAAACATAATTTGTAAATTTCTCACAACGCTTACATCTGTTTCTGAAATTCTGCAGAACTGCTCCTTTATTCTTGGGAACCACCAGTTTTCCACTCTTCTCCTTGTCTCCTGCCCATAGCTTTTCTCCCATCTCCCCGTCTCGCTGTAAATAGTTCTGATACAAACAGGAACCAGATTCCTCTGCCGTTTAACGAGTGCCAAGAAGCCATTCATCTGTTTGTTCAAACATGAGGAACAGGCACCAACTCTCTGACAAACCGACTGCATTCTTAGTGCTACCGTGTCCATTCTGAAAGATAAAAACACACAGCTCAGTCTCCAATACAGAGCAGTATTCCAGAGGTTACAAGATTATACAGCAACTTGGTAACTGAAATACTTTTTTGCTCAGTTTAGACTACTTTGTTTTCTATTTGCATTTCATTCCCATGCACTTAAATTATACAAGCATTTATGTTTTATCTAAGAGAATGAACTGTGGACCTTACACTGAGCAACACTGTTATGATAGATTGCTTCTCTAGCACTCCAACTCCCATAAAAGCAGCATTAGTCACTGAAGACCCAAGGAACTCAGCTGACTGAACAGAAGTGGGCTAACGGTGTTAGTAATCATTTAGATGAATACAGGGAGAAGAGGAAGTTGGATGAAATTATTCAGTAAAACTCCTGAATTTGTCATCAAGGATAAGAGATGGAGGAGGATTACTATAATTAGTAGATTTCAGCTAGGCATTCTAAATAGAGTACTGTGCTAAGGGTTTCCTTGTCAGTATCACTTCCTGCTAGAACTACCTGGGAAACTTACTAAATCAGACCTGAATTGTATAAGGTAAGAAAAATTGGTTCTAGAGAGATCTATTCTCCATAAACTGAAAATCCAATTAAAATAACTCCTCACGTGCTTCAGAATGAGTGTTCCAAAATAAAAATTACTCAGATGTGAAAAAGATCAAATAGTGTTCAAGCTCATGACTAGTCTCAATAAGATACAGAAGCATAAAGTTAATAAGGCTGGAAAAGACCACTAAGATCAGCTAGTCCAACCGCCAACCCACCCCACCATGCGCACTGACCACGTCTCTAATACAAAACATCTAATTCTTATATGAAGCATTTACTGATTTTACCAGATTTTTTTTTCCTACAGTAGAAAATAAGGCATTAAATAAAACCACCATGAATAAACCAACTTTTGTTTTTCCCCCATTACACGCTGTATTTCTTAATGTACATCACATATATGCATACACATGCCTTCCCTGTCCACCTCATTGCCTGCCTTCAGAATTACACTTTTCTCTCCTCCTTAACTAGCAGTCTCTTTTAAATGCTCTTTAATTACACACGGCAGTGCCCTGAACTTTTTCCTTGCTAAACCTCTAAAACCTTTCTCAATTGTAATAACAAATCCAGAACTGGACTCAGGATTCCAAGCACAGTTGTGTACGAGTTACTCAGAAGCCACTCCATTTCCTAGCCTCTACAGTGTGATGACACTTATACATGCAGCACAAAATCAACTAGAACTTTCTAGTACTTGCCTACTTTACTGTAATTCTTACTATTTCTTTATCGATCCTATTACTTCGGCTTTGTAAGACAACGGAGCTCTGTCCTTCCCTCCAGAAGCCGCTTTCAGCACTGAGATAAGGGCTGGGGTCTCCCCAACCCCTCTCATGCACTCCTCAGGCCGTGCAGGACACAGGACAGCAAAAGCAGCCATGTACGGCGTGGCCTGCCCTGGTGTGCGCACAGCTGAAGACAAGCATGGTGCCACCCCTCCCACTGCCACAGGCTGCGCGACACGCACCGCACACGGCAGTATTTTGAAAAGAGCATGAGGTCGGACTGATAGAATGGAAAGGAACGCAGCTCGAGACTCTGCATAGCAGTGATGCTATAGCACACAGGCAAGGGAGCCTAGGAGAACCAGCAGAGCAACGGGGAGACTGGGGGAGAGGAAGATTGAGGCGCGGAGGGCGCAGGGCGGACGGGGCCGGGCGGAGATTGGAGACGTGCTGGCGGGAAGCCGGGAACGGTTACCTGCGCGCGGGAAGGTGCGGCCGCAACACGCGCGCCCTCAGCTACCGCCTCCCACACTGGGCGCCGCCATCTTGGGGTGGGTGGGGCAGCGGCTCTGCGCCTGCGCCGTTCCATACGCATGCGCAGTGGGGTGGGGGTGGGCGAGGCGGGGCTGTGCCTGTCCCACGCTGCCTGGTCGGGTGGCTGGGTGGAGGCGTGGGGTGTGGTGGTTCTGCGGCTGCTGCGTTGTGAACGGGATGTTCTAGTGCTGGGTTTGTTTGTTTGCCCCCTTTTTTCTTCTAATGCGGAAAAAAAATAAAGCAGAAGTCAATAAAGACAATTTAGAGCAGCGTAATTAATTCTAGCTCTGGCTGGAAAACATCTTACCCAGCTGTCAACACTGTACAGTTCAGAGTTGTTTGCAACTACTGCAAGTTGCTTGTCATAACGTACCAGGAACAAGAAAAACACTTATTTAGTCCTGTGGATTTGTGCCCTTTTGCTTCCAGCAACAACTGGCTCTTTAAGTCTTTAAACTGTTTTATTGAGCACTGTTTTTCTGCTGGAGTTTAGATCAACACATTCTGTTCGTGCAATGTGATGCCTACATTATAGTGAAGCTTCTTGTCTGCTAGAGCCAGAGCCTTCTTATGTGACTAAAAATACATGTTTACCAAATGAACTTTCTGCTTGGTTGTGTGTACCTGTCAAGTCTGTTTATGCTGTAAGCTTTTTGCCACAAAAACAAACTGAGCATCTCTGATACTTGCACTGCTTATAAACTACTGCAGCTCTGCCAGAGCTGAACATATAATTTTGGTATGCAGGGGACAGACACGGGTCAGTCCTCACCCGAGACCTTGCTCCAGGATCTTGTAAGCAGCAGTGACATGTTTGCATGCTGAAGGATGATATTCTGCACACCTATCTAGATAGCATCCAAGTGATTTTTTCAGTTTGGTGCCTGAACTGGCTTAGTTCATTCAGGGATCGGCTCCTTATTTACCTGTGCAGTGTGTGAGACTTGAAGTCTGTCCCTGATCTCCTGATTCACCTGGGTTAATTCAAGAGCTCACATCCCCAAGTTCTCTGCCCAGGGTTACTGCCTGTTAGACAGAGAGATAAGTGAGCACTCAACCCAACCCATGCCTTGCCTATCAAGATGAACCATAGCTGAATTTAATTCTCATTCATACATACTGCACTAGGATACTGCACCTAGTCCTAGAACAAACCTAGAATCTTCTGGTGCATACTGGGCTATGAACTATGACAGTAGACAGGCCTGCTTTGTGATCTCTGCTGGATTCAGCTGGTTCCCACTTCTAAAATGAAAAGAGCTGCCACAAAAGAGCTGGCAGTCCTTGCAGGCAGAAGCCTCTTTACTTTGCGCATGAAGCACCTCTCACCTCAACCTGGGACACAATATGGTAAAGATCAGACTGAATGGAAATGGCAAGATATGAGAGAATTATTCCATTTTGTCTTTAAAACATTTTGAAAGTCAATTGCTCTCAAGTTTAGAATTATCTAAATCTCTGGAATGTTAAAGTACCAAACGTTAAACATATTGACCTATATTTCTCAAGGTCTGCCATCAAGATTATAGCTGATTGAGTTGTCAGACCTTTGTCTTATTTTTTTAATCCATTCATCTCACTAAAAAATTGCTTTCTCATCCTCGCAATCTGCTTATAGATTTCATTTGCTTGAAGCTAAGGATAATCTGTTTAGATGAATATAAATTAATTGCAATCTTAAATGCCTCCAAGAAAGCTAGAAGGATGTTACACAGAAATGCAGACCTACCATACCTTGGGAGCACTCAGGGCTGGGCCCACGTGGAGCCTCAAGCACTTCTACATTCACCAAATTATACAGCAACTCAAAGTGGATGCGGGTCAAGGTCAGACATTCATCATAATACTGTTGAGATGTGCATGCTGCTAAAGGAGGGGGTTGGCATGCTACTACAGGAGAGGAGTTGTAAATGGATGGAGGTTCTCTTGAATAACAACACTGTACTGAGGTCTGCCTACATGCACCATTTAGCAGCCACTATTTAAAAAAAATAATAATAATAAAAAATAAAATTTCAATTACTCCTTAGATCCCTCTGGGAGGAGTTGGTGGTATGATTCTTGTATCAATTGGTCAGATCACTGCAATAGGAAAGACTTTACAACAAAGGTGCGATAACAGAAGGACCAGCACAATAGAAAGGTGCTACAAGGGAAGGAAAGAAAATTCCTCACCTGCACCAGAAGGGTTTGCAAAGGAAAGCTTCACCAAGAGAACACTCCAGAAAGAGACCCTTCCCCTTAAATGGGGTCTAGGAGAGGTGCAGCCAGGCTCCACCCCTTCCATCACACAGCCGAATGGCCTTCACCTGTGCTCCATGGCTGACTCGGTGCTTGCCTCAGGTGATCAATCAGTGCTTCAGGCTGCGACTCAGCACTTCCCATACAATTCTGATTAGCTAGGGGTTGGATGTTAGTAGAGGATCTTTACAATCCTTTCCAACCCAAGCCATTCTATGATTCTATGAAAAACAAGTAAAAAACATTCAACACGGGTTTAAGCGGGTAGTATCTGTCCTATAGATAGGACAGATAGAAGATGACTTCTGTGAGCAGTAAATACTACTTGGACCTTACTCAAAGAATACACTGGCCTTTTCATTTGTGTCACTTTCCCATTGATTTTACTGAAGCTCATTCTGCTGCATGTGGATTCTGATAGAGAGGAAGGTAGACAGTATCAGATGAAACTAAACAAGATGCATGATTGTCTGTAAACAAATTAAAAAGAAGTGAGGTAAACTGAGATCAATCAAAAACAGACACAGAAAGAAAGAAGAGCAAAGCTATTTTGAGCAGCGTGATAATCCAGGGAGATAAAAAACACATGCACATGTATGCTGTTATCTGGCATTTGGGCTTGCTCATTGGTTTAGACATGATAAGATTAGTAGAGTTCCCAATCTGCTAAGCACTAATTGTTTGAAATCACCATTTTAAAAGTTGAGATCCAGTGTCACCAAGAAGTTCAAAAAATTACATACGGTCTAAGGTGAAAAGCCAAACATACATTAAAGCTTTCTTCCAAATGCTGATCCTAACTTCCTAATTTCCTAACTTTTTTAACATATATTTTCCTCACTTACCAACAGCCAATAGGCCCTTTCTGTCTTCTGTGCCCTATCTGCATGTTGTGATGGCTGTAAGGTTAGCCAAATTGTGAACGTAGAATAATTTACCTGCTACATGTAAGACAAACACAAAAAGAGTCAAGGAAAAAGACTAGGGCAGTGATGCTTTTAGAGGGCTTGAGATACTGCTGAAGATTACAGAGGGTTTAGAGGCTACTGTACCTCTGCTTTGTTCTTTAATTTCTGTGTACGTGAGTTGAATAAATGCAGTAGCAGAGTTTATACCAAGCACATCGCTACATTCAATGTCCAGATGTGCCAGGGACTCCAGCTAGAATATCAAACAATGAAGCCTTCAAATAGTAGAATGTACTCTTGTAATGAATCTAAGAGGTCCTCAGACTTTTCCAAACAGTGGACCTACCCACTCTCCCAATATCCTCACCTTCCCAAACAAAACCTTGGGTTTGCTTGTTAATCTGGGCCATTTGCATAGACTCCTTTCATTATGAGAAATTAGTGATACAATGACACTAGTATTTATCTTTATGTGAACCTTAACAGTAAGTTATTTTCTATGTGGCTGGTATTCTTCTGTTTCTTTTTTCATGCTGGAGCTGCATAGCATTTGCACTGCCTTGTTTGTTAGCATTTTTATTAATCAACACAAAGCCCGGAGATAATTTAGTCATTAGATAATTCATTAGTTCCTGTATGAGGAATCTGCAGAAGTGCCCCAGTTGTCGTCACTTAAATAGATGTACTTCCCACATTTCTGTGTAAGTTACTGGAGTTGATGTTAGTGTTTCCTGGCATTGTTCTTTTGCTCCAGTATAAAAAATATTTCTGGTATTTTTCTGGCTTCCTATGAGAAGAGGACTAAAAGGCAGTATTTGGAGTAAAAAATAATGTTTATTGCCTGCATACTTCAAATCTAGCCTTGTTTCATGTTATTAGTTTGCTTCTTGTTGTTGTTTTTTTCTTCATTAAACTCCGTTAGAAGAGCTTTTGCTTATGAATTTCACTTTCACTTTATTAACATATATGTGTATTTAGAGGTTTTGCTTTAAAGCATAAGGTCAGATAAACACAGGTGACTGGATTGCAGAGGTGTAAAGAGTAGCACTAGAGAATATTAAAAAAAATAATAATAGACTATATAATATAAAGAAGAAGAAAAAAAAACCCCACAGCTTTCTCTCAAAGCCCTATCTCCCATCAGAGACCATATCTCAAGGGGAAGAATTCCAAATGACTCCATGAAGATAAATAAATAGAACCTTCATTTTTCCAGTAGAGTTTACTTAAAGGGCACTCAAATATTGCAGTAATGGAAGAATAAACTCTTGAAAAATACGGAAAGGTAGAGTTATACTTTTGGGATAGAAGGGAATGGATTTGGATAAGACACAATATTAGGAGTAGAGCTTAATCTGTTCATAAAAGTATTAAGTGATATGCTTGGTGCTCGCTCTGCTGGGAGACTGACCTCAGTCATGAAGGAGGTTCTTCTCATGCAAAGCATTTAAATCAACACAGGTTCATTCATCTCTTGATTTTGCAAGATGGATAACTTACACAACGCACAAATGGAAAAAGAGAGAAGCTAAATAACAAGCAAATACATTCCTCCCATCCAGGGGGCTGTGCTTGGCAAACAGGATGGTCCCATCTAGTTGGAAAATCCACCAACCTGGGCCTGTCTGAGTGCCACTTGTCCTGCCACAGAGTGACAAGGAAGGATTTTGAAAACGAGCAAGATCAAGGCTTAGTGGAATCCTATTTAGCAGCATTGTTTTGAAAGGCAGATGTTGGCCACAGACAACCCTATTTAAGTTCTAGAGAGCCTCATTCTGAGCCCATTTTGTTCAGCACTTACGTTGAGGTGGGTGTCTGCAAGGGGATGTGTTGAACCCAAAATGTACATCCTGCTTATTCAGATCAGTATCTCTGATAGTCAAGAGCTTCTTACCTATTCAGACCAAAGTTCACAAGTTAAATGTGTACCTGTAAGTGATGTTTGCAAAATCAATACACTTTTGGTTGTTGTTTTCTTTCCTTCATCAACAATCCAATTTTCAAGCAAAGTAATCCATGCTGTTTATCCACCTTGGCCACCTTCTAATTCACTGGCACAATTTTGTTGTTGTTCAAAGCTAGTTAGATATAGTGAAGAGCAAAACTACACTTATGCAGCATTCAGAGCTTGATGTTTCTTACCTTTAATCTGAAAAAAAAAAAACAGGATGTTTTAAAGATTGTTAAAGTTCTAAACTGTCCTGGTGAACCAGTGGACTGCTAGTGGTGATATACTGTCAGTAAGTTGTCCGTGACCCAGATGCATCTGGGACTGATAGCCTCTCTTTTTTACATGTAGGAGCATAATTTTTGGAGTCCGGTCACAGAGTAGGACAGCAGGGAAAGCAAACAGTTGCCTGTCCCATAAGGGAGGTGAACTGGCTTGGCAAAGGGCTCAATGACTGCCAGGGCCAGAACGAAGCCAGGGATCATCCAGTTGAGAGCAGTGTAGGGAGGTAAATGGAGCAGGAGAAAAATTATGAAACCTGTCCCTTTGGGTTGGCAGGGAAATTGTTGGGCTGCCTCAGTCCCTATCACCCTCTTTCACAGAAAAGCTGTGTTTTACAACAGTGTGCACTACTGCATCAGAGAAGAAAGAGTAAACAGGAAGACATGCATTAATGAACCCCTTGTTGTGTGATGATGTTTCTTTTGCTAAGGACCAGGCCTTGTTAAAACAGGCGGAGAATGGACATTTTCCATTCACTATAACAACCTGCTTTTTACACTGATGGCCAAACTTCATCATAGCAATTATCCAACATCTAGACTGCACTTAAACTTTCTAATGATATCTGACAGCAGGAAACAATCTGAGTGCTGGATAAAATCATCCTGCACACCAGGGTTGTCTTTTCAGCTGTTAGCGGGCTTCAGGAAGGACTGCAGTAGAACAGGATGAAAATATCTCAAGGTCTTAAAATTAATAAGCAAAAAAAAAAAAAAAAAAAAAAGATCTGTTATTGTGTGGAAAAGTTAAAAAAAAGCTCATTGCAGCTTGGAAATTGTTGAACATGCACACTTAAGTATGTGTATAGATACTGCCTGCAAATGTAAAAATATATCAGACATATCACATTTAAACATGCCCCACATGGAAGAAAATGGGATTTCGGTTTTTATTTCCCTGTATTTCTATATACAGTGTAATTACTAAAGGAGAAAGAATGATTGCATTATTCTTGTTAGTTGAACTGAAAACAAGATGAAAGGAGCCCATGTTTACCAGGGGAGCACAGTGCTAGAATAATCTGATAGCTTTCCCTTAATGAGATAATGGATTTTCCAAAATTGAAAATGTGGTAAATCTCATTTGGACCTTAGTAAAGCACTTGATACACTCCTAAATGGCAAAATATTAATGAAGCAAAAGAAGGTGGAAATTACAGAGGACATGAAAGGCAGGAAGGAATTGACTGATAGAAAAGAGCAGAGAAAAGGGAAGAAGAATCAAGAGCCAAGAAGCAAGTAACTGCAAAAGTTACTCAAGGGTCTCTTTTAGGACCAGTGCTGGTAATATTTTCATTACCTGCAGTGGAATATGAATATGATAGGTGTGCTATTGAAATCTGAAGATGAAGGAACACAACTAATACAGAAGACAACAATCGTATATTAAAACCTTTTTGACTTGGACAGGTACATAAATGGGAAATAGTGTTTGATTAGAAGACAACTTCAGGGTTAATGAGACATTTCTTCTCTAAGTGAGAAGAGAGATGACTCAGGCAGACACAATGCTGGGTATCATAGGTGATCACCAGATAACGATGAATCAACTGTGCAATGAAGCTGTGAAATAGGTGGACATGCTCATAGCACACTTCAGACAGGGTATTTCCAGCAGAAAGAAAAAGTTTCATTGTAAAGGCATGGATGAATGCACACCTGCAACACAGTATACAGCCTGTCACATTTCTGTAAGAAAGATGAATTCATCTGTAACGAGTGCAGAGAGGTACCACAAAGCGTGTTACCATTTAAAGAAACTAATAATAAAACCTAGACATACTGCATTTAGAGTAGAAAGAAAACCAGATTCTCACTACTGCATCACAGAGAGGTCCTGTAACAACTTCCTACAAGGGTGGAAACAACCTCCCTTTTCCAATAGTCTGCACTACTTTTAAGGACAAAATTCAACCCGTTAGCAGGAAAGGTGATGTGACATGATCCCTGTGGAGAGCCGGGGCCTGGTCCATGTTTGATAATAGAGGATGCTCCTTGAAGTACTGTAACTTATTTCCCTGGAAAAATTCTGAATTACCTTCTGAAGTGACCTTGCTCTATAGACACACGAATCACAAAGCTTTGAATCAGAAAGCAAAGCAGATAGAGCCATGCTATTCATCCTGCAGTATGGTGGGAAGCCTGAAGGTCCTACAGGTGCAAAGCTGTAAATTGTGTTCTTCTGACCCCTCAAAACTGCTTATGCTTTAATAAAAAAGTTAACTTTTGAAAGGAGGAAAGTTCCTTAGCATATTTTTCAGATAAAAAAACCTGCCTGCATAGCTTGCAGGCATACCAGATGTACCAGATAAGCTCATTCAGCATTCCTTATTTATGTTGAAATGATGTGATGGAGATGGGCAGGAGAGGATGTTATGTACTTTCTTGTCCCAAAAAGAAGATTCAAGCAGAGGACATGCAATTTCAGCAGAGGATGTACCTTCATTCATTCCTTATCAACATAAAATCACTCGTTCATGCAAGAATGACCTAAGCCTGGGAACAGTGGTCATGGACTCAACGCCTTTCCCTATTAGCATTTTTTAATAATTGAACCATGGCAACACCTTGCTGTTGGGTAATAAAGGAGGCACTGAAATGCAGCAGAAGGCAAGCAAACAGTTTTGTTGTGCTAGGACATTGTGCCTGCTTTCTGCCTAAGACAACCAGCTCACCTCCGTGGGCATGCACAAAAGGTACATGGAGCCCACGCTGGGCATTGCTCTGGAAGCAGTATTGTCCAGGGTTTATTTTAGTTGAGGAAAGCTGTTTACTAAGAGGGAAAGATCATCTGGTGCCAATGCGAGGCAACTAAGTCAGAGCCTTCTTCTCTTCATGGACTTCAGGGAACTAGTCTTGCTTAAGGATCACTTTTGTAAATGCTTTTGTTTTCAGCTGTGCCCTCTGGACATGATGGACTGTTGTAAAGTTGGTTGCAGGATATTGCAGGATACCTCTGCATTTTAGAATTATTATTTTATGTACAAATCTGCTGCTTCTCATGGTGCCTGTGTGGGGAGGAGAATCTGCAGAAAGGCCAGCAGTGCAGAAGGAATGTTTGTGGTGAAAAATGGTGTGATGTTCAGTGCAAGTCTGTGTGCCACACTACTGATGCAACAAGGACTCTGTGATCAACAAACAGAATAAATGAAAAATGTGAGAGTTCCAGGAGGATTGCTAATAATCTGTTGTCAGACTCAGCCCAATAGCAAAGAAGAGAGGGGAAACAAATGCCAGTTTGAGAGTCCAGAGCCTCAGAAAGGGGTTGTACCGGTGGTGCAGCCTGCAGTTGTGGCCACCCAGGCAGCCACATGGCTGCTCCAACTTGTACAGCTTGAAAGCCTCAAGGATCCCACATCTGGGAATGGTGACAGCTATTTAGCTGCGAGGCCAGAGACCACTGTGCTGCTTTAGATTATTGCAGATACTACAGCTGGAAATTTTATGATGCTATTATGATCCCCTTCTGTCTCATACAATTACAGATACCTTCTATTCTTTATTAGCACTGTTTGCACCTCTGAGCACTGCTAAAGGAATTTTAACTTAATTTTCTTTGGAAAGAAAGCAAAAAAGGATTGGTGAGGCATTGTACATGCCGTTTGAAGTCTGGTAGTTTTTCCTAATGATCATCTACAATGACTTAACTTTAATCTTTTTTTTTTTTTTTTTTTTTTTTTTGCTATTTTTATTAATTTATTGATGTTGCTATCAAACAGATCTATCTTGATGCCATGTAGACTATGGAGATAATAAGTTCATTTCATAGAATGATTGTGTTTGTTAGCTACAATACATGCACTATTCAAATCCATTGGTACTAGAAATCCTTTTGTTTCCCAATGATAAGACTAATAAGAGAATCAAATGCACTGTAATGCTTCCATACCAACTCCACATCTGCAGGATTTGATATTATCAAACCCACCGCTCTATTTCTAGCTGAAAATAAAGAAAAAGATATCACAGAAACTATATAAGAAAATGGAGTATATTGCTGCTTAATAGAAGATGTTTGAGATTTATTTACTGTATCTAAAAAAAAGAATATTTTAAATCCTAAGCACTTGTATTTCACCAAAGGCTTTTTACATGGCTGCAATTTTTCAATGGTTGAGAGTGTCTCTTTGGAGAGCAAGGCTCATTTTAGATTCTGTTCTCATAAATAAACAAAGACAAATTGTAGTCTGGAATTCAAGGCAAGTTTGCCTCTAGCTGTGCAGACCCACAGCGATGCTCAGGTGACCTGCTGAAGTGTCCTGCTTTGTGTCCTGTGTAAGGAGTTCAGGATTGCTTCAGCAATCAAATCAAACTTTCTTTAGTTCAGCCTGACCTTGTGAAAAACAATTTGCACAGAGTGAACAAAATGCCAAGACACCATTCAGATACTCTGTAAATAACAACATACAGACTCCTACTTTTGAGTCTTCATGCTTCTCCTACTTTTGAGTCTTCATGCTTCTGCAGGTTTTTCTGGCTGTATTATTTCCTTCTAGCAGTGCTAAGACTAAGCAGTGCATATAATGTTTACAGTTATGACATTTTGCAAACCCAATACTTATATTGTTACCTTGCACTAATTTAAACATTGTTTTCTACTCTTTACCATATGGAAGTCCAGTAGATGAGTAACAAATAGAAAGCAGCTTGATACCTAGAATTTCCAGCACACATTAGCACTGCTTTTACATTAATGGCATGCTCAGATTCCTTAAGGACTGTTCAGGATTTTTAGTGCCTATCTTTCCATAAATCTGGAAAGAGCGATGGAGAAATAGGAAGATAAAAAGGCGTACAGGAAGTCTGCAGCATGCCTGTAGACACGCCATTAGAGAGGAGAAATGAAATTCAATTTTTAATGAAAATTTAGGAACTCTAAAATGGTCCATAATGCATGTACAAAAGGTGATTCTTGGGCAGTCCTATGGCTCAGTATCTTGTGAAATACCAGATGCACACTGAATGCTTTATATCCCTTAGGATATTAGACAGTCTTCGCTTTCTAATGATATAAACAAATCCATTCCTGCTTTAGTGCCTCCAAGGATTCTCTGCCTCGAGTTAGACAGTTTCAGTTCTGCGGACTTACTGTTCAGGGGCTGCATGTAAATGTAGTTTTTGGAGATAAAATTCATGTTTTAAGAAAGATAAATCTTTTGAATGTCTGGCATATTGTTCTGTATTTTCAAACTGTAGCTAGTGTTTGTAAAATGTTGGTGTGAGAAACTACCACATGGCATGTGTTTATTGGGACTCATTTTCCTAGAAGTAAGGAAGACACAGGTACATGATAACTAGAGTGCATTGGTTATTTAGCTGGTTGACTAATTACCTATCCGCTGAAAAGAGAGTAAAAGTGCTTTTTGTTCTGGTCTCCTGGATATCACATGGTTAAAACTCATCATCAGGCTTTGTGAACAATTAGTCATTAAATTTACAATTATAGAATCATAGAATCACTTGAGTTGGAAGGGATCTTTAAAGGTCATCTAATACAAGTCCCTGCATCTACAGCTAGATCAGGATGCTCAGAGGCCCATCTCCAGGGACAGGGTATCCACCACATCTCTGAGGAACCTGTTCTTATGCTTCACCACCCTTCATTGTAAGAATTTTTTTTCCCTATATCCCATCTAAATCTCCCCTCTTTCAGTTTGAAACTGTTTCCCCTTGTCCTGTCACAACAGATCCTGCCAAAGGCTGCACAAGCAATTGCTTACCACCCCCTGACCAATGCCCAGCTGGCCCCT